TTCACACACTTTACTCAATGGTTAAACTTTAATTTGCAATTCTGGAGACACCCACCCCGAAAAAGAATTACTGCCTTACCGGCTCTAAGCTACAATATTATGGCCAAACAGACATAAACTAGGCCCTCTAAGATTATCTAATGAATAATACGGTGCGAAAGACACAATGATATTTCTTCGCCACAACTACATACAACGACTTTACTGGGTATGCTAGATATGTTTGGTTATAATTTTTTAAGGAGAAAATTTAATCCTAATTGAGGTATAAAGAAACTATTTAGAGTTTAGCATTATTTAATCAATTCAGTTCGAAGATTAATTTGCAAACAAAAAGACCTCCTTTCGTTAAGCAGTTATTCATAATGGATTTTTTAACAGTGAAAGAATAAATAGAAATGATTTTGATTTATGGAGAAGCAGGCAGGAATCTTGATGATGCTGTTAATATCTACGCTCAGCGTTTTCCGAATAAAATTCGATCACGCACTTCATTTCACCGCACAGTCAAGCAGTTTACTACAAACGGGAGTGTTCAACCGAAAAAAAAGAGTTCGTCGAGAAACAGTCACAGGTGGAAATAATGAAATTAATGTATTAGCAGCAACGGCCGCTAATCCTCATGCAAGCACACGAGAATTATCTAGAGATTTGGGAATATCCCAGAGCAGTGTTAGCAGAATATTAAAACGAAATGCGAATTAATAAATGCATTGAAGTCGAAGGCCAGGCACCTACTTTAATTAAAATTAAAAAAATAAATAAATTTAAAAAATAAAACCAAGTATTTATTCAAAAATTATTGGAGAATCGTATACAGGGTGTCCCGAAATTAGGGGGCCAAACTTAAACAGTGCATTCTTTATAGAAAAATAACACTTTTTTGTTTAATAAACATATATCAAAAAATGCCCCCTAACGGAGCTACGCCCCCCTAAATAGGAGCTTAAAAGCATCATTTTTTTTAAACTATTCCTAGAGGGTTGAACATGAAGACCTGAATTTTTGGGACTTTGGTAATTTTGACATTCTGAATCTGGATCTATAATCAAAACTGTTAAAATTGAATCATAGGCGTAACATTTGAGGGGGCAGATTTACAAAAACAGCCCCAACTTTTTACAGAGTGAGTATTTTAATGTTTTGTTATAAAATTATGTAAATGTATAGTTTTTCACGAAAAATAGGTACTCTTGCTTTGAATCGCTCAGATGCACCATTTTTGAGAAAATTGCAATTTAAATTACTATGCTTGGCATAATTTTTAATATTTTCATTAAAAAGCTTTGGGACAAAAGTGACGTTTGGGTTATTTGCTGACTTTACATTTATTTTTATAGTTTAATTAATATTTTTTGGCTCGATTTTTGTTATTTTTTATTATGGAGCGATTTTCCAAATTTTAACACAAAATTTTAACGAAAATATGAGATGTGTATGCTATGCAGAGTAATTTATAAATGCATTTTTCTCGAAAATGGTGCGTCTGAGCGATTCAAATCAAGACTACCTATTTTTTGTAAAAAACTATAAGTTTTCATAATTTCATGAAAAAAAATTAAAATATTATTTCGGAAAAAAGTTGGGGCTATTTTTATAACTTTTCCCCCCCAAATGTTACGCCTATGATTAAATTTTAACAGTTTTGATCTTAGATCTTGATACAGCATCTAAAAATTACCAAAGTGCCAAAATTTTATTTCTTCATGTTTAACTCTCTAGGAATAGTTTAAAAAAAACTATTCTCTTAGGCTCCTATTCAGGGGGCCGTAGCTCCGTTAGGGGGCATTTTTTGATACATGTTTATTTAACAAAAAAGTGTTACTTTTCTATGAAGAATGCACTGTTTAAGTTTGGCCCCCTAATTTCGGGACACCCTGTATAGAAGAAAAATCGAATTTTTTTCATTACAGCGCCATCTATTATAAATATAAAAAAATGTTTTAGACAAAATGTACCTATTTTTAGTCGAATGATCCGAATCTGCAATAAAAAATAGGGTGTTCCTTTGGAAATTTTAAAGTTACCCCCTGTTCCCCCTATAAGGAGGAGAGTATGAGGACCAATTTTAGTACTGATTGATTTCCCCCTCGAATCATTTAATTTTTATTTTAAACATTTTTTCGGAAAATGCATAATAACTGAGATATTTCAAAGTTTCAAGTTTTTTAACTCACCCTGTATATTATATACCTACAAATAATTTATTATAATACGTATAGAACGCACTTAAAAATAAAATGTATCGAATTTGGGAACTATACTATTTGTTGTTTACATTTTTGCAGGTACCTTAATAATTTTTTACACGAAATACTATTAATTTTGCTATTGAACACTAGATGTCGCTTGTATGTTGACCCATTAATCTCTATTTCCATGATTATTTCCATAGCAAAAATTGAAAATTAAATTTCATTTTTAAAATAAAAAATTGCTTGCAATAATAAAAAATTTAGTAGGCTGTAATAAAAATCTTCTAATTTAAATAAAATAAAAGGTTATCAAATAAATGCAATGACGGACCTGAGTGGATTTTAACAGCCCCATATAATTAAAAAACATTATATTTTAAGAAAAAATATTTTACAACAATAAAAAACAAAAAAGTTATCGGTAGGCCCCGACGAGATTCGAACTCGTGATCTCCTGTTTACTAGACAGGCGCTTTAACCAACTAAGCCACGGCGCCTCTGAATTTAAAAAGCATTACGCCCTACCTGAATGTACGGAAATTTTGATTTATTGCAATTTTGCAATTTTTTGTTATCAGATTAGGTTTTTACTTACATTCAAGAACCTTAATATAAATAGTCATTTTAAAAAACTTATTTATGTTATTAGGCCACAGGTCTGTAGCATCAGCACACATTATATTATGATATATTTTGTCGTTAACTATTTTTTTAGAGGACTAAAATAAAATTTTTGATTTTAAGGTTATGTTTGTACAACTATTATTTTTTGTTATGGCGGGTTTATACAACTTCATTTCATTAATTTATTTCATAATTCACTATTTAGTGCCCAAGCATAAAAGTTAAATCGTACTATCTGCTGTGAAACAGTTTATACAACGATTTAATCCGTAACTCACAATTTAGGGTTTATTGAATAACCTTGAAAGTTCATAAAATTTAACTTTTATGAAATAAATTATGAATTATAAATAGGATTGAACAGCGCATGTGATAACAATTTTCCCTTTCCATTTTTTAAGGTTATAATTAATAATTTTTGTGTTTTGTGTTTGTGCCTTAAAAGTAGTTTTAATGAGGGATTTTGTGTTATTTGTCACTTTTAATTATCAATATTGTCATTTGAAAAAATAAAATATATATTAAATTAATGACTTGTACCTATACGCTAAAGAAGTATCGCTAGTAGCGCCACCTGTTATCATCGTAACAAAAGTACAACTATTTATAATCAGCTGTCAAACGCGTGTGTAAAAAACGAGTGTTTTTGATAATAAAGACGGAAAATGTTAAAAAATATCGTAAAAAAACCGTGGCTCGATTTGTTGTGTTCTTGGGTGTATTTCAAGAGGAAATCCTGGGTTGAGTTTTTATCGGTTTTCCAATAAACAGTGTTAATCCGAATAAAGAAAAAAATTTCATACAGCGCCAGTAAATATAAATTGTATCTATTAGATACAATAAATACACATTTTAGTAATGATTAACGTGAAAAGTGTATTTTTACTGAATTGAAATGTTAACATTTCAATTCAGTAAAAATCGTCAAACAAATAAGTCGTCTAAATTTAAACAGCATTTAGCATTATTAAAAGCGCGCTGATTAGAAATTCTTTAAAGTCTCCATCCAACGGTAAAATACCATTATATTATGTATTGTATATTATAATATTAAAATACCATTATATTATGTATTGTATATTACAATATTATGTTGCCATGAATTCGTATATAGGTATATTTTGTTGTTAAAAATGGAATTATCGGCGTTATTTAGAGAACTTAAATATAAAAATGGTTGATTTTAAGGTTATGTTTGTGCAAAAATTATTTTTTACTAATTTCTTAAAAATGTCCAAACTCGAATATAAATTATATTAGGTAAAGTTATCATTAGTTAATTCTGCACCAACAAATGTACTTACCGAATTGGATCCTTTGGCAAAACATGAAAATGCAACTATTTAGTTCTTGAATTTTATTTACAATTAAAAACGCAATAATTCACCATGATCCCTTAGATAAAATACACACACTAACGTAACTATAAAAGCATTTAAGCGTTGAGTTTCTTAATCAATGATATAAAGAATAATCAATCGAAATCGAGTACTAAACCAGTTTTTTAGTTTTTTCCTTGCAACGTAAAACACAAATAACGTACGCGATTTAGCTGTGCAATTGAACAAAATATTGTATAAACCCAGTTTTAGATTTTTTTAAGTTTTAAAACCATTATTATTCGTAAAAAATTTAAATTCAAAAACCATTTCCTGAACATTCTATATAGGTAGACAAGTTTCACTTTATTAAAGTGGCCCTTAGGTTATTATATTATACAGGTTATTATATGTACAGGGCGTCCGGAAAATGGCTTAACTTTTTAAGACATACATATATGTATTGTCAATAAAATTTTACCTAGGAACATTGCCTATTTAAAATACCCACAAACAAAAAACATTATCGACATAACTAATCTAAATAGAACTAATTTAATGGAGACATATTGATCGTTAGGTACAATTTATGTCGTATCGTATCCCTGGCCCAGTGTCAGGCACTGGGACACACGTGTAGTTCGCAAACCAAACTCCCGTCAGATGACGCTTCAATAAAAATATTCTTATAATCGTTTTATTGAAATTTTACTTATTATGGACAACATTTACCCTGACAACCGATTGATTGTCGCCATGGAAACGTCGAAACGTAAAAGTGACAATTCAACAAACCGTTTTTCACTCACAGCAATCTGTGATCATGATTTTTCAGTTTAAAAGGCTCAGTCAACGAGAAATGTTGGGCTACAAAGTTTTTTATACGAATGTTTTGTGTTTTTAACAACTTTACATACATTTTGTGTTCGGTAATTTTTTAAAATAGGTAAGATTAAGTTAAAAGAAAACGTGGGGAAATATATACGTATACGGATCCACCTCTGATACTGACATATACAGGGTGTTTCCTAAGTACGGTCCGAACGTAGAAACTCTACCCTATTTTTAGCACTGGACAAGATGTTAAACTAGGCATTAAATATTAGTTTTTGGCAAAATTATTTTTAAAATTTTTTAAAATGTTGTTTTACTGTTAAAAAGTTATTTTTTTTCAATGGGACACATCATTAAAAAGGTTTTTTGATACTATAATCAACCAAATTATTTTTAGGATCTTATACAGGATTTGTATAAAATTAGCAACATAAGATTCAGATTAAAATTTTTTATTTAAAAAATCATTACAAGGTTCATTAAAAAAACAGCCCAAGCAGCATTTTAAGTTTAAATAACTACAAATTTACCACCAAGTCAACTTTAAAGTATTTTTTAGGGTTAACCAAGACGGTTTTATAACGGTATAGATACGAAAAATTACCAAATTTGAGGAATGGTTTATTTCGATATTTTACCTACATAATAACCTTTTTAATCTACTAAGAGAATAACGTAGTAAAAACAATATAAATACCACAAATTTACGTAAAAATTACGCTATAATTACTAACTGTTTGCTCTCTCTTTCTAAAACATTGACATTCGTAATTTGTTCTTTTAATTTATATTTTACAAAATGGTACTTACAAAGTAATAAAGGCCACCCTAGAGTAAATATAACTAATAATATTTTGCATTAAAACTCAAACGCACATTATTTTATTGATAAAAATAGGCACGATACATCTTAAAAATTATATGCCCTCTAAATATTTTACGGTTTTAAGAAAAATTATTGCTTGGGTGAAAATTCAACCAAACTTAAAACCTACAAAATTTTATAAAATCTTTTAAAAATAATTTCGTTTTAATCATTTTTAATAAAACTTTCCTTATTATATTTTAGAAAAATATTTGTGAAAAAATATTATATAAATGTTTAGATAAGTAATGGATGTCATCTTAAAAAACTCATAATGGCGACCTGAAAAAAATTTTCCCTTATAGTTTTATTTTTCCTTGTTTAGTCAATATTAATAGTATTTATTACCACTAATAACACTAAAAAATACCAGGCAAATAGAAATTATTTACGGTTATAAAGTGGTCTTAATATCGTAAAATTATGACTTATAAGTAACATTTACCATTAAATAAAAATTCTGACGTTAAAATTACCGTTAAATTTTCCTTTAGGTGAAATACACTTGTAAGTAATTTTCTTTCGTAAAAATTACGTCCCGCATAATATTTTAAAGTGTTTAAACTTAAGGGTTATTAAAATTGGTAAAAATAACATAAATAAAACTTATTAAATAACTTTAAAAAAAGTTTTACTTCAAAGTAAATTTTTAAGGTTAATTTAACAAAATATTTACTTAAATTAAGTAATATTGACTCAAAGCTCTACGCTTTTACTTAAAATGCTGCTTGGGAGTAGCTTTAATGCAAAAATGATGGAGGAAAACCACCATTGTATTTTAATATTGAAACCGACGTTTTTAATTTTTGTTCAAGTAAAAACACAAAAAACTAAGTTGTTGGCCATTTCAGTAATGTGTCCAAGAAAATATGTCTATGGTAAATAAAAATTAAGAAAAAGTACGCCCTCTTACTCTTCCTTCAAAGAGTGTCAAAATATTTTTTCAAACATTCACATTGACATTTTTTAGCTACGTCAGACATAAAATGTCATTCATATACATAAATTCTACATTTTACTATTAAAATCAGATCAAATTCGGATTCGGAATGTCTCAGTCCAAAGATAAGATGTCCGAAATAGACGAGCACATCATGAAGAGGTTCGATATACAAAAAAGACTGGGCAAAGGTGCTTATGGAATTGTTTGGAAGGCGATAGACAGGCGTACAAGAGAGGTTGTGGCTGTGAAAAAGATATTCGACGCTTTTAGGAATCAGACTGATGCTCAGCGTACTTTCAGGGAGATTATGTTCCTGCAATCATTCAAAGCTCATCCAAATATTGTTAAGTTACACAGCATTCACAGGTTAGTACTCAGTAAAAAAATATGTGTGTCAATATATTAAACATGTATTCAGCGACCAACACAAAAATTTTGTAAAAATAGAATTAAGTTTATAAACAATAAATTTCAAACTAAAGTTAATAGTAAGATGATCAATAATGTAGCACAGTAGAAACACTTTTTATCCTCATTTGATCACCAGGTCATATTTATTGATTTATCCCGGTCCCTGAACAATTTTGCAAATACCTACCCACCTATTCGGAAAAATAATATTCAATAATAATTACTCACCAGAAATGTGGTACTAACCTCACAATGATACCCTTCCTATAACACTAACAAAAACTGCAAACTGATGATGCAGATTGCAGTTGAGCGACCGGCCGGCGTCTTATTTCAAGCAGGAAATCATTTCATTGGTTATCCTAAGTGGTGTGATGCTTCACACCCGAACAAATTATCCAATATTGTGAAATTTATATTTTATCTCAAAGTTATACTATATTTATACGAATTATTTAAGAAATTGTACAAAAAAGTAACATTTATTTTTGAAATATTTTTAACAAAAGATTTCAACTCTTTTCTCGACAATATTGTGCAAATGGTTAAATATTAAATCTTAGTTTCTAACAAATTATAGAAAAATGAGTTAAACCAACTAAGAGAGGGTCTATGAAACCAAGATTTGATTTAATGTTTTCAAACATTTTTCGGTAAAAGTATGTGAAGTCTTGAAAATTCTGCATTTTGGAAGACATTGCCTCTATTTCTGTAGATTTAATATTTTTTCTATATTTTGTTTAATCATGTATAAAAGTGATGGGCGAAATTTCTAGGTATCGTTATCATAATCAAATAAATATTATACTGTAATATCTCAGAATAAATGAATAAATTAATTTTACCGGATCAATATCTTAGTCTATTAAAACATTGTTCTTCCCTTTATAATGAATTAATTTGGTTCCAAAAAACAATACGTCTACGTCAGGTCTAACAACACAAAACAGTATAATTTAGCAATTTAAAATTAAATGAAGACAATGTCGTAGAGATTTAAAGCAGAATCAATAATGGCGTTGTCAAAAATATCGTGTGAAACTACCATTATCGTTGTATATGGCAGACAAGTAATTTAACCATTTGACAAAATTTAAACAGCAAATTCAGCTACCATACGTAATAGTGAATGACATGAATGAAACGCGATAAACTGCTTTTTTATGCAATTTTAACTATACTCACGATATTTACAAAAATGGCGGATGCACCGGGATAATTATTAAATATACAAAAAAAAAATTTCACTCATTTCATTTAGCATTAAAAATTATATATTTAATATATTATTACATACTTTTTTATTTATTTTTACGTGTAGAATCCCCCCGAATATATTACCGTTATTTCTGGACACCCTGTACATTTTTGGTAGGCATAATTTTTTTAAATTTGTTTGCATAGAGCAGAGCTATAAGTCAAAATAAAAAAGTGATAAGATCACAAGCGATTTTTTTAATACATACCAACATTTTTAAATCTTCCCCATTTAACACAGAGAAAAAATTGAATTTGGTTTTATAATAATTATTGTTATTATTAACAATTATTGTATGAATTTGTTTAACAAATTGGTGCTAAAAAGGTGACAGGAACAATTTCTGTTAAATTGTAGCAAATAATTGTAGTAAACTTATTATATTAAAAACTTACATAATTTATTTGACATTTAAACATATTTTAATCTAATCAGCTCATATAATTTGTGTAAGTAAATGAGTATTTTAGAGACTTTTTAATATAATATTTTGTGATGAAATTGAACAAATTGTGGCACATAATAACACAACATTGTTGTAATAATTTCTCCAATTTATTTAAAAATTTTAATAATTTTTGGGATGTGAGGGTGGTAAAAAGGAAAATGAAACTAAATTATTAATTTAGATACCTATGTATTCAGCGACTTATACAAAAAATATGGAAAATAGAATACATAAACTTAATATAAACTGACTTTGACAACATAAAATAAACATAACAAAACATAAACTACAAACTTAAAAATAAAATTCGTATAGAATCGTTGATAGATTAAATATGTATTCAGCGACCAACACAAAAATTTTGTAAGGATAGAATTAAGTTAATATAAACTGAAAACATAAAATACAAACTAAAGTAAATAGTAAGCTGATCAATAATGTAGCACAGTAGGAACACAGAAACACTTTTTATCCTCATTTGATCACCACATAATTATTGATTTATTCCAATCCTTGAACAATTTTGCAAATACCTACCCACCTATTCGGAAAAATAATATACAATAATTACTCACCAGAAATGTGGTACTAACCTCACAATGATACACTTCCTAGCGCTAACTAAAACTGAAAACTGATGATGCAGATTGCAGTTGAGCGACCGGCCGGCGTCTTATTTCAAGCGGGAAATCATTTCATTGGTTATCTTAGGTGGTGTGATGCTTCACACCTGAACAAATTGTCCAATATTGTAAAATTTATATTCTAACTCAAAGTTATACTATGTTTAAACGAATTATTTAAAAGATTGTACAAACATCTATTTTTAAAATATTTTTAACAACAGATTTCTCGACAATATTGTGCAAATGGTTAAATATAAAATACTCTGTGAATACTTATTTTTTTAGAGCTGCCAATAATAGAGACATCTACTTGGGTTTCGAGTACATGGAGACCGACCTTCACAATGTAATCAAACGCGGCAACATACTCAAAGATGTCCACAAAAGGTACATTATGTACCAGCTATTAAAGGCCATGAAGTACATACATTCGGGAAACGTCATCCACAGGGACCTAAAGCCTAGCAACGTCTTGCTGGACAGTCTCTGCAGGTAAAAAGCAGATTTCTACACCATTATATAACTATTACATTTGTTTATTCATCTTAAACAATAATAATAGTAAAAAACAATTTAATTATTATTTTATCTACTTTAACTGTAGCCATAGAAAGAGCAAATATATATCACAGACTTTATCCATTTTAGATGTAAGATAGCCGATTTTGGGTTGGCAAGACTTCTAACCCAGGGGAGTGATGGTTGTCTGGGAAGTGATGGTGATCCCACTTTAACGGATTATGTGGCTACCAGATGGTACAGAGCTCCGGAAATATTAATAGCAAATAGAAGGTTTGTGATACTTATAAAATACAATATTAAACTTGACATTGAAGCCCAAAATCTCGAGTAGGTAAAACCTTCGCGCATTTTTGAACGCACTGGACTATGCTGGTCCATTTTCTATACCGAATAGTACCCATACTACAGAAACTTTTTTGCAGATATACAAAGGGAATAGACATGTGGAGTATAGGATGTATTTTGGCTGAAATGTGTATGGGTAAACCAATATTTCCAGGAACCTCGACAGTCAACCAAGTAGAACGAATAATGGCCAGTATACCTTCCCCAACACCAGATGGTAAGGTTTTTGAATAGGTATAGGGTAAAGTAGGCAGTTATCGGACACTTTATAGTTATTGGACAATTAACATTAATACTGTAAAAACAAGAGTTCTATAAATAGTTACCTTAAAGTCAAATCATTAGATGACGATGTATACAATTATAACTATCCCAGTCGGTAATAATTATTTTGGGTCCAATATAGGACAAAAAAGTTCGCACGTTACTTTGGTGGTAAGATTTTTGTTAAGAGCAGGGCTGTGTTTAAATTACAATAAAAAATATTTCTAAAAAGTGTTCAGATCAGTGTGTGGTATAAATGTGTTCCTCATGGTTTAAACATTGTCACTTTAATGCGTTTTAATTTTAATTCTGAAGACAAACAGTAAAATGGCCAGTGTCCAATTACTGGTTGGTGAAAATGTAAATTTCTATTATTGGACATGACATTGTGTCCAATATCATACTCTATTTTTATCCCAGCCAATTCTTATGTAAAATTGTCCCCTGAATCCGAAAAGACCGTCAAAAACTATAAAAGTTAAGTAGTTTTTGAGATATAGTCAATTACATATTATATGTAAAATTGATTATATTTCAAAAACTGTTCTACTTTTATAACTTTTGGCGACATTTTCGGATTCACCGAATAATATTTCATAGGAATTGACTGCTAAATGTCCTGGATACAAATTGCTGTTGACAAAAATTGTTAGTGACTGCTTTTTCGCTATGACATTTTTGACTAATTCATTTTTAGAGAGTAAGTAACATAGTGATTTCTTCGTCACAGGACATCTTGCAGAATAACAGTGATTTAAATACAGTGCATGATAGAGAACATAAAAAACTAATGGCAACAAAATTATTAAATTCGAAAAACACTTTTAACATAGGTACCACCCGAAAAAATATTAGGTATATATAAATCATCATGTTCCGGCCTAAACATTATAAATTCTTCACAAACTAGATTTACCACACTTAATGATATTTGCATTTTCAAAATGGAGAATAAGAATTAATTCCAGAAAGTCCCAATTTATCATATTTAATCACAAAATAAAAGATACCTCACCACAAATTTCAATTGACAACCAACTAATCTCCCCCACAAACAATATTAAATATCTCAGAATGATTTTTGACTCTAAACTTAACTTCAATTTTTACACAAAAACCATAAAACCAGAAATAGTCACTAGGGCAAAAAATTTCAAATCCTTAACTTTTAAAAAGGAAGGTATAAGCACTGAAACAGCTACCAACATCTACAAGATGATTTGTCGGCCACTGCTAGATTATGGTTCCATCATCTTCCAAAACTGCAGAAGTCCAACCCTGAGGAATTTGGAGAGAGCTGAAACAATTAGCCTTCGACACTTAACCAAGATTAGACATACACAAAATCCACAAAATCCTGTCTGAGAAATTCAGCAATACAACCTCAAACTTGGATATTATTGAACCCTTCATTTTCTCAGACTCAAAAGGTAATCCAATAAAAAGAAAATTTCCAAAGAAGACCCTATGGAGATTTTCAAGTCCATTAAATATTGTTTCTTTTTTTTTATATAGGTATACATATATATATATATAATTATGTCAAATAATTTTTTACCAAATTTATTGTTAATATACAGGGTGTCCCGGGTTTAATGATCTTAATTTTGCCAGTCGGTAGAGAATCAAAAAACAAAACGAATTTTCAAGGAAAACATGTATCGAAAAATTGAAAATAAGTGAGATAAAGATCTCCAAAGTTTGAAACTAAAAATCGTTTTTTTCCCATAACTTTTAAACCGTTTCACTAATTTGGCTGAAATTTTATGCATATAGTTGGGAAATACTGACTCACTTACTGCTTATAACAATTATTTTCAAGGCACTCCAGTGGCATAGATATTGTGGGTGTAGGTTTCCTTTTTCCGACCTATGTTTACGCCACTGACTTTTTTAAAATACTGACACTATTTTTAAATTCTGTGTTCAATTAGGGAAATAAAGTTACTACGGTAAATTTTTGATAAGACGCTTCGATACAAAAATATTCGAGTTTGAATGTTTGAAAAACATCTCCAGACACTCATGTGTAGGACATGGAATTCATACCTAGGTACTTGAAAATGGGTAATAAGTGTTCGCTTTACCATAGCATACATTTAAAAATTAATGACATTTCAGTAAACAGTGTTTGTTTGTACTTCAAAAGTTAAAAAGTTATGAGAAAAAAATATTTTTTTATTTAAAAAATTGGGGGTCTGTATCTCAGTTATTTTCAATTTTTCGATACATGTTTTCCTTGGAAATTCGTTTTGTTTTTTGATTCTCTACCGACTGGCAAAATTAAGATCATTAAACCTGGGACACCCTGTATAAATGTATTTATATGAGCAGAAAGACCTCGGTCATTAGCCTTCTGGTTTATTCCAATAAAGATATTTACTACCATAGTAGTATACTGATATTTGCAACAAACTATTTCAGAAGTCAGACCAAGGAATTAGTAGTTACCTTCAGAATCCAGAAAAGGGATGAGGAATCTGAGAAAGAAATATATGAATTAAATAATATTTAAACAAATAACCAATAACCATGGTCCATGTGTCCATTTACTATATAAAATGTCCAATTAGTATACTTTTTTGCATGTTTTTATAAAACTAATTTAAGTGTCCAATAACTATGTGGTTTACCCTACCAAGCAACTTTTTAACCAATTAATGTTCCTCTATGTAGATATAAACATGATATGTTCATCTGGAGTGGGATCATCAATGATAAAAAACGCCTCATCGGTCCAAAAAGTTTCCCTCAAATCAATCATAGGCCAAATTTCGGACGATGCATTAAGCTTGATAAACAAACTGCTGATTTTCAACCCCAACAAGAGACTAACAGCCGAAGAGTGCCTGGAACAGTACTACGTATCCAGATTCCACGACCCCGATCAAGAAGTGACGCTATGCACGAACGTCGTCATACCGTTCAACGATGACGTCAGACTTACCGTGGACGACTACCGCAACAAACTGTACGAGCTGATGTCCAGAACCACCAGAACGATAGTGCTCAAACCCAAACTCTTCACCCCGGAAATGAGTTCCGTTTGTAGAAACACGGAAAAGTACATAAAGAACCACATGAAGACGCACGATAGAGCGTACGTGTCCCACTCGGAACCCAAAATGGGACCGATCAGATCCCACGTTACCGTGGCCACCAGCAACATCCGATCTGACTCCAAGGTGGTACCGAAAAACTCGCGCATACCAACCTACGACTATAAAAACTTCAAGGGGGGTGGGGGGGATTGTAAAGCTCACGTCAAGGCCAAAAGCGACATAACCAAGAAGAAGGTTCCAGTTAAGTTGTCGTCGTGCAATAGCTACAACAAATCGTATGGGGTTATAACGCAAAATGCCTTCATGGAGTTGAGGGCAGCTGGTTTAAGATAATTGTGAGGTTTTTGACCGTTTTTACTATACACTTTTGTATTTTATATACCTGTACCAATTTATTTAAGCACTTGTGTGTACCTAAATAAAATACAATCTAATTGTGGTTTCTGAGTTTTACTTACAAGAACCATTCCATTTTTTGTTATGTTATGTTATGTTTTTTTTACCTATTTTAATAACTCTTTAAGTTTAAACAGTTTAAAGTATTATGAGGGACGTAATTTTTACGAAAGAAAATTACTTATAAGTGTATTTTACCTAAAGAAAAATTTAACGGTAATTTTAAAGTCAAATTTTTTACTTCATGGTAAATGTAACTCATAAGTCATAATTTTACGATATTATGTTTTTTAAGATGGCATCCATTACTTATCTAAAACATTTATATAATATTTTTTCATAAATATATTTTTAAAATATAATAAGGAAAGTTTAAAAAAAAATAAATTAAAACTAAATGATTTTTAAAAGATTTTATAAAATTTTGTAGGTTTTAAGTTTTGTTGAATTTTTACCCAAGCAATAATTTTTCTTAAAACCGTAAAATATTTATAGGGCATATAATTTTTAAGATGTATCGTGACTATTTTTATCAGTAAAATAATGTGAGTTTGAGTTTTAATGCAAAATATTATTAGTTTTGACAATTTAAGTAATATTTTTTAATTTTACTCTAGGGTGGCCTTTATTACTTTGTAAGTACCATTTTGTAAAATACAAATTAAAAGAACAAAGAAATTACGAATGTCAATGTTTTAGAAAGAGATAGCAAACAGTTAGTACCTAATTATAGCGTTATTTTTACGTAAATTTGTGGTATTTATATTGTTTTTATTACGTTATTCTCTTAGTAGATCAAAAAGGTTATTATGTAGGTAAAATAATGAAATAAACCATTCCCCAAATTTGGTAATTTTTCGTATCTATATCGTTATAAAACCGTTTTGGTTGACTTAGTAGTAAATTTGTAGTTATTTAAACTTAAAATGCTGCTTGGGAACTTTTATTTGCAATTTGTAAAATGAAAAATGCACCTAGGTACTTACTCATTTAAATTTAACAACCATTAGGTATTATTATTATTTTTTACTATACTATTAAAACTAGGAATTACACTGGGCGTCATTTTTAAAATATGGCGTTAACCAAAGGATAATTACAGGTTCATGTAAGTTTTATATGCAGAAAACATTTGGCACTTCAATGGTTTTTTAAAGCCCCATTAACTTGATACTGGAAATTGCCATATATGGGTCTTTTATGGTAAAATATACAAATATTAACCTGAAAAGGGCCATTGCAAGACCTTATCATGACAGCCTTTTATCAAAATTAATAATTTTATTAAAACATTCCTGTAAAGGCCCAGTAAAAGAAAAGCTTTGGCTAAAAATGCCAAAATCCTTACGGCAAAAGGTTTCAGTTAATTTTTGAGAAAGCATTAGCAAGTGGGTTTTCATAAAAAAAAGGTATGCTATTCTGGAACAACAAGTGCAATGGTAAAATGCTGTATTTTCTTTGGAATAAGATTTTATTTGTTTGTTTTAACCATTACATATTGTAGAGGCAACAGAGAGTTGAAGCATTTTTTGTGATTTCTCGATTGTCCACATTAACTACATTGTTCCAGCAAAGCATTACAAAATTTGACCTACTTTTGGATAGGTAAAATTGGTTTTTGTTAATATCTCCAGCAAATATGCAAAAACCAATACACCTAAAAAATATAGAAACAATAAAGAAAATACCTACCTACTTGTTGTGCAATAATGCGTAATTTTTTTCATTTTTCTTTTCTAAAAATTTCATGGTTGTTTATTTCTTTATTTCCCTACGAAAATAACTGTTTATAAATAGTTTGTTTTCATTTGCAAGCATAACTTAAAAGCACAAAACCTTCTAGTTTTGTGCTTAAAAGTTAAAACAAATGCAAAAAGAAAACAAAATTATCAGCTGACAAATGTTATGGTATGGTATGGCAATTTGGTATATTTTATGACGTCATCATATTATTTATTTAATAAAAAATTTGTTTCTTGATAATAAAAACATTATATTTCAAAATAAATATTCATTTAAAGACAACCAAATTTATTTATCCTCGATAAAAGCTTCAAAACAACAAAAACATTCGTGCGGTCGCATCGGTTCCCCGTGCCTACCAAGCGTCGTGAAAGCTCCTAGCTGCCGCGCTCATGCGCGTTGTTTCAAACACGAAGCGACGAGGAGTGCGCGAGTAGAGCGCCATGGGAACGGAACGGGTTCGTTTAGTTCTGTTGCGGTCTTCAAAATGGCCGCCAGTGACAGCAAAGCTCCGCTTAGAACCGTTAAAAGAGTGCAGTTTGGTATACTCAGTCCGGATGAAATCGTACGTAAACAAAACTTAAAAACATGCCCCACAGCTGCAACTAAAAGTTTAGGAGTTTAATATAGGCGTTTACGAGATATTAGATGAAATTTTTCGGTTATAATACTAGAACACCACGAATGATGTGCGTTTTAATTTATGCGAATTTGTTGTTTTCGTTCTAGTGAAACTTAAAACTGCATTACTTTAAGATTAGATATGGCTATTAGAAATAAACAGAACATCGTTTATATGATTTATAATGAAATTCGATTATTATACTAGCTTCCATTGATACCAACCATGTTTTTCATCATTTGTACACATTGCAAACAACTCTAAAATATTCACTATTTTATTTTTGCCTATTGTTTATTAAATATTAAATATAATAAACAACATATAGATGGTTTATTTACACAATTACCTTGAAAATTAGGTTAACATTAAGCAATCTTAAGATTTCATTTCATTTATAACAAGTTTTGGAATTATTTTACCAAGGATTTTTTAATTAGAATCCTGGCTGTTGTTACCTTTTTTATTTCGCGATATACTTTGGTCCTTCACGCCGGATGGACATTATTTTATTTTTCTTTGTTTATGGCGCCATTTTCTCAAATATTTTGAATCTTAAGTTCTTTTTAAAATTTGGCATTTAAGGCTTTTCAGGTTATGTATCTGTCAAAGTATAGTCAACGAAAGAAATAATATTATGTTTAGGACTTAAAAATGTATAAATCTTTATAACATTACAATAACAATGGGTGGTTTAAGAATATAAATACTGCATTTATTGAAATTCTAAAGTGTATGGTGCCAAATAAGTAATAATTTTGTGCATTTGGTCCAAATAACTGGTTTTCTCCATAAAATAATTTTAACTAAACAGCATTTATTAAAAAAATCTAGCTTCTCTATTATGGAATAAGAATATCTGTTTTAAAGGTAGGTTAACAAAAATATCATCTAATTTTGTAATTTTAAGGTTAGAAAAATTTATTTTGACCAAAATAAATAAGTATTTTGGATTATTTAAAAGACTGTATAATATGGTATTTAAAAATGTGATGCTTTTTCTTATCCAGCTTAAAGTGTACCTACATAAAGTTTTGTCGATACAAATAGTTAAAAAGCTTTGACTGAACTTGATCTACATCGAAAAATCATTATAACTTTAAAAATTTTAATAAATTACATGTCATGGGAGTATTAAATATTTTCACATTGCAAGTTTCTCTAAAAATTGTTTGTTTTCTTATAATCTAACTTAAAGTAGGTATGCCGAGAGGTATGCACAAGTTTTGTCATTAGAAGTATAAAAGCTTCAATTTAATTTGAACCATATTCAACAACTATTTAGTATACCTATATTTATTTATGACCATATTAACACACTCTTCCAAATAATCCACTTATTTATTTTGGTCAAAATAGATTTTTCTAACCTTAAAATAAAAAATTAGGTGATATTTTTTGTTCTAATACATTAACCTACCTTTGATACAGATATTCTTATTTTATAATAGAGAAGTTAGATTTTTTTTAATAAATGCTGTTTAGTTAAAACTATTTTATGGAGAAATGTAGACCCAATGCACAAAAATATCACTTATATTGCACCTTACACTTTGGAATTTCATTAAATGCAGTATTTATATTCCTAAATTCTTAAACCAACCATTGTTATTGTGATACTATAAAGATTTATTAACTTTTAACGCTTAAACATAAGCGGTAACACTATAAATATTATTTCTTTCGTTGACTATACTTTGACAGATACATAACCTGAAAAGCCTTAAATGCCAAATTTTCAAAAGACTGCGTTCCGTACGTGGTCACGTGGTGGGACTTTGAGGTGTGGAGCATAGTGCAATACAATTGTGTTTTTTTTTTTTTTTTTAATTTTTTTTTTTAATTGTGTTTTTAACATTTTAAATCTATTTTAGCGGCGTATGTCAGTCACAGAGGGCGGCATCCGCTTTCCAGAGACAATGGAAGCGGGCCGCCCCAAATTGGGGGGCCTCATGGACCCGAGACAAGGGGTCATCGACAGACATTCCCGTTGCCAGACGTGCGCGGGTAACATGACAGAATGTCCGGGTCATTTTGGCCACATAGAATTGGCCAAGCCCGTATTTCACGTTGGTTTTGTCACGAAAACGATCAAAATTTTAAGATGCGTCTGCTTTTTCTGCAGTAAAATGTTAGTTAGTCCAGTAAGTTGTTTTATCATTGTTAAGGGTTATAAATTTAACTTGATAACATTTTTAGAATAATCCAAAAATAAAAGAGGTGGTCATGAAATCCAAAGGTCAGCCGAGGAAAAGGTTGGCTTTTGTTTACGATCTCTGCAAAGGTAAAAATATTTGCGAGGGTGGGGATGAAATGGATGTAGGAAAGGAGGGGGAAGATACAGCAGGTATGTACATTAATAAAAAACAAAAAACAATGCAAGTAATAAAATGTTAAAAATAGGTAAAAAACAAGGCCATGGTGGTTGTGGTAGGTACCAACCAAACATAAGAAGAGCCGGTTTGGATTTATCCGCCGAATGGAAGCATGTGAATGAAGATTCTCAGGAAAAAAAGATGCCACTCTCGGCTGAAAGAGTGTGGGAAATTTTGAAACATATCACAGGTAAATATTGTCGAGTTATCTTCAAATTTATTTATTTTACTTTAAACAAATATTTATCTAAAATCGATTTTTTTTTTTAAATTATATTTTAAATTCTAGAAATACTAAAATTTGATTAATTTTTTATTTTTAACATTTTTTGGGTTATTTCAAAAATTTTGACATTTTAAACTGTAAAAAATAAAAAAAATCAAATTTTAGTATTTCTAGAAGTTAAAAATGCAATAATTTTTATATGGGGTCATTCCATCGTTTCAGTTGTTACATTTGTTCAACCAAAGTCTAAATTTGTATGTATTTTGAAATAACATTTTAGCAATAAAAGTGCCTTATTCTCTACGTTTTTAGTTGTTTTATCTAAATTGTAAAATAAGTACAGTTTAGCATAGAGGATTACAATTTTATAAGTCAAAAAGTGTGCGTTTCATTTATTTGAAATTCAGCGAATTTTCTTAGGAAAACATTACTAAAAATTACAGGCCTTTTACTATCCATCCACCACATAATTACTGTCACAAATAACGTTTTACCATTTTTTTTTAATAAAATTTTACTTTGTTTTGGGTGTTACCATGGTTCACATATCAAATAGTTACTTTTACTAAATAATATTACACCAATCAAACTGTAAGATATAATAATAAAACAATTACCTGATTTTTCGTTTCGGGTGCTACAGTGGCAAAGTAAGAAGAAAACATTTATAACGTGATAACACGCTAAAGAAGTATCGCTAGTAGCGCCACCACTCGGCTGTTATCATCGTAACAAAAGTACAACTTTTGATAATCAGCTGTCAAACGCGTGTGTTACAAACCAGTGTTTTTAAGAATAATGCCGGAAAATATAAAAAAAACCGTGGCACGATTTGTTGTGTATTTCGAGAGGAGATCCTGGGTGGAATTTTTATCGGTTTTCCAATAAACAGTGTTAATCCGAATGAAGAAATAAATTTCATACAGTCCCTGTAAATATAAATTGTATCTATTAGATACAATAAATACACATTTTAGTAATGATTAACGTGAAAAGTATAAACATTTCAATTCAGTAATAATCGTCAAACAAATCAGTCGTCTAAATTTAAACAGCATTTAGCATAATTAAAAGCTTTGATTAAGAATTCTTTAAAGTCTCCACTTGCCATGAATTCGTAGGTATATTTTGTTGTTTAAAATGCAGTTGTCGGCGTTTTTTAGAGAACTCAAATATAAAAATGGTTGATTTTAAGGTTATGTTTGTGCAAAAATCATTTTTTACTAATTTCCTAAAAATGTCCAAACTTAAATATAAATTATATTAGGTAAAGTTATCATCAGTTAATTCTGCACCAACAAATGTACTTACCGAATTGGATCCTTTGGCAAAACATGAAAATGCAACGATTTACTTCTTGATTTTTATTTACAATTAAAAACACAATAATTCACCATGATCCCTTAGATAAAATACACACACTAACGTAACTATACAAGCATTTAAGCGTTGAGTTTCTTAATCAATGATATAAAGAATAATCAATCGAAATCGAGTACTAAACCAGTTTTTTAGTTTTTTCCTTGCAACGTAAAACACAAATAACGTGCGCGATTTAGCTGTGCAATTGAACAAAATTTGTCGAGTAAGACTCTCTTTTGTGAAAAAACTACATTTTTATTTAAAAATGATGTAAAATTCGTATGTTTTAAATATGGAGCAATCAGAAAAAAGCAGATAAATCCGTTTTAAGCAGTTTCGAGTTATCAGCGAAAAACAAATATTTTTCGTTCTGCAACATTTTTACAAAGAACAACCCATGAATTCTATAGAGTATAGTGTTAAAAGACCTTAAAATTCATTTTTTTATTTTTGTCCACCTGCATCATGTGTTATAGTAAAACACCAAAATGTATTTATCTAGTGTTGCTTGAATTGACAGGATTTATCTCCATTTGCTTGAAATAGGAATAAAAAAACCGTTTTATCCATTGACCTATACAGGGTGGTCCAGGATTAATCTGAAAAATGTTAATGCCATTTAAGTTAATTTAAAATAACAATAATGTGATTTTTTTTATTTTTATTGAAACAAGACTTTAAATTGTATTAATTTGGATTTATCTGCTTTTGCTTGATTTGCTAGGTTTCGAGACAGGTACTCTATATCAATTACTTGGTTTGGCTCAATTCTGAGTTCACCAATGGATTAACCTTACCTCATTTACTGTTAGTTCATACTTAACTCATTTTTTAACAAAACTGGATTTATCTGCTTTTGTCTGATTGCTCCACAAATGTATTGTTGACATTTCTAAAATTCATGCAATGCTTTTGAAGTCCACCAGATGGCGCGCGCGTTGCGAAAACCCGATACTTCTTTAACGTATAATTTGAAATGTTTTCTTTCAAAATTCGTCAGATTTAATGGGAAAAGAACAAATTTATTTTTTCACCCTTAGTATCGTTTGTCATGGTTCCATTTAAAAAACCAAAGTTGATATCTCTTCCGGTTTAACCGGATGTATCAAAGTATAATAATAATAATAATATTTATTGCTTTAAGAGAATGTTTACAAAAAAAATTATAAAAAATTATAAAATAAAATAAAATTGCAATAAATATGCTAGTTATAAATAATAAACAAATATAAATATACATATAAATCAACATGAATATAACACAGTTAAAATATATAAATAAGTATAATATAGACTAAGGTAAACATTTTTTTTTCTTTTTTTTTTTAAATTTAAAATATATAAATGAGTATAATAAAGACGAAGGTAAACAAATTTTCTTTTTTCTTTTTTTTTATATGAGTCAATCCAAATGAAAACACCAAAAATGAATTTAAAAGTGCGCTGCATGATTTTTTATTGTAATGAAAAAATTTGGGGATGATCTTTTAGGTGTCAAATATAAAAATCCGTTGCCGTTTTAATTTTTTGTTGCTTTACTTTTATTTGGCACCCCTTAGAAGTCTGAAATAGTGTCAATTTCTTACTCTCTTATAGTGGGCCAGAACTTTTTTTCTGTGACAAATATTGAAATAATTTTAATTTTGTTTTACTGTTCAGTAAGTGTGTTTTCGATATAAATTATTATTATCCAATTAGTTAATCTCATAAAAGAATGGTAAACCACTAAAGATTCATGATAATTTGCCAATTTTTGTGATTTTTGTCTGGCTCCTGTGCCTATTCTACTGAATTTAGAAGGTTCATTTTTTTCAGGTATAAAGTACTTATACAATAGAAAACGTAACTATTATTTTAAGTTTCTAGACTTTCAATTTCTTTATTAAAAAAATTATTGAAAATTGATAATTCTCAAAATTAGCCAATTTTGCCCTCAGAAATCATTATGTTGAGGAAAAAATAAAAATCTGAAACTTTCAGGAAATGTAGTCCCCACCTTCATCTTTTCAGTCCAGTTAGTCTTGTTTTGTTATTTTTATTCCTTTAAAAGATATATTAATTTTTTTAATGCCCGTTTAGTAGCGATATTGTTAGTTTTATTTATAATTTAAAATTTAGATGGCTTTGACTTTGTCAATTCATGTTTGGTAGAGAAATGTCAGAGCTGTCAAAAATATATCATAAATTTTATTTGTGTGTATTTAAATTGTGTTTTCAAAAAGTTTGCAAGTGTAATAAATTACGGAGTGTTCGAGATTCATGAATTTAATTGCAATTAAAAATGCAAGAACATATCATAATTTTGTACCTCTTTCTTATAGAAAATATTTAAGTTCTGAGAAGTTTTAAATTGTTAAAAATAGACAAAAACCAAAAAATATTCTAAATAAACCCCTTTATTATAATATGTTTTATTTTAACCAGTTACCTAAAAACTAAAATTTAAAGAAGTATTTACAGATTGTGTAAATTTTTTCCAACACTAACATTTAAAATACATACATACATTTAACTTTTAACTATTTAGTGCCTTACTAAAGGGATCAAAATAATAGAACAAGACTAACTTGGTTTAAATTGTGAAAGAAACCGACAAAAAACTGCTTAACGCATTTTTTATACGTTTAAATTAACTCTTTATTAATTTCACTTATTATACTTAACGATATAAACCATAAGGATCTTAAATATATTTTTTACATTCTTCTTCTTTAAACACCAATTAGCCAATTAAATACTTCATTATAATGTATATAATATATAATCATATGCATATATATACAGGGTGTTTCATAATATATGCGCAGGACTTCAGGATGTGATAGCTCATCCAAAAAGATGAAAAAAGTCGCTATTAACTTACCCTCTAAAATGCACAATTTTCGAGATACAGGGTGTTGAAATATTAGAAAAAAAATCGTTTTTTTCGAATATCTCCGGAACCGTTTATCGTACAAAAAACAGCTTTTGTAAGCATTTTCTACTCAAAATAAGCTATGTTTTGTGCCAGAAAAAAAATTTTTTTTACTCATAATTGGTGGAGATTTTGAAGGGGTAGCGGGTGTTTTTCTCCTCAACTTCAACGCCCCTGAAAAAAGTACGGTTTTGAGAGGCCCATTCGAACCGCCAATGTTTTCTACACAAAAAAGGTACTCTTGATCATAAGCTCTAAAGTTGACCGTTTTCGAGAAAAATCAACTTTTATATTTAAAAACATGTAAAATTTTTTGAAAAAAATTTTTTATTACTAATTAAACAAAATTTATTTTAACGTTAGAACAGTGCTGCCAGATGAACGGATTTATCCGTTTTTTACGGATTTTCCAGGTCTAGAGAAATTGGAAACGGATTTTGAACGGATTTTCATCAAATACGGATTTTTACGGATTTTTAAGATAGCTTCATACTAATACTAAAAAAACATCATTTTTGCCCCGTTTTTTGATCATCTTTGTCACGCTTCTATTCCTCTTCCTTTTTACTACGTTAGACAGAAAAAGAAAGCGGATTGAAAAAGGATGTGTTCTTAATATAGGGTTCTTAAACGCCGAATATATGCGAAACATATGCTTTTTCATTGAGTGTGACAAAGAGAACGATAGTTTCATATCATTTGTTAAGGTTTTATAACACGTTGTTATTGCTGCCAATATATAAGCGGCGCAATGCCACCAATAGTAACGACTAACCAATACTGACTCCAGTTCAGTGCATTGAACTGCATTGTGGCAATATTTTGATCTCAAAGTCAATGTTTATTATATATCCGAATCTGTATATAAAATACTTTATTTTGTGAAAAATTGAAAGTGACGAGAATTATATCACTGACGAAGAGGTTCAAACTTCTGAAACTCCCCCGAAAAATTCTGAGATGTTTCGGATTTTCTTTGACGAAAGGTATGTTTTGTCACGAAAATCCCCCTTATAGAAGAAATTTTTCGAAATTTAGACAAAAACGGATTTTTACGGATTTTTCGAGGCTTCCCCCCACCCTTTCCACGAATATATACGGATTATCCGACCATCTGCTCTGGCAGCACTGCGTTAGAACAAGTAACAAAACCAAACCATAATTGCAAAATAAAAAATGTTTCAAAAGTTTTCTTTGCTAAATTCTCCAAACCGTAAAGGTAACGGCATTTCGAACATTTCAGCATTTGTGTGAAAAATAATTTTTTATTTTTTTTTTTAATTTTGTAATTATCGTTTGGGGTTGTTACTTTTTCTAACGTTAAAATAAATTTTGTTTAATTAGTAATAAAAATTTTTTTTCAAAAAATTTAACATGTTTTTAAATATAAAAGTTGATTTTTCTCGAAAACGGTCAACTTTAGAGCTTATGATCAAGAGTACCTTTTTTGTGTAGAAAACATTGGCGGTTCGAATGGGCCTCTCAAAACCGTACTTTTTTCAGGGGCGTTGAAGTTGAGGAGAAAAACACCCGCTACCCCTTTAAAATCTCCACCAATTATAAGTAAAAAAAAATTTTTTCTGGCACAAAACATAGCTTATTATGAGTAGAAAATGCTTACAAAAGCTGTTTTTTGTACGACAAACGGTTTCAGAGATAATCGAAAAAAACGATTTTTTTTCTAAAATTTCAACACCCTGTATCTCGAAAATTGTGCATTTTAGAGGGTAAGTTAATAGCGACTTTTTTCATCTTTTTGGATGAGCTATCACATCCTGAAGTCCTGCGCATATATTATGAAACACCCTGTATATATATATATATATATATATATATATATATATGATTTTTCAATACATAAAATATAACATAACTACCAAAAATATCAGAACTCTAAAAAATATTTCATAATTATTATTTGTGGTATTCCTTTGGTGATTTTAAAAAGTTTTATATATAACATAATATTACATATTATGTTATATACAAAATTTACCAAAGAAATACGCACAAATAATATTTATGAAATATTTTTGACAGTTCTGACACTTCTCCACCAAACATGAATTGACAAAGTCAAAGCCATCTAAATTTTAAATTATAAATAAAACTAACAATGTCGCTACTAAACGGGCATTAAAAAAATTAATATATCTTTTAAAGGAATAAAAATAACAAAACAAGACCAACTGGACTGAAAAGATGAAGGTGGGGACTACATTTCCTGAAAGTTTCAGATTTTTATTTTTTCCTCAACATAATGATTTCTGAGGGCAAAATTGGCTAATTTTGAGAATTATCAATTTTCAATAATTTTTTTAATAAAGAAATTGATAGTCTAGAAACTTAAAATATTAGTTACGTTTTCTATTGTATAAGTACTTTATACCTGAAAAAAATGAACCTTCTAAATTCAGTAGAATAGGCACAGGAGCCAGACAAAAATCACAAAAATTGGCAAATTATTATGAATCTTTAGTGGTTTACCATTCTTTTATGAGATTAATCAATTGGATAAAAATAATTTATATCGAAAACACACTTACTGGACAGTATAACAAAATTAAAATTATTTCAATATTTGGCACAGAAAAAAAGTTCTGGCCCACTATAAGAGAGTAAGAAATTGACACTATTTCAGACTTCTAAGGGGTGCCAAATAAAAGTAAAGCAACAAAAAATTAAAACGGCAACGGATTTTCATATTTGACACCTAAAAGATCATCCTCAAATTTTTTCATCAAAATAAAAAATCACGCAGCGCACCCCATTTGGTGTTTTTATTTGAAATGACTCATATAATAAGAAATAAACAATACACTTATATTACGTAAGAATAATTGCCAGAGAACCAAGACTGCTTCACAGTTTAGAACACACCGCGGTATATCGTGGTGGTTAATTAAAACAAATCAAGACTATTCACACAAACATAAAAATAGAATATAAATATAAAATAAAAAATAGTAAATGATTAAAAACCCGTCGTGTTCCTTTTAGACGAAGAATGTTTCATCCTCGGGATGGACCCGAAATTCGCCCGTCCCGATTGGATGATAGTGACGGTGTGCCCGGTTCCGCCGTTGCCGGTTCGTCCAGCCGTCGTTATGCACGGTTCGGCGAGAAATCAGGACGATTTGACTCACAAACTGGCCGACATCATCAAAGCGAACAACGAGTTGCAAAGGAACGAGGCGGCCGGCACGGCTGCGCACATCATCCTCGAGAACATAAAGATGCTGCAGTTTCACGTTGCAACCCTGGTCGACAACGACATGCCGGGCATGCCAAGGTACGACCGAGAGAAATCTAGAATTCCATGGATGTATTTTGTTTTGTTTTTAGAGCCATGCAGAAGTCGGGGAAGCCCCTAAAAGCGATAAAGGCTCGGTTAAAAGGTAAGGAGGGCAGGATTCGTGGTAATCTTATGGGTAAGCGTGTGGATTTTTCCGCGCGTACCGTAATCACGCCCGATCCCAATCTGCGTATCGACCAGGTCGGGGTTCCGAGGTCAATCGCGCAGAACATGACGTTCCCTGAGATCGTCACCCCTTTTAATTTCGATAAGTAAGAAGGTCAAGTGTTTAGGTTTGTTGTATGCTAACATTCGTGTTTTTAAGAATGTTGGAGCTTGTACAAAGAGGTAATTCGCAATATCCGGGGGCCAAATATATTGTAAGAGACAATGGTGACAGAATAGATTTGAGGTTCCATCCTAAACCGTCAGATTTGCATTTACAGTGTGGATACAAGTAAGTTTTTAAGATCTATTAATAAACACTTTTTTCAGATGTCAGTAAAATGACACTTGTGTGACATTTTAATATAGAATTCGAAATAAAAATGAGAAAAATTACAATATTTTTTTTTTTATTTTTTTTTGTGTCATAAAATTAATATTTTTTACAAAAACATGATTTTTGCAATAAAAATAAAATTTCCATAAAAATAACTAAATTAGTAACTTAAATATAAACTTTGTTCAGAACAAAAAAACTTAAACAAAAAAGTTCAAGTAAAGGTTTTTTTTTTCATTCCTATTTTGTCCTAAAAATTAATATTTTCCACAAAAAAATTAATTTTTGCAATTAAACCCAAGTTACATAAAAATAATTGAATTTTGTAAATTAACTATTAACTTGATATAATAAATAGGATTGGAATAAAATTGCTTTTCAGAACAAGAAAAACACTTTTTACAATAAAATTAAACAAAAAAGTTAAAGTGAAGTTTTTTTTAATTCTTACTTTATCATAAAATTAAAGTTTTTCTTAAAAAAATTATTAAAGTGGAACTTTACTGCCGATTTAATACGAGTATTGTATGCAACCCATTATACATTTTAAGATGTGTCTACTGCTCCTCAGCAGCAACTAAATAATATTTTTAAAAAAAGCACCATTTCATAAAATGTTGTTTAATAAAAATAATAAGTTAATTTTATTAATTAGATTAAAAAATCGCCGCGGCGGGAAAATATATAATAACCGTCGCAACAAACAGTATACAGTGAAGGTTTTTACAATAAAATAAAAAAAAAATCAAAGAGAAGGTTTTTTTAATTCCTATTTTGAGTCATAAAATTAATAATTTTGCACAAAAAAATGATTTTTTTGCAATAAAACTTTCCATAAAAAAAATAAAATTTTGTAAATTTACTATAAACTTAATATAAGTAATAAATAGAATTGGAATAAAATTGCTCAGAATGAGAAAAACACTTTTTTCAATAAAATTAAACAAAAAAGTCAACGTGAAGGTTTTTTTTATTTCTTATTTTATGTCATAAAATTAATATTTAAAAAAATTATTTTTTGCAATAAAACTTGAATTTGCATAAAAATAACTAAAATTTAAAAATTAAATAAATATATAATAAATAGAATTGAAATAAAATTGCTTTGTAGAACGAGAAAAATACTTTACAATAAAATAAAACAAGAAAAGTTAAAAGTGAAGTTTTTTTAAATCTTATTTTATGTCATAAAATTAATATTTTTCTCAAAAAAAAATGATTTAAGTGGAGGTTTTTACATTAAAATTAAACAAAATCAAAGAGAATGTTTTTTTAATTCCTATTTTGAGTCATAAAATTAATAATTTTACACAATAATTTTTTGCAATAAAACTTAAATTTTCATAAAAAGAATTTTGTAAATTTACTATAAACTTGATATAAGTAATAAATAGAATTGGAATAAAATTGCTTTTCAGAACGAGAAAATCACTTTTTACAATAAAAAAGTGCAAGAACCAAGTTTCAGTTAAAAAATACTCACAAATCAAGAAAAACCAAGTGTCGCCTCCAAATTTAAAAAAGTTGATTTTTTACGGAATGAAGAAAAAATAGTTTATTTTATGCGGAGTAAAGTGACTTTTTGAACCCTCAAAAATTGACACTAGCTCCTTATAAAATAATGTTTTTTTTATTACAGAGTAGAAAGACACATTCGTGATGGCGATTTGGTTATTTTCAATCGTCAACCGACCCTCCACAAGATGAGTATGATGGGGCACAGGGTCAAAGTGCTGCCTTGGTCCACTTTCAGGATGAATTTGTCCTGTACTTCCCCCTACAACGCCGATTTCGACGGCGACGAAATGAACTTGCACGTTCCGCAAAGTATGGAAACAAGGTAGGAGGACATTCAATTGATTGCAAGTACCGCAAAAACAATGCGTTTTATTTCAGAGCCGAAGTGGAAAACCTGCACATAACCCCGAGGCAAATTATCACGCCGCAAGCCAATCAACCCGTCATGGGTATCGTGCAAGATACTCTTACCGCGGTGAGAAAGATGACGAAAAGGGACGTTTTCATCGAGAAAGAACAGATGATGAACATACTCATGTTCTTGCCGATTTGGGACGGTAAAATGCCCAGACCGGCGATCCTAAAACCCAAACCCCTCTGGACGGGGAAGCAAATATTCTCGCTGATTATCCCGGGAAATGTAAATATGATCCGTACGCACTCGACGCATCCCGACGACGAGGACGACGGTCCGTACCGGTGGATCTCCCCCGGCGACACCAAGGTCATGGTGGAGCACGGCGAGTTGATCATGGGGATCCTCTGCAAAAAATCCCTCGGTACTTCCCCCGGTTCTCTCCTCCACATCTGCATGTTGGAGCTGGGGCACGAGGTGTGCGGCAGGTTCTACGGTAACATCCAGACCGTGATCAACAATTGGCTGCTCCTCGAAGGTCACAGCATCGGTATCGGAGATACGATTGCCGATCCTCAGACCTACTTGGAGATCCAAAAGGCCATCCACAAAGCCAAAGAGGACGTCATAGAGGTCATCCAGAAGGCTCACAATATGGAGTTGGAGCCTACTCCGGGTAATACCTTGCGTCAAACCTTCGAAAATCAAGTGAACAGGATTTTGAACGACGCTCGTGACAAAACCGGTGGTTCCGCCAAGAAATCTCTAACCGAATACAACAACTTGAAGGCGATGGTGGTGTCGGGATCCAAAGGCTCCAACATCAACATCTCCCAGGTTATCGCTTGCGTGGGGCAGCAAAACGTCGAGGGTAAGCGTATCCCGTTCGGTTTCCGTAAAAGAACGCTGCCGCACTTCATAAAAGACGATTACGGTCCCGAGTCGAGAGGTTTCGTGGAGAATTCCTACCTTGCCGGTTTAACCCCGTCCGAGTTCTATTTCCACGCCATGGGTGGTCGCGAAGGTCTCATCGATACCGCCGTGAAGACCGCCGAAACCGGTTACATCCAGCGTCGTCTCATAAAGGCTATGGAGTCGGTTATGGTGAATTACGACGGCACCGTGCGTAACTCCGTCGGGCAGCTGATTCAGCTGCGTTACGGGGAGGACGGTCTGTGCGGGGAGATGGTGGAGTTTCAGTACCTCCCCACCGTCAAACTCAGCAACAAAGCTTTCGAGCGGAAGTTCCGTTTCGATCCCAGCAACGAGCGGTACTTACGAAGGGTTTTTAACGAGGACGTCATAAAACAATTAATGGGTTCGGGAGAAGTCATTTCCGAGTTAGAACGAGAGTGGGAGCAGCTGCAAAAAGACCGCGAAGCGTTGAGGCAGATTTTCCCCAGCGGAGAATCAAAAGTCGTACTGCCTTGTAACTTGCAACGCATGATATGGAACGTGCAGAAAATCTTCCACATCAACAAAAGAGCACCCACGGACCTCTCCCCTGTGAGAGTCATACAGGGGGTTAGAGAGCTCCTCAAAAAGTGCATCATCGTGGCGGGGGAAGACAGACTCTCCAAACAAGCCAACGAAAACGCCACCTTGCTCTTCCAATGCTTGGTGAGATCCACCCTATGCACAAAGTGCGTTTCGGAGGAGTTCAGGCTGAGCACCGAAGCCTTCGAATGGTTGATCGGAGAAATCGAGACGAGATTCCAGCAGGCTCAGGCGAATCCCGGCGAGATGGTGGGCGCGTTGGCCGCGCAGTCCCTCGGAGAACCCGCCACTCAGATGACCCTCAACACCTTCCATTTTGCTGGAGTATCCTCCAAAAACGTAACCCTCGGTGTGCCGCGTCTAAAGGAAATCATCAACATCTCCAAGAAGCCTAAAGCGCCTTCCCTTACGGTCTTCTTGACCGGGGCTGCGGCCAGGGACGCGGAAAAGGCCAAAAACGTGCTGTGTCGCTTGGAGCACACCACGTTGAGAAAAGTGACGGCGAACACGGCGATTTACTACGATCCCGACCCGCAGAACACCGTCATCCCCGAGGATCAGGAGTTCGTTAACGTTTACTACGAGATGCCGGATTTCGATCCGACCCGGATCTCGCCGTGGCTGCTTCGTATCGAGCTGGACAGGAAGCGCATGACGGACAAAAAATTGACCATGGAGCAGATCGCGGAAAAAATTAACGCGGGTTTCGGCGACGATCTGAACTGCATATTCAACGACGACAACGCCGAGAAACTGGTGCTGCGGATTCGTATCATGGACAGCGACGACGGTAAATTCGGCGAAGGGGCCGATGAAGACGTGGATAAAATGGACGACGACATGTTTTTAAGGTGTATCGAGGCCAACATGCTGAGCGACATGACTTTACAGGGTATCGAAGCCATTTCCAAAGTGTACATGCATTTGCCGCAGACAGACTCGAAGAAAAGGATCGTTATAACTGACGCGGGCGAGTTTAAAGCCATTGCGGAATGGCTACTGGAAACTGACGGTACCAGCATGATGAAAGTTCTATCTGAAAGAGACGTGGATCCCGTAAGAACGTTCTCCAACGATATCTGCGAGATTTTCTCCGTGCTCGGCATCGAGGCCGTACGTAAATCGGTGGAGAAAGAAATGAACGCCGTGTTGTCGTTCTACGGTCTCTACGTAAACTACCGTCACTTGGCTTTGCTTTGCGACGTGATGACGGCCAAAGGTCATCTCATGGCCATCACGCGTCACGGTATCAACAGACAGGACACCGGTGCTCTCATGAGATGCTCGTTCGAAGAAACGGTGGACGTGCTGCTCGACGCCGCCTCGCACGCCGAAGTCGACCCCATGAGAGGCGTGTCCGAGAACATCATCATGGGTCAGTTGCCGCGCATGGGCACCGGCTGCTTCGACCTGCTCCTCGACGCGGAAAAGTGCAAGATGGGCATAGCCATCCCCCAAGCTCACGGAGCCGACATAATGTCTTCGGGCATGTTCTTCGGCTCGGCGGCCACTCCGAGCAGCATGAGCCCCGGAGGAGCCATGACTCCGTGGAACCAAGCCGCCACTCCGTACATGGGAAACGCCTGGTCTCCGCACAGTAAGTACAATTTTTTTAATTTCATTTTAACTCGCTACGTTGGTCGATTTATGACATTGGACGTTTTAGAATGTATTAAATATTTGGCGAAAAACATCTTCAGCATGATCATGATCTTCAGGTTTAATGTTTCCCCATCACTATCAGCATATTATCATCATTCCTCATACCAATTAATTTTTTCTTCCAAATCTTCATTTTTTAGAAAATTATGGACAAAATTCTTTGGAAAAAGTTACAGTCTTGGTTTTTCCTTTTAAGTTTCTTTTTTACTTCCTTTTTCTAAATTTTGATAGTTTCGGTTTTTGGATTTACCGGTGGAATAATCGTCTTCAATAGGGAGGCAATAAAATCTTAGGGTATCGGCGCAGTTCAGTACACTGCCATTCATTAATAGCAATAATAATCTAAACAATAAAAATAAATATAATACATACCTCTAGCAGGAATGATTATCTGGATAATTTATTATTTTAACTTAGCGTCGAACTTGAAACACACTTAACAAAGTAAAAATGGCCGAAATGACGCTGATTTGTTGATGACTTTAGCGGCCGAGCCTCAGACAACAGATACCTTTTTATAAACAACATTTTATCAACCTTTAATTTATAAATATCTTTCTCCAAACGGCCTGACAACATTTTATGTGGCTCAAAACTCCACCACTTTTTCAATCGTTAATAACAAGTCAAATTTTATATTTAAGTTGTTGGAGTAGGCTTTAAAAAACCCAATATTTCCACTTAACATTTTACTTTCAGATCTCATGGGAAGCGGTATGACCCCCGGAGGACCCGCCTTTTCACCATCCGCAGCCTCCGATGCTTCTGGAATGTCGCCTGGCTACGGAGCGTGGTCTCCTACGCCAAACTCGCCCGCAATGTCTCCTTACATGAGTTCTCCTCGCGGGCAAAGTCCATCATACAGTCCCTCGAGCCCCTCATTCCAACCAACCTCCCCCTCTATCACTCCCACTTCCCCTGGATACTCGCCCAGCTCCCCAGGTTATTCACCAACGAGCCCCAATTACAGTCCAACCTCACCGAGCTATTCTCCAACAAGTCCGAGTTATTCGCCTACCTCCCCAAGCTATTCACCAACAAGTCCAAGCTACTCGCCAACGAGTCCTAGTTACTCACCCACTTCTCCCTCTTACTCGCCGACTTCACCAAGCTACTCGCCGACTTCACCAAGCTATTCTCCGACTTCACCGAGCTACTCGCCAACGAGTCCCAGTTACTCACCCACTTCACCAAGTTACTCGCCCACTTCACCAAGCTATTCACCGACGTCGCCTTCATACAGCCCCACCTCACCGAGCTACTCTCCAACGAGTCCCAGCTACTCGCCCACATCTCCGAGTTACTCACCAACTTCGCCTTCATACTCACCGTCTTCTCCGAGATACACACCCGCTTCGCCATCTTACTCCCCAACTTCGCCCTCATACTCGCCGTCTTCTCCCCAATATTCGCCGGCTTCTCCCAGCTACTCGCCGTCCTCCCCGAAATATTCACCGACGTCTCCGAGCTACTCCCCCACTTCGCCGTCGTTCGGGGGCGGAAGTCCGCAATATTCGCCGACTTCGCCGAGTTATTCTCCTACGTCGCCGAATTATTCGCCGTCTAGTCCGCAGCACACGCCGGCTGCAAGTTCTAGATACTCCCCGTCGTCACCAAATTACTCCCCCAGCTCACCCAGCTACTCGCCGACCTCTCCCCAATATTCACCGCACAGCACCAAATATTCACCCACTTCTCCCACCTACACCCCCACCTCCCCGAGTTATTCTCCCGCTTCACCCGCTTATTCACCAAATCCTCCAAGGTATTCTCCTTCATCTCCCAGCTACTCTCCTACAAGTCCAGGACAGGACCAAGATTAAAATATCCATCAATAGTTTGTTTAATTATAGTATAAGACATTGTTTTTTATAATATTTTTCTAGAGGGAGTTAAAGATGATAATGAAGAAATGCAAAAGACTGTATTTTTATGAAATGATTGATTTTGCTTAATGATTTTAGAGGAAGCATTTCTCACGTTTTGTGTGTGTAAATAGAATATTTTATTATGTATAAATGTTAATCAACATTCTTTAATAAAAAAAATATGTAAAAAATTTATTTGTTTTATTTACTCCCAAGTATACAATAGTTGGGTACTTAATGCACGGGCAATAAATTGAAAAAATAGTGAGGTTAAAACCGTTTGACAGTTGCAGATTGGTAAAAGAGGTTAAATCCGCCTGACAGATGTCAGATTAGAAAAAATTGTGTTAAAAGGACTTTAAATTCTGAAAAAATATTACTTTATTTACTACTATTGCATAATATTGGGTGTTTTCGGTGAATAATGATAAACATTATAAATTCCCTGCCTAACAACGTAAATATTCAGGTTGTTAGGCATCAGTGATTGGCTGATTTCAATATTCACTGTGATTTGAACCAATCAGGTTTTAAATTGGGAAAAGGCGACAATAGTAAAAAGTGAAGTTAACCATTTGACAGATGTCAGATTTTATTTATTTATTTTTGAAAATCATTTAATTAACTACTTATTGGAGGAGATATATAGTATTATATGCAAAATTCACAGGCAAGCTTGCGTTACTTTAGTGCGGCTGTGTACAATAGACACGTGTTTGTCAAAACATAACCGTATTGTTGCAAGAATATAACCTCAAAATCTCATCTAACGTGACGTCTAGTGTACGGTTAGTTTTTGTGTTTTTAAAGTTTAATAAAGCTGTTATTACTCAGAATAATGGGTAAGCGAGGTAAAGGATTCAGAAGAAACCATCACTTCAATCATTCCAACAGAGTAAGCAAGATCTCAAACACCTTTTCTGGTTAATCACGTTAATTTTAGAACTCAAACAAACAAGATCAAAAGCCGCAAGAAAATGCCGATACGAGAAAGCCATATATGGATATTGTCAGGGAAAATGAGAAGTTTGTTGAGTACTACAGGGTAATAAAACAAGTTGTTTTAATTAAGGTTTATAATAAATAACATTTTCTAGACGATAGGTATATGTAAGGAGGAAGAATATGACCAATTTATAACTTCTATGAAGACCGATTTACCGGCAACTTTTCGAATAACAGGCTCAAAAGGAGTTGCCAGTAAAATGCTTGAAATCGTTGAAGAGCAGTTGATTAAGGAATGTACAACACAACAAAATGAAAATGAAAAACCCCCGAATATATTTCCACTTCCATGGTGAGTGGTTGTTTTAGTAACTTTATTTTATAGTTAATAATGATTTTTAAGGTATCCTAATAAATTAGCTTGGCAACTGGAGTTGACAAGAAAGGATATTAGACGTTGTGAGGCTTATTACAAGTTGCACAATTTTTTGATATCCGAGACGGAACATGGTACAATTTCAAGGCAAGAAACTGTTAGTATGATACCGCCGTTAGTTTTGGATGTGCAACCACACCACAAGGTAAATAATTTTATGGTAAGTAATATATTATAATATTAATAATTTTCAAAACAGATCTTGGATATGTGTGCTGCTCCTGGTTCAAAGACAGCTCAGCTACTTGAACTTTTACATGCCAATGATGATCCTATACCATCAGGATATGTAATTGCAAATGATGTTGACAACAAACGTTGTTACATGTTGGTGCATCAAGCTAAACGTTTAAACTCGCCTTGTGTGGCTATCATCAACAATGACAGCTCAATTCTGCCCAATTTAACAGCATCTCTACCCGATGGATCTACCGAGCATGTTCAGTTTGATAGAATTCTATGTGATGTGCCTTGTTCTGGTGATGGAACGTTGAGGAAAAACCCTGATATTTGGTTAAAATGGACGCCAGCAAATGCGTTAAACCTGCATGGGTATTTATATTTAAAAAAATAAAATTTGTTGGATTTATTGTTTTTTTTAGTATACAGTCGAGAATTTTAAGGAGGGGTGTGGAGTTATTAGCCGTTGGTGGCAGAATTGTGTATTCAACGTGTTCATTGAACCCTGTTGAAAATGAAGCTGTGATACATCGTCTTTTATGTGAAACCGATGGGGCTCTGGAGCTTGTGGATGTCAGTGCTTCTTTGCCAGGTCTGGTCTACTCAAAAGGTAAATAAATTTTTTTATCTCCACGCGGTCTATAATTTAAACTTTCGGCCGATAAAAAATTTTATTAGGCAAGTAATTAGTTCGATTTTTTCTCGCTAGGGGTATTGTTTTGACAAATTAATCCTTTTCTAAGAAATTAACGTGCTAAACTGGTTTAATTTATTTATAATAAGCACTAATTTGTTTGTTTTACTGTTAATGTTTAATATTTTTCATTAGATTATTGTAAAATTAAATATGAATAATAAAACAAAAAGTGAGGTTAGGCAACCAAGAAAACGCACGATTCTTTTTTTACGATTTAAATTATCTTTAAGTTTTCAGTAAAATTAAATGTTAAACACAGCTTAAACATTTCAAACTACTAATTTTTTAAATAAAAATCCAAACAAATTCAAAATTAGATACCTACCTATTTATTAAACAATTAATTGAATTCAATGTAATAGCAAAAATCCATTTCTACTTAAATCATGTTGCTAGGTATTATAAGCAATAATAATTATTGTACCTTTAATGTAATCTTTAGCTAATAAATAAAAGAGATTCTAAAAAAGTGAGGTTAGGCCGCTTTGATGTTGAATTAAATTGACCTATATAAAGTGCTTTGAAAATAAAATGTTGTATGCAATTTGGCCAAGAAGTGCCTTTTTGTGCTTCGCTCAATTTTAGACCTCCGCTACGCGTCGGCCTTCAAACCTTGAGCTTAGCACAAAAAGCCTTACTTCTTACACAGTGACTAGAGGTACGCTAACGTACCGCGATTGAAAATATTAAAGGCACGTTAGTTACGTCATATTTATAATCCGTTTTTGTTCCCCGAGCATTTCATATTTGATATCAAGCTATCAATGGGGCGGGGTCGGTTGGGTTGTGTTGTTGAGTTTGGGATGGTTTGAGTTTATGACGTAACTAACGTGCCTTTAACATTTCAAATCGCGGCACGTTAACGTGCCTCTAGTCACAGCGTACTTCTTAACCTAATGACATAAATAACTATTATGTGAGGTTATAAGTGCATAATCTCCATTGTTATTGAAGATTTTTTTGTCACATTTTTGATGCCATTAATGCATTCTTAAATTAAATTAAATTTTGGGGGCACTCTGCCTGTGGGAATTTACGTGTATTTAATGTATAACCTAATAAAAGAAGAATATTTTTGACAATTTTAACTCCAAAATATTATATAATAAATTATCTACAATATAAATCTTTTTTTGTCCCATCCACACCTTTCAATTATTAAAATTATCTCTACTTTGATAAAATATTTCTTGCGTTTTGTTTTAATGAATAACCTAATAAAAGAAGAATATTTTTGACAATTTTAATGCCAAAATATGATATAATAAATTATCTACATTTTTTTTATAAAAACAGTTTTGTAAATCGTATTTTTTTGTTAAACACGTATTTTTAATTCGCTTATTTAAAAATTAGATTTATTTTTATGCCCAACTGATATTTTTAATTTAGTTACTTAAAATATTTGCTTCCTATATTTGTAAAACAACAGTTTTATATTTTTAATTCGCTAAATTAAATATATCATAGGATAAATTTTTAAATGTATTAAATGTATTAAAAAAAAAAATAAAAATTAAAATGAATTAAAAATATCTACTATGATATTTTTAATGCATTTAATAGTTTTTACCATGATATTTTTAATAAAGCGAATTAAAAATATTTGTTTAACTAAAAAATACAAATATAAGGATCAGATATTTTAAATTCCCAGATTAAAAATTCCAACATTTTTTATCTTATTGAAAATATTACTTTAGTGTTAACACATAAGAATAATTCCTAAAAAGAAAATAAAACCCATATTTCGCTGATATTTGAGATTCTAAAAAATATATCGCGTAATTCGTTAGGAATGGAAGAATGGCCTGTGTCCAGCAGAAACCTGGAGTTTTACAAAACGTTCGACGAGGTAGACGAAAAGTGGAGGACAACAATCCGCCCGCAAATGTTCCCTCCGAAAGCAGAAGATAGAAGCAAATACAACCTCAACAAATGGTTGGTATTTTTGGTGTAAATGTAAGGGTTGAAAGTATGATGAATATTTTTAGTATCAGAGTCCTCCCTCATCAACAAAACACGGGCGCCTTTTTCGTGGCGGTGTTGAAAAAAGTGAAACCCCTGACTGCGAAAGAGAAAACGTTCAAGGAAGAGGAAAAAAATCCTGAAGAGGAGGCTAAAAAACGCGAGAACGAAGATCGCTTGCCGCAAAACCAAAGGAAACGTAGGAGGAAGGAGGGGTACAAAGAAGATCCTTTTGTGTTTTTCGGGGAAAAGGAGGAGGTGTGGGATGAAATCAAAAAATTCTACCAAGTATCCGACGAGTTCAATTCGCGGTGTCTCTTGACTAGATGCGCTTCCGGCAAAAAGAAGAATATTTATCTCGCTTCAGACGCCATAAGGGACTTAGTTGTACAAAACCAAGGCGCTATTAAGTTTATCAACACTGGCGTTAAAGCTTTTGTCAGGTGTGACAATAAGAACATGAAATGTGCATTTAGGTAAGAAGCTTGTTTTTTTATGTCATTAAGTTTTCTTACCACGTTGTTTTGTTATTAGAATTGCTAATGACGGTTTGGAGAGCATTTACCCATATGTGGGTAGTGATAGAAAAATTAAAATACAAAGAGATGATCTTATATCTTTACTAGTTAATGATAAACCTGAAAAATCGCCTCCAATCACCAGCTTATCGCCTGAAATTCAAGAACTACTAAAGGATTTAAGTAAGTTATTTTTTAATTAACATTTAACTTCATGGTAAAAGAAAAAAAGGTATGTTCTTCAGTTACCGCCATCTTAGTTTATACCCGCCTTTGAATATAAATGATATTTTAAATTTAAATACACTGCGCGTCAAAATTAACGCATAATGAGTAAAAAAACTCTAAAACGCCTTTACCAATGAAATTTTGTATAAAAATACTGCTCAGTTTACGTGTTCGAGGGTTTTTCGAGAAAATATTTTTAAAGCCCTTTTATTTTATAATAAAAAAACGTTCGAAAAATCACTTGGAGATTTTTTTAACTAAATAAAAAATATGCTGTTAAAGACCGTATTTTTGTTATACCCTGAAAATTTTGAACAAATCAAACGAACAGTAACGAAGATACATCACTTCAAAGTCGGTAAAAATGGCCCCTTTTTGATTATTTTGCTGAAAAGTGGTCATTTTTGACGTATTTTTGTTACTGTTTGATTTGTACAAAATTTTCAGGGTATACTAACAAAAATACGGTATTTCAAAAAATTTACCTATAAAAGTTTTTTTCGAGTGTTTTTTATTATTAAATAAGTTATATTTTCTCGAAAAACCTTTAAACACGTAAACTGAGATATAAGTTGAAGTATTTTTATCCAAAATTTTATAAAGATTGGTATTTTGGATTTTTTTAACTTGTTATGCGTTAATTTTGACGCGCAGTGTTTTATTCATTTTAAGAAAATATTAATGAAAAAAACTATTTTATGTGGTGTTTCAATCAAATAAAATATACTGTTTTAGAGTAAATAAAATTTACTAAATACCAAATAAAATATACTTATAAAAATAGTGCTAAGAAAAATTTAATTTTAGTTTTAAGGTTAATTTTTTTAAATATTGGGTTTTCAGATAAAATATCTTGTTTTAAAGCAAATATAGAGAATTAAATAAAAAGTGTCAAGTTCCAACATTAAAATTGCAAGAAAAATGTAAACAACATATTTTTTATAAATTTATTTATTACAAAATTGTATTTACAAATAATTGCAGTTTGGGTTTATTTGCCAAATAAAAACCCTAAATTGGCCAACATTAAATAAAAGAAACTAAACTTGTGAAAAATATACATTATATATATATATATATATATATATATATATATACATTGAGGCAATATTACTTAATTTAAGTAAATATTTTGTTAAATTAACCTTAAAAATTGACTTTGATTTAAAACTTTTTTAAAGTTATTTAATAAGTTTTATTTAAGTTTTTTTTACCTATTTTAATAACCCATAAGTTTCAACACTTTAAAGTATTATGAGGGACGTAATTTTTACGAAAGAAAATACTTATAAGTGTATTTGACCCAAAGGAAAATTTAACGGTAATTTTAACGTCAGAATTTTTACTTAATGGTAAATGTTACTCATAAGTCATATTTTTACGATATTAAGACCACTTTATGTGGTAATAAATACTATTAACGAAAAATAAGTGAAAAATAATTTTTTTTTCAGGTCGCCATAAGTTTTTTAAGATGGCTTGCATTACTTATCTAAACATTTATATAATATTTTTACATAAATATTTTTCTAAAATATAATAAGAAAAGATTTAGTTATTAAAAAATGATTAAAACTAAATGATTTGTAAAAGATTTTATAAAATTTTGTAGGTTTTAAGTTTTGTTGAATTTTTACCCAAGCAATATTTTTTCTTAAAACCGTAAAATATTTAGATGGCATATAATTTTTAAGTTGTATTGTGCCTATTTTTATCATTAAAATAATGTGCGTTTGAGTTTTAATGCAAAATATTATTAGTTTTGACAATTTAAGTTATATTTTTTAATTTTACTCTGGGGTGGCCTTTATTACTTTGTAAGTACCAATTTGTAAAATATAAATTAAAAGAACAAAGAAATTACGAATGTCAATGTTTTAGAAAGAGACAGCAAACAGTTAGTAATTATAGCGTTATTTTTACGTAAATTTGTGGTATTTATATTGTTTTTATTACGTTATTCTTTTAGTAGATCAAAAAGGTTATTATGCAGGTAAAATAACGAAATAAACCATTCACCAATTTTGGTAATTTTTCGTTACCGTTATAAAACCGTTTTGGTTAACAGTAAAAAATTATTTTTTTATTTATATATCTGTCACAGATAAACTTTGTATACAAAGTACCTCTAAAAACAACTGCTATTTAATTGTTTTCAAAATAAATCTACTTACTATCCTTCACAGAAATTTTTGTCAAGCCCCTACAAGAATATATTGGATTTCCAGGTTTTTTTCTTTTGGCATTGTTTTAACAGATTTTCATTGGGCAGGTAGACATTTTTCACACTTTAAAATATCTTAAAAACAACTCACATCAAAATGTAAATAGTCAATATGGCAGAAACATCTAAACAACTTTTTATTTAGGTCCTGGTAGTTGTGTGTTGTTGTACAAAGAAGGTTTAAAGGACGGAACAAACACTTTAAATATTAACATCAGTGGATGGAGGGGAACAACATCTTTGAGATGTTACATGTCTCAACATAGCACAGTGCATTTACTTAGGTTACTTGGTGGGGATATTTCTAAATATGGTAATTAATAAATTATTTTTATAAACTTATTAATACCCCTCTTAATTTAATTTTTTAGATACTAATAAATACAAGAAGGCAGTAGAACCTGCTGATGAAACTGAAGAACCTAAAGAAGAAACAGCACCAATGGAAACTGAGCAGGTAAAAAATGATGCACAATGATTTAATTGTTGTATATTATTTATTTGGACGTTTCAATATTCTGATTAAGATTTTTAAGTATTGTATAACAGTTTATTATTGACTTAGGAAAAAGTTGTTTTACAATAAAATAAATTTTTAATAACTCTAGAAGGTTTTAATATCTCACTATAATCAGCTAGTTAACTATTGTTACTATTGATTATGTCAGCGGTAAAATATTAAAAGGATGAAGTGTAATAAAAAATAGTTTATCACAAATATTGCGCCGAAAAAATCACAACGGAAAATGCATGTAAAGCACAGCCAAGTACTGAAGTGATTATGTTAAAATTGTGCTAAAATTTTTTAAAAAATTCAACCCTGAATAACCACCTGTTTCTGAACCGTTTGTTTTACCCTGGTGTTTTTCGAGCACGGTTTTACCCCCATAAAGTGCTTCCTCCAACAACCTTCCTCGTCCTCCAAATTTTCGTGACACAGGGGACACCTGTTGCTTCCCTCGGAAAGTTCTGAAAAGATTATTTTGCTGTCTAGTTTACTAATTTTCAGTTTCGGTTTTCAAATTTCTTGTACATTTGGTGTCCCTCAACTTTGATATTTTATAAACAATTGAGTTTAACGCCATTTGGAACTTTACTAAGCGAAATCAATTGGTTTAAGTGTTTTTAGCAACTACACTCACAGGCAAAATAATCGATCCACACAAATTTTCGATGAATTTCAATCGCAAATAACTTTTTTATTTGATTTCGGATTTAAACAAATATTAAAGAATATTGTAGATACATTAATGGAGAATCGCTCACATTTTAAAAATTACTAAAAAATACACGTACGTTTATAATATACAGGTTTAAACAAAAAGATGTTTTTTACCATAAGTTTAAGACACTCTGTAGAGTGGCAAAACCGTATATTATTCTAAATTAAGTTTTAATTATTAAGTCACATCTATTTTTAACAGTTTTGTTTTTGGTTCACCTTGATATATTTATTTTTGTGAAAAATATGGATTTTTTTAAAAAAACATTGCAATTTCCAATATTTTTCCTGTATGAAGAACTAAGGTTGCTATGGTCCATCCATAGCCTATGGAGGATGACAGTGACAGTTTTGTTGAATCATCCCATACTTGGACACAGCGCCGGATTTAGGGGGGGTCTTTGGGGGTCTATAGACCCGGGGCGCAAGCTTACAGGGGGCGCAAAATTTTTGACTGGTAATTTTTGTTTTTTACTACAACCTAAAGGGTTTTCCCCTTTTTTTATTTTTCGTGTATTAATCAATTTTAATAAAAAAATTATTTAAATTATAACCGTGATTGTTGCCATATTATTATTATCTATGCATAGTATACGAAATATGTCATGTCACGTATTACGTAGGGCGCCCGACAAGTTGTTGGGCGACAAGAACTTTAGTTTGCAGAAATTGAATATTTCCACCGATGCGATGCGTATGGGCGTAAAGGTTTTTTAATATAAGAATATTTTATTACACTACGAACAACTATTAATTTAAATTAGTTTAAAAGTATAGTTATATACAGTACCAGTCATATATACATATATGTATGTATATATACAGTATAGGTATTAGCCTATTGAAAGATGACGTCAATATTGCGATAAACAAATTTGCTTCTCTAAAAGCACGCAAAGTTGAGTTGGCAAAATGTTAATTTTCTTATTTAGGTATTTGTTTTTTATATAGTTTTTGTTTATGTTTTTAGGGTGGCAATATTTATTCGACATTTTTTTTTATTTCGGAGCTCACATGAAACAATTTAAGTTTAAAGTATTCAATTTTCAACTCAAAAAAAAATAAACGTCGCTCAAAAAAATCAACTAAATTGGAAAAATAGTAGTGGTTACAAGATCAAAATTATTAAAAAAATCAAGAAATGTATTTCAAAAATATTGAGCGACCAATAATATTTTGACTTAAAAATGTATTATGTTCCTATACGACCTACAAAAAAATAGTGAGAAGCCAAAGATTTTGATAAAAAAAGGTTGGTTTAAAAAAGTTTTGAGCGACGTCTAAAATTTTTTTATCTGTTGAAACTCAAATACTTTAGACTTATTTTTTTTATTTGATCTCCAAAATCAAAAAAATTTCGAAAAAATACTACATCCCTAATGTTTATGGTTAAATAAAATCCTTTTGTTAAGAAGTGACATTTCTTTGAATTAATTATATAGGTAGGGGCGGAAAATTTTTATTAGACCCGGGGCGCAAATTTTTATAATCCGGCGCTGCTTGGACATGTCATATACAGCTTTCAAAAGCTATAAAATTGTTTTTTGTAAATTAATGTGTTAATTTTGAGGTGTCTTCTTACTTTTAAAAATGTCTCCGACTGATGTTGCCCTTTGTACTTTACTTCTTGTGACGTTTAAAACACTTGCCACGTAATACTGTGACCGTCCATCCTGGATGAAATTAATGGCTTTGGCAACATGAGTCGGAGACATATCCATTTTTTAAAGTAAGAAGACACCTTAAAATTTAAACATTAATTTGCAAAAAACAATTTGATAGCTTTTGAAAGCCTTGTATGACATGCCAAGTATGGGATGATTCAACAAAACTGTCAATGTCATTCTCCATAGCCCATGGAGGGACCATCAACCTTAGTTCTTCATACAGAAAAATATTGGAAATTGCAATGTTTTTTTTTAAATCCATATTTTCCACAAAAATAAATATATCGAGGTGAACCAAAAACAAAACTGTTAAGAATAGATGTGACTTGATAAATAAAACTTAATTTAGAACAATATACGGTTTTGCCACTCTACAGAGTGTCTTAAACTTATGGTAAAAAACATCTTTTTGTTTAAACCTGTATATTATAAACGTACGTCTATTTTTTAGTATTTTTTTAAAATGTGAGCGATTGTCCATTAATTTATCTACAATATTCTTTAATATTTGTTTAAATCCGACATCAAATAAACAAGTTATTTGCGATTGAAATTCATCGAAAATTTGTGTGGATCGATTATTTTGCCTGTGAGTGTATATATTAGCAAAATTGTAAAATTTTAAATTTAACCCTATAAAAAAATTAAACTTTCCCCAACAGTACAGAAAAGTAGCTGTCCCACTTGCAATAATATTCACTACTTAATGCTATTTAAACATCTTAGAGTAAAATAACATCCTCCTTTTTTATATAGTTGAGAATATATTTCAAATATTACAGAAAAATCCCATTTGTGGTAATATTAAAAAATACAAGTGGTTAAAGTTTGTCCCTTAATTTTGGTCCCCTAGGTCACGTCTCCTGGATCATAGCTTTTATAAATGACCTTTTGCGGCAATGTATTTAGTAACGAATTTTAGTAGGAAATGGTTTTTTAAACTATCTTGAAGCCACAACACGTTTTTTTGTATTTTTTATACCAGCGTGGCAAAACTGTCTCACATTTTTTTATAAATAATAAATTTATGTTCTTTTTTTAAACAAATTCTAGTGTAAATAAAACCTTAAAAGGATTATTAGCAAGCAAAAAATATATTTTCAAAATGATTAAGCATTGTTATATACGTTTTTTTAATATGTTAGTAAATTTGTGACCCAGGGGACCATTTTTTTATTTTTTAAGTGCTTATTAAAAAAATCCAACTGCTCACTTTTAGGTGTTAAATAACACCCCTAAATAAACAAAATTTGAAGAAAAAACAGGTTTGTAGATTATGTTTTTGTTTTTACTTTTTCTTCTTTAAATGTACAAGAATTTTGATAATGACCCACCTACCTGAACATTCTGATGGATGATTTTGATACTCCTCAATTCTAACGGCCTCCGAACAATGAGAGCACTGCGTGTAGTCCAAATGCTTCTCGCATTCGACCAATAAATGCTCAGTTAACGTTGCAACTTCCACAACTTGGCTGCATTCTGCGCATCTAATCAACATGGGGCAACTCCGCCAATAGTGTGAGTTCATTGAGTTACTAGCTGTCAAAATGTGAGTCTCGAGTTGATTGCAGAAAATGCACTGCCTAAAGAAGTGTTTTTAAAACGTTTGAAATTTTCTGCTGCACAGCAAACGGAAATATATAGAAGTGTATAGGATGACTCCCCGTTTGAATACTAAATACTAAGTTTTATCAGAACTGTATTGAATCGTGCTTTGTTTTATATTTTTCGCCTCTATACCTATGCACGACTATACTTAAAGTCAAACTCAATGGTGTCTTACAAGAAACATTGTTTTGATTTTCTATATTCAACAGAGAGGTAGAAACTCGACCCTGTCGAATGGCGCAGTCGTTTATGTCTCTAGAAATTATTGGAAAAGGGTTCAGTCCAATGGTGCAGCAACTTCGGATTCCTATTCTCCTCAGAGACATAGAAACTCAAGCTTTTCGAATTTTACTGGCAATGATTTTTGTTAATGTCCCCGAGAATTATAAAAAACAGCGCAATGCAATATCGCAACGGTTTCGACTTCTCTTTACTCTGCCAAGTTATAGAAACTGGAGTCTCTCCAATACTCTTCTAGTCAATATTTCTGAGAGTATTACAATATTGCAAGAAGTTTTGATCTTTTGATGGATGCAAGTAGTTTGAATATTCTCATTTCTGCATATGATTTTGTTGAAAATGGTTCCTTTCTTTGGTTCCTTTGTCTGATTTTTATTTACCGCAACAACTCAGGTATGTAAAGCACAGAGGATATGATGTAAAGTATATTTATGTATTATATAAAGTACCTATATTTGTTTTTTAAAATTCAGAGGTTATGTTAAAAAAATGATCAATATGCTATTAAACTTGATAATTTAGTAATGAGGTCTGTTGGTAGACCCTGCACATCTCCACTGGTATATGTTAGTACGGCAATATTTAAATCTGGTTGATCAAAAAGTACACACCAGTGTATTGTAGCATCTACGAACAAATGAATTAATGGCCCATTGGCAATTATTCCTTTAGGAAAAATATTCAACACAGCTTAATTAAATAATAAAATAAAAAAAAATCACAATCATGTCGTATATAGTTTTTTTTTTCAAGCATAAAATAATTTTCATATTAATACTAGTTCAAAAGTCAAATTACGACCTCTATACTGTGGAGAGTATTGAAACGCTCGACTGACGAATACAACTCTATACTAGGGTGATTCATTTCCGCTAAGTTTTTGTTTTTTTTCGGTGCTCAAGCAAAATATTAATCTGCATATAGGAAAAAACATTCTCACCAAGTTTGAGCTCTTAATATTAATTTTAAACACTTACTATTTAAAATTAAAGTTTTACCGTTTAAAATGCATGTAAAAAATATATATTTTTTTCAAATTTCTAATGCTTACCCACCTTTGACAATATTGCAAATCGGTTTAATACACATTATAGGGAATGTCACGCTCTTTAAAATTGCTCTTGGGTTTTTTTTGTAACTCGCATTGGTTCACCAGTAGGAGTCGTCAAAGGACAGTTTTTGAAAAAAATCGTTTTTTTATTTTTTCGAGCAAATCGCCAAAAGTAGTGAGAAAAAAGGGCTGATTCATAAAAAAGTTATCCAACCAATATTTAATGAATTTACTGCCATTTTTATGACTGAAAACGTAAGAAATTGATAAATACCAACCCATAATGTTATTTAGATTGATTTTTTCTATTTATTATCATTATATTTCCCTACACTAAGAACTTTTTTAAAATTATTATGATTTCTCACTCATAATGAATAAGAAAACAACACATAAATTCATAAAAAAACACAAAACTTTAATCGGAATATACAGAAGGTTATGTAACATATTTCAAATTTCGCTTCAAAAAATTAAATAATCTTCATTTAAATTTTTTTGCTATATGACAGAAATGTTGAAAAATTGCAAAATCCACGTTACAATTTTCTTATTGTTTTTTTATGAATTTATCTGTTGTTTTTCATTAAATATTGGTTGGATAACTTTTTTTTATGATTCAGCCCTTTTTTCTCCCTACTTTTTGCGGTTTGTTAGAAAAAATTTAAAAAAAACGATTTTTTTTCAAAAACTGTCCTTTGACGACTCCTACTGGTGAACCAATGCGAGTTACAAAAAAAACTCAAAAGCAATTTTAAAGAGCGTGAAATTCCCCATAAGGTGTATTCAACCGATTTGCAATATTGTCAAAGGTGGGTAAGCATTAGAAATTTGAAAAAAAATATATATTTTTTACATGCATTTTAAACGGTTAAACTTTAAATTTAAATAGTAAGTAGGTACTTAAAATTTATATTAGGAGCTCAAACTTGTTGAGAATTATTTTTTCTATATGCAGATTAATATTTTGCTTGAGCACCGAAGAAAACAAAAACTTTGCGGAAATGAATCACCCTACTCTATACCGTGGCGAGGTTTTAGAAAACTGTATTCAAACGTGGCGTCATCCAATACACTTCTATATTTTTCCGTTTGCTGTGTATCTTCTTACTTTTCATCTTCTTCTTTCTGGGAACCGTTGCTGGGTGTCGATATCCCGCTAGCGGAGCTGGAACTCTGCCCCCCCTTCTCCGATTTCAATCCGTTGTTGACTATGTCCCCCCCACTTTTACTCTTCGACAGTTTATCGGTTCGATTCGGCTCGTGATTGGTTAGGTTCGTTGTGCTCGGGCATTTGCTGATTTCGGTTTTGCCGTTGGAAATAGGCTCCGGACTGAAACAGTCGGGGTTTACAGGCATGGCGGAGCACTGCTGAATCAGTCTGTTACGTTCCAGCATCTCTTTTTTCCTCTAAAATTAATAACAATTGTCCACTATGTTTTTATTTATTGAGTTATACAATAAATTAACTAAAAATCGTAAATTAAGTTAACAAGAAGTTGTACTTCCTTTAAGCCTGCAAAAAAATTGCCAGAAGATAGAAACCCTATTCGTATGGTAAATTTAAAAGGAAACGACGTACACCTTTGGTACCAACACTAAATGTATAAAACGAAGTCTGTAACTGAATATTTTAATGCATTTTAAACAACTTTAGTTGGCAGCAATTGCAATGTTGTCATGTTTAGATTAAAATTTTGCTTGATAAAATGACGCATAGAAAAAGAAATTGACGTTTTAGAATTTCGAAGCTGTCAGTTGTGTTTTTGAATATTTCGTTTAATTCGTGTATAATTTCGTTTATTTTGTTTGTTGTTTGTGTTATTTTATACCGTTTAAGTTTTCATTGCCGTTTTTGTGTTGTTATATATCGTTTTTTTGTTTTTCCTATATTTAAAATGCAGAAGCATTTAAATAGTCGGAGTCAAGAGTTGGTATCATCCTATCGCTATTTTGAGGCAGAGTGGGATAATGATGAACCTTTGTTACCTTTAACAGCTGTTAGAGAGGTAAATAGGATTATTATTAATTATATATTATAATATTTAACAAAATATATGTTGGATACATAAAATAAGAATATATATGCCAGAGATTGACTTAAGATGGCAAGATGGCATTTCTGGGTTTTATAGCTAAAAATGTCTTTAAAAATGGCTAAAAACATACTTTTGGCGGTGCATCATATAGGTTATAAAACTCTGACTTTTGACATTTTGGTATTCTAAAGTCCCAAATCTAGGGACCCTATGGTATTATTCATGTAAACGCCATCTATCGCCCTGTAGTTGCACTACTACTTTCACTTGATGCAATGATTTTAGCATCACATTGACAACCGTACCCGTTTCCTTTTAAATTTACTAAATTTCATTTTTTTTATCTGGACTGCGGCAACGTTGCAAATTTAGGGTTTTGGTTGGTAAATACAGTTGTCAAGTTGGTCGCATTAATTGAAACAAACTAAGCTAGTTATAAATCTAATTGTGGTTATGTATAAATTATTGTACAACCTACGTAGGTTACATTGTGCAGTTGTCAAGTTGAGTTGTCGAAATTCGTAGTTAAAAATGCAATTCATTTGGCTTTGGTGGTGCTTGGATGAGTATAAAAAAAAATAGTTAAATATAGGTTGCTTTACGGCCCGGAAGAGAAAGTATTCCTAGCGTATAATAATCTTCGCTTTGAAAAGAATTTATATAAAAGAAATTAAAATTTTTTGTGAACGTAAATGTTGTCCAATGGTGAATAATGTGAAAATAATGTGTGATGTAATATTTATAAAACCAAATTCGTTACTTTTTTCCTCCAAAAATGTCCATAAGGCGATGTACTTTTTCTTCCATTGTGGCATTTGGCATAATTTCATCAAAAAGAAGTTTTGCCCTCAAAAGGGCTTTTACATTCGAATTCGTTGCTATTATTTTTGGCATAATTATCTTTTTATTTATAATTGACAAGTAAATTATCAATAATAAATATTATTGTCAATTTGACGGTGTCAAAGTATTTAATTAAATTCTTTAGCAGAAGTACCATTTTTAAATACTAAAAAAACTAAGTCAACCTAACAAAAAAACACGAGTCCAGATAAAAAAATGAACTGTATAGTTTAGGGTGTGCCAAAAAAACTCTATATTTTTTTTTCTTGCTCTCCACCCAAAATATCGTAGAATATGTCCGAACAAATATTCTGTTAAAAGCGGAGCTCATAATTTTAATTTTAAGAGGTCCTCCATCGAATCTGAAGTTTTGCCGCTTAAATAACACTTTTGTATCGTCAATATTCTAAAAGTTACAGGCGTATAAAATCATCATTTTTGTATTATTAACTTTAAATTTAAAGCTCTGTAAAAAATCAAATAATGAAAATAGAAATTCGGCTTAATAAGATTTTTTCGTCCAAATTTAATGCTTTGTAAGAATTAGTCATGGATTAAAAAAAAAAAAAATTCTTCCTAGGTTGCAAGAATAAATAAGGCAAAAGTCAGTTTTCTGTGTTATTTAAGCGGCAAAACTTCAGATTCGATGGAGGACCTCTTAAAATTGAAATTATGAGCTCCGCTTTTAACAGGATATTTGTTCGGACATATTCTACGATATTATGGGTGGAGAGCAAGAAAAAAAAATATCGAGTTTTTTTGGCACACCCTAGTATAGTTTCTGCCAGGCATTACTCACTTGAAGGTCGATCTTGTCGAACTCGTGGAACAATTGCCGGTAGAGCAAGTTCCTGCGCGTTATGTCGTCATCGGGCGGCAGCTGTTTCCGAACCAACCTCGGGTTGACTCGGTACACCAGCACCAGTATGCGCTCGGATACTTTACGGACTGCCTCGGCGGGGTGATGAAGACCGCTAGATCCGAACTCGGATAACGTTCGACAAGTCAATCCGCTTAAAATTGACAAATGTTGAGTTTTTTTTTATAATATAGGGTGTTTGGAAAGTAAACCGACAAACAAAGACAGCAATTAAGTAACATTTGTGAGTGACATTGGAAGGGCGTCAGGAAGTTTACCTTGAGAGCAAATAAACAATTTTGGGGAAAAGTTTGTCTTTTAGTTGTTGGAGGTGATTTGAATAATTATAAAAAACAATCTCAACAAGACATGTTTAGGAAGTTTTTACGTACCAAAGTATTGTAATAATAAAACTCAGTTTTGTTGATTCACTACACGATTTATTTACAACTCAATTTGGGAAAATCACAAAACGCTTGTTGAAATTCACTAAGCATTTATTAAAAATTTGTTCAGTAACATTACTATACAGGTATTGTAATTTTGCTAAAAAAATACTAAATATGTTTAGTAATTTTAAAATGGTGTATTGTAATTATACTATACAATTCATTTCAACTCAGTTTAAGAAAATTACAAAATATATTTTACAATTTTACTGAACTGAAGAAAATTCGTTTCGCAATATTACAATACAAATATTGTCATTTTGTAATTCACTAATGATGGTTTTGTAATTATACCTACTACGAAAAAAAACCTGCAATTTTCTTAGTTTCTTCAAGAAACTTTCTTGACTCATTTCCACCAACTTCAAATACCGACAGATAGCAAGACAGATAGACCTCATTTGGGTCTTATCAATGTCGGACAATTTGGTATATTGGAACACAAGAAAAACGAAAGACACCTGAGCTTATATACTGTCCACCAAAGTCAACCGAGGCGAGATGTAAGAACATCAAGTGATTGCCGCAATCGGTACATACTATGCATTTTACATAACATTATAGCAAATCAAATTACAAACAACGTTTGTAAATCTGAAATGCTTTTTATTAGAAACTGTCAAATTGTTTAGGAAAATTACAATGCGTGTGGGATTTATACATATAGAATGTAAAATTACAACTTATCTTAGTAGATTTCCCAACAGGTCTTGGAAGATTGTATTATAATTTTGTATTGGTATATACTGATTTGTAATTTTACTCATCCTTTGTTTTGCAAAACAATTGTAATTTTACAACAAATTTTAACAGTGTACATGATTAAAATAAATAATGATTTGTATTATTATAATTCAAATAGCAAATTTTGGTTAGTAATTTTATTGATTATCTTAGTAAAATTAAATTCCGAATATGTATAGAAATTTTACAAATTTACAAATTCAATTTTACAATACAGAATTTTAAATTACTATAAGTATCTGACAAAAACAAAAACATTGTAAAATTGGAACCTGTTTAGTACTTTGGCTATAACAAAATGTAATATTACAACAAATGCGTATTAAAATTGCAATACAATACAACATTTTGTAATTTTACTATGCAACTGCTTAGTAAAAATATAGTAATTTTACAAACAATTTTAACAGTGCATCCCTAGAACTTCCTGTGTTTATTTTTTGGCAGTAAATTAATGTATCTCTCCCACACGGAACAATTACATCCAATGGATATCCAATGGATTTCTTTTATGGATATCCAGGATATACATAGGATATCCAGGATATCCAATGGATAACCATTGGATATATAAATGTCCGACCCTCCTGGACATAGTGTGGATATCCAATGGATACCCAGTGGATATAGTATTGTATGCAATATGGTTGTAATCTGTATTCAATATGGAGATTGTATGGATATCCAATGGATAACCATTGGATATATAAATGTCCGACCCTCCTGGACATAGTGTGGATATCCAATGGATACCCAGTGGATATAGTATTGTATGCAATATGGTTGTAATCTCTATTCAATATGGAGATTGTATGGATATCCAATGGATAACCATTGGATATATAAATGTCCGACCCTCCTGGACATAGTGTGGATATCCAATGGATACCCAGTGGATATAGTATTGTATGCAATATGGTTGTCATCTGTATTGGATATGGTGAATCAATGGATATTTACTTTTCAATAAATAACATTGGGTTTTAAAATAAAAGTCTTATTCTTTAATTTAAATATTTATTTTTATGAAAACATAAAATAGAACAGAAAACTACATATAACTAAAGAAGTGAAGTCTCTGGCTTGCCATCACTCCTCCAGCTGTCATTTGCCTTTTTATCAGCCTAATCATTTAGGGCCTATTTCACCTGTCTCCTTATGATCCCCAAAATTTGGCCAATCCATCAGCCCATTTGTTACCCTCGAGCCTATGTATAGCTTGCAAATAAAGGTACGGTATATAAATGCATGCATGTATTCACCTTTAATGTTTTACCTTCAATGCTAACCGAAAGTTTATAAATTGCACTTAAATATACCTATTTAATTTAAAATTGTATTAGTTTTAGACCAATACAATTTAAAATGATAACTATGATTAGAAAATTAATAAAATATTCACTTACCACTAGAGACCTCAAACAAATAACCACAAAACACAATAACTTGGCAATAAACTTTATGACAAACATATAACAAATAGCAATGATGGCGAATGAACCTTTACAATCTGTGGAATGAAGCAAATAAACATGAAAACCCTTTGGATGTACCTAACAATCATGGCATCATATTTAACGGACGCTACCATAGAAAAAGGACGCTTCTTTATCTTCTGTATTGTTCGGCAGCAGTGTTGTCAGACGTTTAAATAATTTCAGAAAGCTCATCAAAATGGCGGTTATATTATTAAATCTTTAATACTTAATTAATTAGTATACCTAGTATACCTATTTGACATAAATGTGGTGAATAATTATTTTAAATTTATTTAATTTATTTATTAAAACTTAATAAAGTACGGAAATATATTTCGTTTAGTTATTTTGCTTATAACCGGCAACACTGAAGATTCTCAAATTCAGCGCGTGCGTAGTACTATGAAATACAATAATAAACAAAAGGGACTTTTTTAAGTAATTTTTTATTGTATGGCAGACTGTCATAGTCATATTATTAACAGAAATAATATTATTAATATATAAATATTATTATCTGGGTAAAGTGAACATTTCAAAATTAAAAATTTCGTAGCTCTTGGCAAAAAATCAATTTACCGTAAAGTTGTTTTTTTACATATTCTAGTTTAAACCATCACAAAATCCCACATGTATACACACAAGTATATAATATATATATATTATACAAGATATCCATATCAGTTATCCACCGGATATCCAGTGGATATACATTAAATGTACAGTGGATATACTTTGGACATACATTAGTTACCATTGGATATATATTAGAGATACTTTGTTGAAATTGGGTTAATAACGATTTAAATTAAATCATATTTATTAATCATTACATAAATTTATCCTATAAGGGGCTATTTTAACAAAGAAAAAAATATTTTTAATGTTTTTGTTTTTTTTTTAACATCCAGTATGGATATCCATTGGATATCCAGTGGATATCCAGTGGATATACATTAGATGTACAGTGGATATATATTATACAAGATATCCATATCAGTTATCCACCGGATATCCAGTGGATATACATTAAATGTACAGTGGATATACTTTGGACATACATTAGTTATCCATTGGATATATATTAGAGATACTTTGTTGAAATTGGGTTAATAACGATTTAAATCATATTTATTATCATTACATAAATTTATCCTATAAGGGGCTATTTTAACAAAGAAAAAAATATTTTTAATGTTTTTGTTTTTTTTTTGAACATCCAGTATGGATATCCATTGGATATCCAGTGGATATCCAGTGGATATACATTAGATGTACAGTGGATATACTTTGGACATACATTAGTTATCCATTGGATATATATTAGAGATACTTTGTTGAAATTGGGTTAATAACGATTTAAATCATATTTATTAATGATTACATAAATTTATCCTATAAGGGGCTATTTTAAAAAAGAAAAAAATATTTTTAATGTTTTTGTTTTTTTTTGAACATCCAGTATGGATATCCATTGGATATCCAGTGGATATACATTAGATGTACAGTGGATATACTTTGGACATACATTAGTTATCCATTGGATATATATTAGAGATACTTTGTTGAAATTGGGTTAATAACGATTTAAATCATATTTATTAATCATTACATAAATTTATCCTATAAGGGGCTATTTTAAAAAAGAAAAAAATATTTTTAATGTTTTTGTTTTTTTTTAACATCCAGTATGGATATCCATTGGATATCCAGTGGATATCCAGTGGATATACATTAGATGTACAGTGGATATACTTTGGACATACATTAGTTATCCATTGCATATATATTAGAGATACTTTGTTGAAATTGGGTTAATAACGATTTAAATCATATTTATTAATCATTACATAAATTTATCCTATAAGGGGCTATTTTAAAAAAGAAAAAAATATTTTTAATGTTTTTGTTTTTTTTTGAACATCTAGTATGGATATCCATTGGATATCCAATGGATATCGTAAAAGGCATGGATGTTATATGGACATTGGGATAGCCATTGGATATCCATTGGATAGCGTGTTCTGTGTGGGCTTATTATCTGGGAAGCGTATATTTATAAAAATCGCTCATACAAGGAAAATACCGTGCGAAATTAGTGCAAAGATTTACCACTTGGACAAGAAAAATCAGTGTACCTGTTGTTATGTAACAGAAACATTAAATTAGTGCATTAAAAAGCAACCCTCAACAAGTGAATATAGTGAATATAGACCATACGGACACGGAAGTAATTAAGTGATAAGTGACAGCATACCTGGAGATCTAACCCCAGGCCAATAGGAATCACCTTATGTAAAGAACAAACGAGTCTAACCAAGAGTGGAAGGGCCACCATCTGCAAAAATCTAGTAAGTACTAATTAATTAATTAATCGCATGACCTAACTCGAAAATTCGCCTCAAAAACCTTACAATAATCAATAATTATTACTGAAAAAATCGCAACAGTGTTAATAAACCAATCATTAGGTAAGAACGCCTTAAAACATAAATAAGCATAAACTTAAGAGTCCAGCCCCAACAAAATTAAAAAGTTTAAAACTTAACGAACGAAACTAAAATAAACAACCATATTTGCCTAACATAAACATAATAAACTAAACACCTCTAAATTTTAGGCATCTAACAAAAATAATAGCCCGCTGCTAACAGTATAAGACAAATTTTAACATGACCGTCGCATACTTTTTTTTCATGTGATTTCACACATGTTTATTTGCTCAAAATTAAAAGTATCCCCATGTTGAGAATTTTAGGTTAGGGTTTCCACCGGTAAACAACCAACAACAAAAAAAACATGGCGAGCAATTTATAACTATTTTATGCTATTTTATCACTATAGACGGTCATGTTAATAAAAAAATTGCGAAGAACTTTAACTTACCTTTTCTATATCAAAATGGCAATTTAAGACAATTTTATAACACAAAAAACCCAACATTTGTTCAATATCATTTTCTTTGGCTACTTAAAAGTTGAATTACATTTTTTGGAGATCGCAAATATTGGATTTTGCTCGAGGGACATACGACGGTCATGTAAAACAGGAGTCTTCATTTGTCGGTTTAGTTTATGGTAGTAAAAAATATCTCATTATCTATTTACATATTAGGACAAAAAATCCTGTATTTTTGTATACCTTTGTTTGTCAGACGATATTCCATGGCTTAGAATAAGTTGCTCAACCATTTCTGCTCTACTTAACGCTAATCTAGGATGTGTACTGCTACTAACTGGCCTACTCAAATGAACTGGTATTATATGAAGGTCTCTATAAAAGTTATGAAATACATTAGCAAAAATTTTCTATGTAAGCTAAATAACTACAGATTTATAACATAACAAAATTTTGTACTTACCTAACGTTTTTGCAATCTGCCATGGTTAGAATGGTGTGGACGGCCATGTGGTGGATTCTTGCACTGGTATCTCCAGACTTAGTCAACAACTCCGGTAATAACTTATCTACACTTCTGGATACTTCAGTTGGAGTAACTCTGCAAAAATAATTTTAAATAGTTTAATAAATACAAACGAATAGGTAGGTATATTGAGATGTCCCCCAAATGATTTTTGGTTGTTTCACTGTTAGTCTAGAATGGGGTTTTTGGGAAGCCACCAAGTCTAGTAATAACATAGCTTCACGGAGGTTAGGATTTCGTATGTTTTTTTAAACATCCCTTTATATATTTGAAATATGTTATTGTATCTTTTGACACCTTAATATTTATATATTATACAATTGTACATACATAAAATATTTATAAAAAAAAATCTACTTACTGAGACATTACACTTCACAGTGGATAGGTTTTTAAATAGCAAATTAATGAACTTAAACTTTTGAATTATAAAACAGCAACACTCTCATCTGCATTTAAATTCTAACTGACTTTCAGGAATCACATGCATCTATAATGTCGTAAACAGAGGTTGTTGCTTATTTAAAATGATTAAAGCGCCATCCGTTGCATAACATTTAAAGCAAAAACAGATTCACGGAGGATAGAATTTTTGTAACACCTACGTAAATGGTTGTAAAAATTATTTCTTTTAATTTTTGATAATATTTCATATTTGATTCAATTGCTTTGGATGTGTTTAATTTACTTAGTGAACTGATATTTACTACCCCAGATATTTGAAAACATATAGTTTAACCTAGAAAGAGTAACATTCACGGAGGATAGGTTTTAGACTTTATCACGGGGGACATTTCGTGAGATTCACCCAAACGCATTTAGCTTACCTTCCTGGGACGAATTGTGTGAAATACAACCTTATCACTTCGTTGGCCAAATTGTACACCGAAAACACCTTATCCCTCAAAGATCTGTGCAATAAAAATATCGCCGCTCGTCCAGTCTTATTGGCGGTGTGCATCCTTGACTTATCGTAGCTTATCAGATCCTCCTTAAGCTTATTCAAGCCGTCCTCTTTATCACAATAGTTTTTCGAGTAAAATTTCTCCACTAAGTCGTTGCCAAACACTAGAATTGGTAAGGCAGCTTGCTTTTTTTCGCGATCTGTCAGTTTTGATTGTATTTTGGGGTCGGCTTCTAATTGGCATTCCCTCAGGAATTCGTTGGTATGAGAGCTAAAAAGTATACAGTATTTCGAAAATATTGTTTTAGGTGCCAAAAAAAAAATTATGGCGAAAGTTTGAGTCCATAATATTAATATTAAGAGGTCTATCATCGCAATTTAAGGTTTTTTTTCCTGAGCGAGTTTTTGTCTCAGAACTGCAAAACCATTGAGTTTTATAAAATTATCTTATAAATATTTTTTGAAGAAAATTGAATGCTCTTCAAAAAAGGTTTGATTGGAATTTCCCGTCAGATTAACCGTTTTCTTACAATTCTGCCTTAAAAATTGGTATAGTTTTACAATTTGATTTTTTAACTTTGGAATTTTGTAATTCATGTAAAAATCAGTATCCGGAAAAAAACTGATAGATATTCTTATGGAAAATCAAATGCTCTACAAAATAAGTCTTCTAACATTTTTGGTTAAATTTACTCCATCAAAAGTTATTCATATATTATATCACGAGAACTATGAATTTAATCGGTTAAACTAGGCTCAGTAGTTTTTTGTTTGGTTTTTGTTGGAAAATGTTGAATGCAAAATAATTTAATAAAATCACGAGACCGCGTAGCGGTCGAGGGGTTTTATTTTTAATTATTTTGCATGAAACTATTTTCCAAAAAGAAAAATCAAATAAAAAACTTACTTATAGGTTGAGTGATATACGTCTAGATTATTTCTCGAATTAAAGGAAACTATTTGACAATTCATAAAATCTGACGTATGTGTCAAAATTTAGAAATATTTTTTTAAAGAAAATTCCATTAATTTAAGGTACCGTAAATACGGGTGACTTTGCACCCCGCGGGTGACTTTAACCCATTTATGAAAAATCTTTTCGCGCTCGATAAAATTAACATTTATAATTTGTTGGTCTAAACCTGTCAATTGAGCGATTCTATTGAGTTTATATTACAGGAAAATCAGTGTTTTAAAGAAAGAAATGGGATTTATTACACTTCAAAATTGTATATATCGTATCAGTGCAAAGCTCTTAGAAATACACGCGTTACAATTTCTATATTATGCGCAATCCATTGGAATGATGATCCTTGGTTAACTACAGGTCGATTTTTTATTTTTTTTATTGGTAATCCCTTGCAATAGATATATGTCGCTGCTAACACGTGTCTAATAAAAATAAAATATAATATTACATTCATTTTATACTGAAAAAACACTGTGAGACAAAGTAACCCGCAACCAGGGGGTAACTTTGCACACCCAGTTTTTAATGTTTATTTTTGAAACTCAGCCCTATGTAATATTATAACATAGTTATTATGAAAGAGCAACTCAAGACTCAAATTTTGGTATACAAAATTTAATGATTATGATTGTTAAAACCACAACAATTTTAAGCTGAAGTTTGAAAGTGAGCCAAAGCCACCCGTGTTTACGGTATGTAATAAGTAATAATTGATATTTCGTAAACTAGATAACTTATTTTTTATTGTTTTTTAAAAAATGTTTGTTAAAACTTAACCATAAAATCGTAAACAAAAATCCAATATGGAGGCTAAAATTTAATCGCTGTTAAATGGTTCTAGTGATTTAATCGCTTATTTAAACGAAATTTATTCGAAAATTCAAGGCTTTTGATTGGTTCATATTATAATGAGGGAAATAATCAAGGTTAAATTTTAAGTCAAAACGAAATTCTTGTTTTTTCCGCTCTAGATTTTTTTTGGGTCAGTTAAAAACTTGAATTCTTTTATCGATGATAATCTTAATGTTATTGATAAAAATTACTGAAAATTAAAAAACACATTAAAATTTTTCTTTAGAAAATATTATTTTCACTATTACCTATTTAATCGTTTAAATAATAACAATCATGTTGTTTTTTATTGCAAGTTGTTAATTAGTTATATAATACCCATTTATAAAGAAAAAAATCAAATTATCATCCATAAAAAAATAAATCCGCAGAGGAAAAAACAAGAATTTCGTTTTGATTTCAACTTTAACCTTGAATAACTTTTGATTGGGTGAATTTAGCCAAAAATGTTAAGAGGCTTTTTTTGTAAAGCATTTGATTTCCCATAAGAATATTCATCGTTTTTTTCTAGGTACTGATTTTTCATGAATTACAAAATTCCAAAGTTAAAAGATCAAAATGTAAAACTACACCAATTTTTAAGGCATGATTTTAAGGAAACGGTTCATCTGACGGAAAATTTCATTTTAACCTTTTTTGTAGAGCATTTAATTTTCTTAAAAACATATTTCTATGTCAATTTTGTTAAACTCAATGCTTTGGGAGTTCTGAGGGAAAAAAAATTAAAATTGCGATGACCTCTTAAAATTAATATTATGGACTCGAACTTTCACAATAATTTTTTTTTGTCACTTCAAACCATATTTTCGATATACTTTTCAAAAAAAAAAATAGTTGATTTTTTTTGGCCCAGTCTAGACTACATATAACACAATACGCCTGGAAAGGGGGAGGGGATATATTGCAACTTACTGTCTTAAAGCCGGCAAGGGTTTCTCCTCGTACATTTCGAAGGTCGATTTTGCGAGCGACCCTGCAGATTTGTTTCTTCTCCTGAAAGAACCTCTTGTCTGGAAGTTGGTGGGACTACCAACGTTGGGAGAGTTTCTTTTTGGACTCGCGTGTCTTGGCAACAGAGGAGAGCCATGGTTTTGCACAGGGTTAGGGGAAACGGCTCTTTTATCAGTTTTAAGTAGAGTGGGGGAAAGTAAAGCACGTGGATCTTGTTCGTCTGCGCATTCGTCGTTTTTGGGACACAACTAAAAATATAGTAATGAGTATAATACAATAGTCTATTTAATACAGACTGTATAGAATCAAGTAAGTAAGGCTGGAGACAAGGATGACAATTTATATTTTGATCAGAGAAAAAGAAACAAACTTTAATTGGGCGTGGTTTAAACCAAGCCATTCGTAATTACGAACCATAGTTGCCAGGTTGTTTTAAATCAGAAGAGAACGATTATAATTATTTAATAAATAGTTCAATTTTATTTGTTTGAAACTTTAAAAATAAAAAAAAAAATTTAAAAATACCAATGTCAAAAATAATTTGATTTAGTTAATTTTCTTACTTTTAATATTAAAAAATACGAAAAACAACCCTTTTAGGAAACAATAATAGCATATGGCAACAGCGCGGCATGCAGCCAGATACAAGGGCATGCAGTTTGTCGTAGGGAAATGTGTATAGTTATTAAGAAATACATTTTCGCCATTAACTGGAATTTAATGGATTTTAAACAATACTTGGTTTTATTTGCAGAAATGCATTAAAACAAAACAAACGAATTCGATAAAAATAAAACCTATAAATTCTCAAACAAAAATAATTCTAAAAAAACGAAAATAACTTTTTTCTAAATCAAATGTTCAAATAGAAAATTCCTGCGCACGTTAAACAGCATTTCAGGACTAATATCTCCCAATGTATTTAAGATTTGCACCCTTAATTCATCGAGATTATTAGCCCTGAGCTCTTGAAATCCATACATTTTCGACTTCACCATTCAATCCCTACCACAGTGGGCGGGGTTTGGCACTTGTTTTATTTAAGTGTATCTATTCGTTTTAATAATAATACACACTGTATACAGGGTGAGTTTTCAATGGAACGCCCTATTTTTTATTGTTTATTCGACTAAAAATAGGTAGATTTTGTCTAAAACATTTTTTCATATTTGTAATAGATGGCGCTGTAATGAAAAAAAAATCAATGTTGTTCGATTTTTCTTTTTTTTCATTACAGCGCCATCTATTACAATTATGAAAAAAATGTTTTAGACAAAATCTACCATTTTTTTATTGAAGAAATGGCGGCAAAAATCAAAATTTTATTATTATCGTTCTTACCCCATTCAATTCCAACAGTTGATCAACTTCTGCAGCTTGATAGGCTTTGTTTCTAAATTCGTCCATTTGCATTTTTTTCTGCCTGGCCCTTTCGTAGTCCTCTTTTTCAATGGCGTGCCTTTTTTCCAATTCGTATTTACCCAACTTTTCGCCTGCAGTTTTAAGGCTTAACATTGCATGTTTCAATTTCCTCGCGTATTCAAATCTTTCATCTAAAATTCATCAAAATGTAATAAAATTTATGTTTGGGTCTGTTTTTGACGTACTTATAACAGCCACGTGTTTTTTAATTTCCATGTCTCTTATTATTTTTGCCACATCCGTGTCAACATACATAATAAAATATAAATCGTCATAAGGGGATGTGTATTCCGGATTATTTAAAATTGCGTTTAATTTTTCTTCTGTGCTTTCAGAACTTGACAATCTTCTATGTTCCAATTCCATACCCAATATATTAATAGCTATTAAACTCACCTAAAAACTTCAAATAGTACCACCTTTGAACAGTTTCATGCATAATTTAATTTTAGGTAAGTTAACTGAACTAATACGTCTACGTAATACCTACTTGATTGTACTTGTTAAATTCATTTTTGTGGTTTTCATACAGAACCAATTTGACAAATGTTGCTTTATGTGCTGGTACATTGGCCGATTTTAATTCCCTGCTGTTAAAATTGGCAGTCACGTTATCCGATAACAATATATAACCAACATACTCCCAGTTTATGTTTGTCACATCGTCGGATGAATTTATATCGTCATTGGTGTAATATAAGTCTGCCTGGGTTGCTAAAGCAGAAGAATTTTTAGTTTTTAGTCTTAAATAGTATATTATGTATCCAGTTTAATTGTTTAATTGCATACTATACTTTTTTGCGACAAATATTATTGCGAAAATCATGATTTAAATATTTATAAGTATAGAGCGACATCTATACAAGAAAAGAGTAACCAAATTTATGTTGGAAATCTGCTTTACCGGCTTTCAAAATGGCAGTGTTCGTTTGTCAAATTTGTCTGTAAAAATTGAAAAAGGAACAACAAACGTTAAAATTATATACAAAATGAAAAGGAAGGAGATGTAAAACATCTAGAAGTTTTTAATGCTTTATTGGTAAATACTGGTTTACTGCCGGCGAAATCAAAAGGTCAGTACTAACGTGCATATAAATATTGTCGTTAAAAAACTATACGCCTTCGGTCATCTATGCTATACGCTAAAGAAGTATCGGTAGTAGCGCCAACACTCGGCTGTTCTCATCGTAACAAAAGTACAACTTTTGATAATCAGCTGTCAAACGCGTTTGTTACAAATAAAGTCGGAAAATGTTAATAAATATCGAAAAAAAAAACCGTGGCACGATTTGTTGTGTTGTTGGGTGTATTTCGAGAGGAAATCCTGGGTTGAGTTTTTACTGGTTTTCCAATAAACAGTGTTAATCTGAATGAAGAAATAAATTGCATACAGTAAATATAAATTGTATCTATTAGATACGATAAATACACATTTTAGTAGTGATTAACGTGAAAAGTGTAAACATTTCAATTCAGAAATACCTAATCGTCAAAAAAATAAGTCGTCTAAATTTAAACAGCATTTAGCATTATTAAGAAAGTCTCCACTCAACGAAAAAATACCATTACCTATATTATGTACCTATTATATACAATATTATGTTGCCATGAATTCGTAGGTATATTTTGTTGTTTAAAATGCAGTTGTCGGCGTTTTTTAGAGAACTCCAATATAAAAATGGTTGATTTTAAGGTTATGTTTGTGCAAAAATTATTTTTTACTAATTTCTTAAAAATGTCCAAACTTAAAAATAAATTATATTAGGTAAAGTTATCAATAGTTAATTCTGCACCAACAAATGTACTTACCGAATTGGATCCTTTGGCAAAACATGAAAATGCAACGATTTAGTTCTTGAATTTTATTTACAATTAAAAACACAATAATTCACCATGATCCCTTGTATAAAATACACACACTAACGTAACTATATAGGCATTTAAGCGTTGAGTTTCTTAATCATTGATATAAAGAATAATGAATCGAAATCGAGTACTAAACCAGTTTTTTAGTTTTTTCCTTGCAACGTAAAACACAAATAACGTGCGCGATTTAGCTGTGCAATTGAACAAAATTAAACCAGATACTTCTTTAGCATATGCATTGTATATTTTTGGCACAGATAATCAAATTTTACTTACGGATTAAGTGTTGATGTGCTAAAATTTGTACGCAATCCAAAAAACATTTTCTATGCAACTTTATCACAATTTCTTGCGGATATTCGCAATTTTTCGCCGACTGCCAACCTTTTACGCATGGACCATGAGTGTTGAATTCGGTGGACCTAAATTTTGGATCCTCACCTAAAATATATTTTCGAAACATTTATTTTGTCGTTTTAAGTTTCGTTTTATTGATTTTTTGTTTACCCATCTTTAATCATATTAAATTATTCATTACTCTGATATTGATTACAATAATTATTGTTTATTTTATTGTATTTGACAAAACATTTTTTATTTTGTTTTTATTAGGTAATGAATTAATTGCAACTGAAGATGTAATTATGTACAAAATAAAATATATATAACTCTAATTTCATAAAACATAAATTCAGCAAATATAAGTCAATTTTTACTTACTAGTGACATAAACAACACTGAAATCAAACTTTTTAGGCATTTTGTGTTTTACACTCGTATAAAATATAAACTATTTGTTATTTTTGTACACATTTTTTTTAATTATCACTTCATTTATTTAAATCGCAGACGATATTGTCAAAAGTCTCACGTGGTTTTTCTTTCCCTATTTGGGTCATAATAAAGGATATATTGATCATAGGCTTGCTAGGTGCGCGCGCATTTTTGTCCACTATAGTAATATGCATAATAGAGTATCAATTTGAATAAATATTTTACGGTTTTTTTCGTTACTCATAAATGAGATTTTTTTTATTAATGTTTTTTGAAAACAATGTTTTTGATTAATTACTTTTTTTCAGTACTTACCAATACAAAAATTCAAAAAATCCATATCCAATTTTATTGAATCAATTGTTTTAAATAATAAAACTCAAATAATTTTTATAGGGTTTATTTAAACTATTAATTATTAAAACATAATTAGTCTTTATAATAAATGAGATTAAGCATGATGAAACTAAGTAGGCAGGGTTGGGTTGTGGTGTTTTTTACACTTCGTTTCGCAAGAAAAATTAAGTATACACAAAATTTTGACACATAAAATTATCAATTAGTATAAATGTTATCACAGACAAGATAAGTACAGGTATTTAAACTATATGGCTAACATTTTTATTTATGCAACAATGTGTCGTAATTCATATTATTAACACTATTATCTTCGCATTCTTCGAACGGCAGAGATTCGTACACGTTTTCTTGATTATCTTTGACAGTTGGCCTTCGTCTTCTTTTTATGTACCTGAAATTAATTCTTGAAAAGTGCGACTTAAATGTTATAGTAAATTTAAAAGGAAACGCCGTACACGTCATCAATCAGCTGATCGTGCAACTACAGGGCGATAGATGGCATTTACATGAATAATACCCCCTGGTAGCAAAATTTGATTTTAAGAATCTTCTAAGAAGATATGATCCGGAATAATGGAATATTCTTAGAACCTTCCCTTATTCCTAAGAATGTTCTTAGGGACTTTTAAAACATTCAATATATAGGTACCCTTTTAATGATGCAATTAGATTCTTAAAAGCTTCTTAAAACCTTCCTAAAAAGCATCCTAAGAACATTTTAAGAATACTTTTTTGGAATGTTCTTAGAAGGTTTCTTATGGAGCTTCTAGAAAGCTTTTGAGAATATTTCCAAATATGTCAGATACCGACGTTCTAATATGTTGTATTCTACATTCGTAAAATTCTTCAGGAGACGACAAATACGCCTCACTGTCATAATATGACAGTGAAATGTATTTGTCGTCCCCTTAAAAAATTTGTATTCTACATTCGTAAAATTCTTCAGGAGACGACAAATACGCCTCACTGTCATAATATGACAGTGAAATGTATTTGTCGTCCCCTTAAAAAATTTGCGACATATTAATATATATTTATTTAAAAATATTAAATAAACAATTTAACCTCTAAACCATAAGTTGTATGACATTATTTCATAAAAAGTAAAATTGGAAAATTTTGTGGGATAAGTCAGATTAGATTGAAGTTGAAGATATTTAGGATTATTATACATAAAAATGTTAATTCCGAAATAAAAAATCGGTATACAAATTAATAAATATTTATTTTTAACATAAAATAAAATACCTATAGTAAAAGTATTTTTGTTATCAAATATTGTTTTAATTTGACAAATAACTATAAAATAATATTTTGGATTGTGTTTTTTACTTAGTATTTAATACTAATTACTAATTAGGTACTTAAGTATAGGTATGTACCTTTATATGTAGTTTATGGTATATTTTACTATTATATAGGTAACTGAACTAAATATGCTTAACAGGAATATTCCTAAATGAACTTTCTATAGCAATTACTTTCTTAACATTCTAAGCATATGTTTAGAGTAGACTAATTTTTACCACTAAAACTTTGCACCTTCTAAGAACCTGCCTATAGGCCAGTAAGAATATTCTTAGGATCATGCTATATATCTTTGAAGCATGTTCTTTAGAAGAAATATAGCATGATCCTAAGAATATTCTCACTGGAAGGTTTTAAAAACATTCTTAGAATAAAGTGTGCTATCAGGGCAATAGGGTCCCTAGAATGCCAAAATGTTAAAAGTCAGTTTTATAACATATATGATGCACCTCCAAAAAGTATGATTTTAGCCATTTTAAAAGACATTTTCAGCTATAAAACCCAGAAATTTTGCCATCTAAAGTCAGTCTGGTATATATATTATTATTTTATGTATTTTATGTATCCAACATATATTTTGTTAAATATTCTAATAATAATAATAATTAATAATAATATTATGCATCTCTCTAACAGCTGTTAAAGGTAACAAAGGTCCATTATTATCCCGTTCTGCCTCAAAATAGCGTATTAAGGATGACACCAACTTTTACTCCGACTATTTAAATGCTTCGGCATTTTAAATATAGGAAAAACAAAAAAACGATATAACAAACACAAAAACGGCAATGAAAACTTAAACGATAAAAAATAACACAAACAACAAAGAAAATAAACGAAATTATACAAGAATTAAACGAAATATTCAAAAACACAACTGACAGCTTCGAAATTCTAAAACGTCAATTTATTTTTGTATGCGTCATTATATTAAGCAAAATTTTAATCTAAACATGACAATATTGCAATTGCTGTCAACTTAAGTTGTTTAAAAGGCATTAAAATATTCAATTACAGACTTCGTCTTATAAATTTAGTGTTGGTACCAGCGCGCAAAATTATGACGTTATCGATGACGTGTACGTCGTTTCCTTTGAAATTTACCATAAAAGAATTTTTTTGCTAACATGCAGCATTTTTTTAATTTACAATTATAGCAATTAAGACAAACTTACCAGTACACTAAAAATCCAACAGGTATTATCAGCAAAAGCAATAACAGAGCATATTTGCTTTTTGGACTAGAATTTGAAACTACCCCAGCTTCTTTAACGCAGCTGGCAGTCGAAGTGGTTTCGCTGTAAACAACGTCGTGCTCACTGTTTCTGTAACTATTTGTTATAATGAATACAAAACAATATCTTGAGTTTGGAGTTAGAGGTTTATTGTTCACTTTTGAGATTTTATCCAACTCGTCTGCTTCTCCGATTGTTATTGTTTTCGTTGTGTTGTCGGTTACCTAAAATAAAAAAAACTATTTGCTCCAAATGCCCTATTGATCTTATACTGGTTTTATAATACTCTCGTCATTGGCCACTTTTGGCTAGAAGCTGCTTTGGACCTAACATTGAAATTATAATATATCCAAATCAACTCCCTATATCCTTCAAATAAGTATGATGATTAACACATTTACCTTTATTTTCTTCGCGATCCACGTGTTTCCAGTATCCCTACACAAATTTTCAACGACTTTCTCAGGCAAATTTTGATCCACCTCGACATCTTTGTCATCCTGCACTACAACTGTTAGTTCATAATGGTCCAACCTTCTGTCCAGGTCGGGCAAATTGAATACTACAGTGTGGTCGCATTTTGCCACAACTGTAGGACTTTGATCTATATGGTCTCCTATGTCGTCTGTGGTGATAGAAGTTCGCGCCACGTCACTTTTAAATCCATTATTTACTGACTGGACCGATAAGTCGTAAGTTGTACTGTATGGGATATATTTAATCTGAAAAATTAAGCTACCGTCGGTTTTTTTCTTAAATTCATGTTTTACGACAGTCGCCGGTCTCTTTATATTACTCTTTCATTACTAAGTTACGACTAAAGTGGGGAACAATTATTGAGTTCCAAAAAGGTAACAAATATGTTACTAGCTATAAACCCTGCTTCTATTTGGAACGTAGCTGCTACGTCACTAGAATGTTTCAATATCGTTGCTAGACCGTTATAATTACTTTTATTTATTTGTTTTTACTTCTATATTAACTGTTTTGGTCAAACTATTAGATTATATTATCCCTCCTTTTTTAAATGGAACCACTACGGACTTGGCTTTTCAATTTCGTCGTTTATTAAATATGTACTGGTAGTTTATAACTTTCAGAATAACAATATAATGTTAAACTAGGCAGGTAAATTTTACTGTTGAACTTATGAATTTAGTTTTTGTAAAATAAATGCGCTTCATCAATATTTAAGTATAAACAAATTATTTATTTAATAATGTTTATACCCAAATTAAAAATCTCAATATTTATTATTAATTTTTTATTTAATTGTTAATACCGTGTATTACCAACAAAATTACTATTTATGAAATAGTTAACAACCATTTACAAACAATTAAAATAATTTATTATTTACATTACCCCGTGGTACTGTACAGTAAAAAATGGCCGATAAGAAGCATTTTCCTTTGAAGTAGTTTTCGCTACTTTAAAGTTTTTTTCCACCTTAATTTACTTTACGGTAGTTTTGGTTAGTACCATAAACGTTCCAAATACTAAAATAACTTTTAAGTTATTAACTTTGTAGTTTTTAACTCATGTTCCAGTTTAGAAATTTTAACTTGCAAAGGGACTACAAAGTAAAAATAATTATAATGTAATCTTTAGGTAGCAACCGAAAGTAACTGCTACAAATTAAATTTACTTGAAAGTTTTTTTACTTATAACACCTTTTTAAAGTTGCAAAGTCTTTTTGGGGGCAACCAAGTATTACTTAAATGTTTATTACTTTATAGTAACCATTTAAGGAAAGAATAAAGTTTCTGTTACAAAATATTGCTATTTAGTATAATTTAACTAGTAAAAGAATATTACTTAACATAACGTTAAGTTTAACTCTTGATATAACTTTTTGGTAAATTTACCACAGCTTTGGTTAATTTGGATATATAACAAGTTATATTTTACCAAATATATTTTAACTAGCTGGTAACACAGCAAACGGAAAAAATAGTTAAATTTAACTAACATAACGTTAATTTAAGGTTAATTTAACCAGTTGTGCTACTTGGGATGTTCCTTACCTGGTAAGTATATTTGGGCAGGTAAGTGTCGTTGATTATTTTGTATACTTCGGATATTTGTTCGTGTTCATCAGTTTTACTCAAATTTTTTGTACCATTCATTTTAATTATAAAAGAAGTTATTGTGCTATTTTGGTTGTACGGATGTAACCAAGATACATTAATATTACAATAATCTGCTTGGTTTTGGCAATCCACAATTTGATACGATATATTCGACGGTGACCCTGGTACTAAAAAAAAAATATTTAAACAAGTGTTTACAGAAAGAATATTTTAATACCATTTTCCTTGGTGTATCCAGACACTGATACCTCCTTTCCGTAAGTTACGGTGTTATAATTTTTCAAACTGACTTTAAAGTTATATTGCTGATGTTCAAGCAAGTTGCTCATTTTTATGCAATATTTCTCGGGCCAAATTGTGCAATGCTCCACCGGCATAAATATCGGTTTGCATTTTTTAAATGACAAAGCATTGCATTTATCAACTTTTATGTTCGACGGAACCCCTCTCATTTCCTTTGGTAAGTCGTATCTCAGAAAAGCTTTGCTCTTGCCGATTGCGTAGATTTCGAGATTTTGAACAGAAGGTGCAGCTGAAATGAATACATATGTTCGGACTTAAGTATACGGGTCGTTTTCAAAAAACACCTGCCTTCCGCTGTCCGTAAGTTTGAATTCCAATAACTTTGTGAAAAATTATCGGATCTTATTGATTTAAAAACCAAGTGAAAGCCTAACAAGCCCTTAGTAAACTCTTTCAGAAAATTTTTGTTTAGTTATTTTAGAATATATTTTTTTTTAAATTTTGAAACTTGTGAAACACATTTTCGCATGGTTTCGCATTGTTTGTCCGCTAAGTTACTCAAAAAAATAATAAAAATAAGGTAAGAAAAAATACTATTTTTCATGTTTATGTTTATTTTAGGGCACTAAAGCTCATTGAGAGTAATTAATGACTATAATGTCTTATTATTATTTTTTAAATATGGTTTTACAAAACTTTGTCCACTGCGTTACCGAGTCCACTATGTTACCTTATGGTAACGCAATGGAATTTAGGGTAACGCAATAGAATTTTTCGACAACAAACTGGATATTTACCGTCTCTTTTATTAAAAGTAGTTTATGATTAACCAATTTAAAATTATTTGTAATTACAACTCATGATATAGATTACATCCAAGGAAAAATTCCACGCAATATAAAAGTACTAAAAGGGACCTTCACCAGCGTATAGTCAAAGAAAAAGGGTGTCTACAATTTAGAAATCTAAGTTGTTATTCTGCAAGTGAGCACCACTACAAGGGATTTTGTTTATGCATTACTCTAAAATCGTACCACCCTACATAGTTTCTTTTTTACGTTATCTGATTAAGTCCTTTGTGTACCCCTGTCCGTTGTGATACCAATGTCTATTTCGTTACTTTTTTTAGTTTTTGTTAAAAAAAATACTTAAAATGATTTTTATACACTACCACTTGGTAATACGTGTTTATAAATTAGAGTTTAATTCACTAATACAGTGACTAAAAGAAAATATTAATGGTATTGTTTTTTTAACAAAGAATCGGAATTGTTTCTTTTAAAAAGTAACTTAACGAACATACATATTTAAAAAAAAGCATACAATTTTTAATAAAAAATAAAATAAAAAAATTGGAGTCAAAAGTTTGTGAACTAAGTACATTTTATTTCAAATTATTTTTATAACAACTTTTTTTATTGAATTAAATTTTGGATTGCAAATTGGTAACACAGTGGAGATATATAAAGCTAGCTAAACACATTTTTCTGAAAAAAAACGTAAAAAAAATAAAAAGTTTAAGCAAAAAAAATATTTTGATCTTCATTTTCCTGAAAGCGGGTGTTTCTTGAAAATGATCAATACATTGCTTGGGCTACGAATACATTAAATTTCTTTTAAATATTAGCCTATCCTTAAATTACACGTCCTTCTTCCCTCTACCCCACTAGTTCTTAAAAACATCGTATTTTTTCTTACCTCCTGCCAAAGTGGTAAAAAACTGCTCGAAAACAGTCGAACTGGAGTGCTCCAAATCTTCTGGTTTTCTGCCCATTTTGATGTTGATTTGGTACTGCGTAAACGGTTCGAGTCCGTTTATTTGATAAGCATATTCCGTTTGCAATTTCAGTTCTTTGAGGAAATTTCGGGTTTTGTTGCTTACCGTCAAAGAATACATAACGTGCCCGTAAACGTTTTTACAATCCACCGGTTCCCAGGACAAAGCAACGTAAGTATCGTTGGCTTGCAACTTAACTCTGGGAAATTCGAAAAACGTTACGAAATCTGAAACACACAAATATTCAAATGTTACAAACAGTTTTGCAAAAACCATTGCCAAAGTGGTGATAACTTTAAATTAGTTAAGTATACTAAACAGCTACTTTAATTTTTACTTAAAAGTAATTCTAACTTTTAAATAGCAACATTTTTCAACAGAAACTTGATTTTTCCTTAAATGGTTACTATAAAGTAATAAACATTTAAGTAAAACTTGTTTGCCCCCAAGAAGACTTTGCAACTTTAAAAAAGGTGTTATAAGTAAAAAAAACTTTCAAGTAAATTTAATTTGTAGCAGTTACTTTCGGTTGCTACCTATAGATTACATTATAATTATTTTTACTTTGTAGTCCCCTTGCAAGTTAAAATCTCGAAACTGAAACATGAGTTAAAAACTACAAAGTTAATAACTTAAAAGTTATAATTTTAGTATTTGGAACGTTTATGGTACTAACCAAAACAACCGTAAAGTGGAAAAAAACTTTAAAGTAGCGAAAACTACTTCAAAGGAAAATGCTTCTTATCGGCCATTTTTTACTGTACAGTACCACGTGGTAATGTAAATAATAAATTATTTTAATTGTTTGTAAATGGTTGTTTACTTTTTAATATATAGTAATTTTGTTGTTATTTTGTGTCAGTAGGAATAAGAAATTAAAAAACGCAAATACCTTCTTCTAGAGTGGTGACTTCAAGTTTTTTGTCCATCTCATGTAAGACCGACGAAATAACGATGTTATATTTGGTATAGGGTTCGAGATTTTCAATCGTTATTTGGTTGTAATTAGAGGATAAAAACCCATTTGATTTTATTCTTTTAAAATTGTGTGGCGCCTGTGAACAGATGTCGTTTCCCTAAAAAATATTTTAAATTACTGTAAACAATATAAATGGAATTTTGCCATACATTTTTGGCAATTGTACATTCTAATTATAAAAATAAATGTTTAAATTTATACCACACCTGATAAGAAATAAAGTAACTGGTTTGATGATTTGGATCTTCGTCGTTCCATTTTAGACTTATAGAATTTTTTGTTTGAGATGGTACTATATTTGGAAAATCTAAAAATATATTGTTAATGAAGAAAGTTTTTATTTCTAGCCGTTTACTAGCTTTTTCTACGACAAATAGTTAATATTATCTAAAAAATTATTTAAATTAAATATTTGTATAAAGCGACATATACGAAAATAAAGTATAGTAAATTTAAAAGGAAACTTTAGTTGGCAGCAACTGCAATGTTGTCATGTTTAGACTAAAATTTTGCGTAATAAAATGACGCATAGAAAAAGAAATTGACGTTTTAGAATTTTGAAGCTGTCAGTTGTGTTTGTGAATATTTCGTTTAATTCGTGTATAATTTCGTTTATTTCATTGCCGTTTTCTTTTTTGTTATAAACCTTTTTTTTGTTTTTCCTATATTTAAAATGAAGAAGCATTTAAATAGTCGGAGTCAAGAGTTGGTGTCATCCTTAATACGCTATTTTGAGGCAGAACGGGATAATAATGGACCTTTGTTACCTTTAACAGCTGTTAGAGAGGTAAATAGGATTATTATTAATTATATATATTAGAATATTTAACAAAATATATGTTGGATACATAAAACAATAATATATATACCAGAGACTGACTTTAGATGGCAAAATTTCTGGGTGTTATAGCTGAAAATGTCTTTAAAAATGGCGGTGCATCATAAAGGTTATATAACTCTGACTTTTAACATTTTGGTATTCTAAGGTCCCAAATCTAGGGACCCTGATTGATGACATACGTCGTTTCCTTTTAAATTTACTGTACAAAAGTTCATATAATCTTTTCAAATATTGAAGTAAAGAAACTATTTAATACTTTCGTATTTTTTTAATTCAGTATTTTCTGTTTTGTTTAATCTGTGGGAAAAAGTCTTTAACCCAAATAAAGATCTTGAATTACTTACCTTTAACATTATCGTAGGTTAATTTCTTAGGTCTCCATTCTGGCTGTGAAATAATTTGACAAGATATAAAGTCTGTATTATTCTTTAGTTTGAGTTTATCAACGTTGTCCAAGTAAGAAACTTTAACCTCTATAAAATAAACAACTTATAAATAAAACGTTTACAATACGCTAAAGAAGTATCGGGTTTTAGCAACGCACGCGCCATCTGGTGGACTTCGATAGCATTGCGAGAATTTAAGAATTGTCAACAATACATTTAAAGCATACGAACTGTACAACATTTTTAAATTAATATTTTTATTAATAATTTTCACAAAAGAGAGTCTTACTCGACAAATTTTGTTCATTTGCACAGTACTCGATTTCGATTGATTATTCTTTAAATCATTGATTAAGAAACTCAACGCTTAAATGCTTATATAGTTACGTTATTTTGTGTATTTTATCTAAGGGATTATGGTGAATTATTGTGTTTTTAATTGTAAATAAAATTCAAGAACTAAATCGTTGCATTTTCATGTTTTGCCAAAGGATCCAATTCGGTAAGTACATTTGTTGCTGCAGAATTAACTAATGATAACATTACCTAATATAATTTATATTTAAGTTTGTACATTTTTAAGAAATGAATAAAAAATAATTTTTGCACAATCAACCATTTTTATATTTGAGTTCTCTAAAAAACGCCGATAACTGCATTTTAAACAACAAATTATACCTATACCTATACGAATTCATTACAACATAATATTATATATAATACATAATATAATGGTGTTTTCCCGTTGAGTGGAGACTTTAAAGAATTCTTGATCAAAGCTTTTAATAATGCTAAATGCTGTTTGAATTTAGACGACTTATTTGTTTGACGATTTTTTCTGAATTGAAATGTTTACACTTTTCACGTTAATCATTACTAAAATGTGTATTGATCCAATAGATACAATTTATATTTACAGGGACTGTATGAAATTTATTTCTTCATTCGGATTAACACTGTTAATTGGAAAACCGATAAAAACTCAACCCAGGATTTCCTCTCGAAATACACCCAACAACACAACAAATCGTGCCACGGTTTTTTTTTCGATATTTTTTAACATTTTCCGGCTTTATTCTCAAAAACAGTCGTTTGTAACACACGCGTTTGACCATAGAAAAAGTTTGACAGCTGATTATCAGTTATACTTTTGTTACGAGTGGTGGCGCTACTAGCGATACTTCTTTAGCGTATACTTTCTTTCTTACCGTTTTCATGGCAGAATCTAACATTATCAATTGCCCAAAATCCTAAACTTGAGTTTGCACCTTTCCTTAATACAGTTTCCACAAAAATCGTTTTGGTATTGTCCACATTTTGCTGCTTTAGTTTTACCTCCCTCCATTGAAACTCCTTCAAAAAATTTGGTGGTAAAAAATATAAATAAAAATTAAAATATTTACTCCTGTAGGTTGAACTTGATTCAATATTTGTTTGGATACATCAGAACCTAATGTAAAAAAAATCATTTCACAACCATCACATGTTGAAATATGTAAGGAAATACACATATCCTTTGAAGGTATTCTTATTGGTTTTCCGAGGCGATATGTGTTTGCCAATTTTGTGTACAAAAAGTGATCTAGAACCAATAACAAATAAATAAATAAATTGAATAAATAACTACTTAAATATTAACTCACTTTGATGTATTTTCCAAAGAGCTGGTTTTTCGCTGTTTGGTATAAAATATAGGGGTTTTAAGTTGCTTTCCTTGTGTTTTAAAATTGTCCGGTTTTTGTTTACGTCAAATAAGTTTAGTTCGCCGTTTTCATTATAGCTTATTATGAAATTTCTCCATTCATCGTCTGAGATTATTTTTGTGAACGCCTAAAAATAATTTTTTAAAGAATGGGGTTTTCTGACCTATACTTTTTATGGTTTTATTCAAGCCGTTTTGTAATTTTAAACATTTCTGTGAAATCGGAATTTCAATTGAGTTTACCGTTTTCGAGATATTTACAAAAAAAATCTCCTAATTACGTCACTAGGCTATTGACAACATTGCCAGCTTTTTGTATGGTTGCCAGTGTGTTTAGTTTAAGATTCTTACGATAGATGGCGCCACGTTATAATATTTTAGTTTTAAAACCACTTGATCTATAATTTTAGTTGAGAAGAAGAAGAAGAATTGATTTTTTGCCGTTTCTTTTTTTCGGCTCATGTTTTTTTAAATTTAGATTATTGAAAATCAATGTTATTGTTATGTTATTTGTAATTGATATTAGATAAGTGATTTATTAATAACGGACTCCAAAGCAGAGGAATCTTGTGGAATGGTTGGTTACATTGAACATTGGAGCTTTTAAACAAATAAAGTAAGTACCTAGAATTATAATCATATTTTGTCGGAAATGCATTTCATTAGTATAATGCCTAGTTCTTTATATTCTTTTAGATATATCTTGGACTCTAAAATATCAAACAGTAATATGATACCTCGTAAGGAAGATAGGTACTTAATGAATTTGGTGACCATCTTTCACTCAACTGACAGTGACAGTATTTGTACATAACCTCTTCAGGTATTTTCTGACCTAATGAAATCATTAACAAGACAACTTGACAACAGGGTAATTTTCAACCAATAGAAATCTTAGAATGTTGGTCACATGGCGAGGTTTGTGACGTCATAAAAATTTATATTTTTTGTAAATATCTCGAAAAGGGTAAACTCAATTGAAATTCTGATTTCACAGAAATGTTTAATATTACAAAACGCCTTGAATAAAACCATAAAAAAGTATAGGTCAAAAAAAATTTAACTACCCCATTGTTTGTACAGAGCCCCATCTACACAAAAACAGAGCAACCAAATTGATGTTGGGAATCTGTTTTACCGACTTTCAAAATGGCAGTTTTGGTTTTCAAATTTAAAAAAGTTTATTATTTTTACCGTATAAGAGTCCAAAGGCTTCGAATCTGTAGCGGTAACTTGTCCGTTGTGTTTTTCCAAGTGCGCGCTCATTATGTCGATTTTCACGTAAAAACACGGATAATTTTTCGGATTCCATCCCGAGCAAATCTGCAAATCCACAGGGTTGCCGGATCGTACGGAAAAACCGAGCCTGAATGCATTTGGCACTTGGACGTTAAAGTCCTTTGACCCTTTCGATGTAAATATTGTTGGCAAATCTAAAAAAAAAGATATTTTTGTGATGCTATTTATAGATTTATATGGGGACTTGGTGTGCATATTTTCTTATCTTCTGTATACATGTTTGTTTTGACCTGAGTTGAAGTGTACGTTTGCACTTGAGATAAATTTAAATTGTATGCATTTTATGGGTCTTACTTATAAACGAAAGAAATATTATTTATTTCATTATTTCAGTACATATTAATTTTCTTATACCATTTCCTATCAAAGTATCAATTATTAAAATTGCAATAATTGTAGGCATTGATAAATGAAAACAGGTCAAATAAATTTTACTACAATTTAAAAAAGTTAAATGCATCTATTTTTACCTACAATATAATTTTACGATGTGATCTGGCGTTTTTAATATTTGAATTACGATAATCCCAAACAAAATTTTCATTCCCAATTATTTTTAACGAAATACCAGTCAAATAATCTTTATGAGCAATTAAAGAATGCGGGACCAGTGTTGCCAGATCAGAGGTTTTTCCTCTAGATTTAGGTTAGGTCACAATGGATTGTGGGTTAGGTTTTTTAAAATTTGTTTGTAGGAGGATTTATCATTTCTGAAGTTTTCAATAATAGTATATTATGTATCAAGTTTGATAAACGCCATTTTATACACGAATTTAATTTAGGCACGAGCGAGCTTGCGAGCGAGTGCTTAAGTTAATGAGTGTATAGAAAAGTTTATAAACGAGGTGCATACTATACTTTTTCTACGACAAATACTTATTATTATCTTAAAATGATTTAAATCAAAAATTTGTATAGAGCGCCATCTATGAAACAACAGGGGAAACTGTCAAATGTCACATTCAGATTCACATTTTTACATTTTATAAACACAATTATAAAGGTTATAAATCGAAATGTATCTTGAAAATTGACAGTTTTTCACAGTGAAAGTAAAGGAAATGTTTTATGAGGACTTTACAGTGGAGTCCGTGCCCGAATTTAAGTTATAGTTTACTACCGGCAAAATTAAAAGGTCAGTACAATGTTCATATAAACTTTTCAAATATTGGCGTTAAGAAACTATTTAATATTTTTGTATTGAGATAATAAAATAATTTTCACATTTAGTATAATTTTACAAGAAAGGCACTTTATTTTAACGATTGTATGACATTTGACAACTGTCAACTAACTTAAAACTAACTTCAGTCCGTGACTAAAAACCTGTTGCTAACTTCAGCCCGTGACTAAAGCGCCGTAAAGCCACAACTTGTCAATGTGTATTTAAAAAATCACTTAGTGTCATGGAAACATGTACGATAAAGGGCGTTTTAAAGGTGGGAGTAGAAAAAATAATTTATGTATCTAGGCAGTAAAGTCGTATTTTTTATCACGAATGTGGAAATTAATTGCCTTGGCGAAACCCGAGGCAAATAACCACGTGAGTGATAAAAAATGACTTTAATGCCGAGGTGCATATTAAATTTTATCCGAAATCACATTTACTGCCAAATGTTTACTACTTTACTGCCGATTTGGGATAAAATAGTTTTTTAGCCAAAATTTGATAATTTTCTGTAACATAACAATTTTAGTTGGCATTTTGAAGCTCCATCTATGAACTTTATTATGTTAAAATCTCTCTTTGACAATCTGGCAACACTGGCAGGAACGTTATTTAATACTCATCTCTAAATATAAAGTTTCATTTGTAATAAATCTTTAAACTGTAATGAATTATAGTCTGAACCATAACCTTTTGTTTATATATTCAGATCGTTTTAATTTTGCTTAATGTAGATTCAAATATAATTTAAAAAAAGTTTTGTCCAAATTATATTTATTATTTTATTTGGTACCTAATTTGTAGAGAATTTTACCAAAAATGCACTTTAATTTAAAATGCGATCCATTTTAATTAAAACTAAATTAAACGTGGGTGTAACATAACAGTAGGTTGTAAACTGTTTACGTAATTTAAAATTTTAAGTTTAATTTAATTTTTTCAAACAATACACATAATTATAATAAATTTAAAAACCAATTTTTAAAAGCCATACGTTGTTTTTACTATTCGGGTTTCTAAAAATATAAAATTAATGCGAATCTGATTTTATTAGACTCCGTATTCTCCAGATTTGGCTCCCTGTGAGTTTTTTGCGGAACTGTATCGAGCTATGTTGAAAAATAAAACTTCATACCCGTTTTAAGGACTTATCAATATGACCTCGTATAATGAAATACTGACATGTTTTTGGAATTTTAATCACGTTAAATCTATAAACGTGATGACATTCTAAACATTCAAGCCGAAGAAAGATTAAAATGCAACTCTATCAGCAGTTAAAATATATGTAGTCCTTTTAGATTAAATATTTATATTTTCATTGATTTTTAAACTAATTTATTTCACTGTTAAGTCTGTTAATACTATTACTATTACTATTGTACATTAACGTGGTACCTATTAGGTATAACTAGCTACCTACTAAAAATAAATTAATAAACAATTTAAGACGAGTTCATTAGTCATATTATTTCTAAAATTAGATCAAGACCCGTTTGAAATTATTACTTTTGTAACATCAAATAGTCGAAAAAAAAAGATGTTTTACGAAAAAATTGAAAAAAAGATTCAAGAAAAATTATTTCGAAAATTTTCACTGTACTAAAACCACTGCATGACAAATTTGTAAGCAAGACTTTGATCTGTATTATTCATTTAACACAAAATAATTAAATAAATCATTTTCTTATCTTACAAAAAAAGTACTGCAAAGTAAATATTATTTCATATTGACCACAAATGATTGTTTGAAATTATAAAATTTTAAAATCAAGTTTTGAAATGTGTTAAGAAAAACATCAATTGGTTTTTTTTTACTTTGGTACCATCTTAATTATTTGTTAAAAGTCTAAAAACAATTTTGAAAAAAAATTGTGTGCAATTTTTATAGTTTTCGTGATTTTTTGGGGTTAAGTGTAGACGATAACAAAACTATTATGGTCACTGTTATTTATATAGTAATATACAGGGTGTATTATATTTAAAAACGAGCAAAAAGATATTAAAAATGTATCAAAAATGACCTTCACAAAGCAACCCCTGTAGGGGCTGTAGCCACCCCAATTCAATTTTTTTAAATGGCCACGCCCCCTTTGTGATACCTCATTGTATTCACTAATTTACCCATGGGTACATTCCAAATTTACATACATAATTAATTTTGATAGTTTTTGTAAATTTTTTTGTAGGCGTTGAACGATAAACTATTGTCGATAATTATAATTATTATTATTATAATTAGTCATTTTTTTAATTTTTGTTTCTGTTATCGTTTTGATTTTTTTTATTTAAAATAATTTTTTGAATTAAAACAAGGTTTATAATAATCTAATATTTTTAATTTAATTTGAATATATGCTAGCTTGAGATTTTACACTTTTTATTATTTCAATCCCAACTTTTTTATAAATCCTTTTAAATGCATAATGGTCCGTTTCAAATGGCAATTAAAAAAAATACTTGGGGTCTTATTTAATATTTAATAAAAAGTTTATAAACATAAGAACCATATATAGTATACTACAGCTTTATTGTATATTAGTAAAAAGTGAGGTTAAATTCGTCAGACAGTTGTCAGATGTCAAATTTAACCTCACTATTTCCCGATGTATAATAATTTTGCATTCGTCGAATGTCATTTGTTATGGTCCACAGTTGACCTCAAAAAATTGAAAACTATAAAAATTGCGACAATTACCCAGTCAAGTATGGAATGTTTTAATAATTCAAGCAAACACTTTTGTAATAAATAGTTGCGCAAAGTAAAGAAAGGAATGTAGTAAAGATAAGAAAAAAACAATAATGTAGTTGTTACCTTCCCATCTCTCATCTCCTAGAAAATTATACGTTTTCAAAGAATCTTCGTCCAGTTCCCAATCCCGCATAGACCAATTTAAATTGCAGTCGTTGTTTTTTGAAAAATCGCAGTTATAATCGTTTGTAATTTCCGGAATGAATTTAGTCGCTAAAAATATTTACATAATTGTTCAATCTATAAATAAACAAACAGTTTTCTTACTTATATGTGGGATTTGTGATTCATTTTCAGGAATAGGGTACACCCAGCCCACACCTCTGTATCTTTCACTATCCTGGGCTAAACAACTGGGTTCGAGTTTGTCATTTTGTTTCTTTAATATGTACGTCAAATTAATCGAAGTACCTTGATGTAAAAACGGTAAAATCACCAGCAAAACAGTCAACATCAACATTTTAAGTCGCCTTAAAACACACGTTAAACCATATCAAAGCGCTCTGTGCTCAGCCAGTATTATACTGACTTAACTATTGTTTACTGCATGCACGAATATTAACTATGTAACTGAAAAAGTGGTGGGAAATGCCACAATGCGAGATTATGTAAGGACAACAATCGGTACACTACCCCGAGTAGTAACAACTTACTTGTTTTGGACCAATTTACGATATACTTCCATGATGTGTGGCATGCAATTTATTAGAGTATTTTATTGCTTGTATAAATAGAAAAGTCCTTGAGGCAGTACATCATTGCTCCGAATAAACGGCAACGTGACATCACGGGTATTTTGTGCGTTTCGCTTGTATGAAGAAACAGAAACAGGTTGTATTTATAATTAACCATCGGCTTACTATGTGAAGGTATACAACCTGCACAACTATTTCGTGATAGCGGTTGTAGGATGTTTTTTTGTAAGCTCAGTCCATTTAATACTTTTTGTATTTATACTGCTATTTATTTGCATACAGTCTGACCCATTTGTTTGCGACTCACCCCTGTAAAATCTTTTTTTTGTGCGAATTTAACCGGATTTGTGTAGTGTAGATCTTGATAAACTGTATTTTTGAAGCAAGAAACGCCATATTTATGTCAGTTTTTAAGAGTAAAAGTTTAATTTTTTTTCATGGATAACTTGACAGAATAAATTTTTGTAGTTATTATTGTGCATTTTTCTACTTAAAATTGTTCAATAAAATTTAGTAAAGGGTCGTTTTGAGGGATGGTGAATCCAGTGCCGTGCTTAGATTTTGTTTAATAAAATCGCTAGTATGAATTCTTAAAAATTTACTCTTAAAAACTGACATAATAGGCCTTGTATTTTGTACAAATATGGCGTTTTTTTTCCAAAAATATATTTTATCAAGATCTACACTTTAAAACAAATCCTGTTAAAATCGCACAATAAATAAAGATTTTACAGGGGTGAGTCGCAAACAAATGGGTCACACTATCTTGTTTATAAAGAGTGTAAAAACAAAAGCTTCAATAAAAAATATTTATTTAAAAAGTGTTACACCCTGCATATATAATATAATATACAGGGTGCACCAAGTATCCTTCTTTATACAGGGTGTCTCAAATTTTAATCGGTAAAATTTAGTAGTCGACCGAACTCGCAAAATAAGAAGAAAATATCATATAGACTTGTTTGTTTTAAAGCCTTATTTTTGAGATATTAAAAAATATTTATTTTTTCAAAAATAATATAAAAATAAAATTTGTTACTATCATTATTAATCAAGACCAAAAATTTGTATTTTTATTTTCTTAATCTAAATACACTGCCCGTCAACATTAACGCATAATAAGTAAAAAAATTCTAACACTAAAATGCCTACCAATCTTTATGAAAATCTTTATGAAATTTTGTATAAAAATACTTCAACTTATATCTCCGTTTACGTGTTTTTCAAAAAAATATTTTTAAAGCACTTTAATTAAATAATAAAAATCGTTCAAAAATAACTTTTAGAGAATTTTTTTGTAGAATTTGTAGAATTTGTACAACATTTTTAGGGTATACTTACAAAAATTCTGTCTTTCACAGGATATTTTTTATTTACTTCAAAAAAAATTCCCTATAAAAAAATTTTTTGAGCGTTTTTTATTATTTAAGGATATTTTCTCGAAAAACCCTTGAACACGTAAACTGAAATATAATATATTTTTATTCATAATTTTATAAAGATTGGTAAAGGCGTTTTAGAGTTGGAATTTTTTTACTTGTTATGCGTTAATTTTGACGCTCAGTGTATAATATCAAACTCATGCAAAAGCAGTGGCGTGACCATACTTTTGTAATAACTTTAACACCCTGTATCTCTAAAACAATTCTGTAAAGTTTACAAGTTATTATAATTATTATATATAAACTTTTCTTCTTATTTTTGCGAGTTCCATCGACCATTAAATTTTCCCTATTAAAAACCAATCCACCCTGTATATTTATGGCTGTATATCTTTTTATTTAAAAAACTACAAGGTGGGCCAAAATAGAGAAAAGTTGAGTAATTAGCTTTTCTTAAATAATTTGAAAATAACTAAAAACCTATCTATAGATATAAACCAAAAATCGTTATTTCTGGGATTTAAAAAAAAGTCCAAAATCAGGTCGTGTTCTAAATATTTAAAAAAATGTCTAGTTGGAACATTTTATTTTTTAGTTCAAATTTTAAGAACAAATACATTTGTTTGCATTTTTTTTAAATTTTCACAAAAAAAATAAAAAACTACAAATTAAGCATTTTTTATTTAAAAATTTGAAATTGGATATTTTTTCTAATTAGAACAAACATTAGTAGTTTGTTGAATCTTATTTTCCTAACAAACGCTTGTATAAAGATTTCCATACTAATTTGGTGAAATAGTGTTTCACCTACACCTATATATTTACTATCTCTCCCTATCCACCAATTACAAACATGGATACCTATCTTTACACCTCCTATGCGTTTTCCGCGTTAATTTAAAACGTGGCAAATTCAAATTTAAATTTAGTCAGACTGACAATTTGCGTTGATTTTAAATGAAAATTTTCGCGTTTAATATCTTTCTACCCGAAACTAAATGTTTAATAGTTTTAGGCCCTTGTTATGTCATAAGACGTCATTTTGTCGCACGGGGACAATTTATGTAATGGACGAGTGCGGCAAAAGGTCTTATGACATGAGTTCTCTATGCTATTTTATGTATTTTGCAAAAATTCTATAAAATAATTAGTTTTATACCTTAAATTTAATTTGGTCGAATTTTACTTTAGTTGGTCACAGTAATTGGTTTGACGGTTAATGTCAAAATCGATTCGCCATGGCGTCCTTAATTTAGGATTTTCTTTGGTGTTTAACAAAATTTATAAGTACTAGAAAAATCATAAAAATATGCAAAATATTTTGCTGTTTTAAGTATAGCCAACCTGGAAAATCAAAATTTTAGGTGGGATAAAGTATCTCATTACAGCACTGAAAGCGGTGTTATAATGAAGTCATTATGAACGCAAAATAGATAAAAATATTTAAGCTTTTGTAATTTATTATTAATCTTGAAATGAAAACCAAACATTTACTTACCAAAGTGTGTGAACTTTTTTTTCCAGAAATTCGAAATTAAGACTTTCTATTTTAACTTGTTATTAATTTATTTATCCAAATCATGGGGGTTCTCAATTAAAAATGTAAAAATGGATATAAGGAAAATGTATAATAAAAATACACACTTTAAAATAATTGTTTATTAGCAAAATAGGTGAATACAAAGTGACGGTTAAATATTAAGTGATTAATAAAGCTAAATTGATGATAAACCAATTTGAAATTGAAATGAACACATTAATAATTATAAAATAATTAAAAAGTGTTAATACTCTCTACTCCTGGGGTTGCTGTGCCATTTGGCTGGGTGTGGGTGGCTCCTGGCCCCCCTTCTTCTTAGAACCGGACACGATATCGTCAATTCGCAGCAATAAAATGGCAGTTTCGATAGCTGTTTTGTATGTCTGCAGTTTGACAGCCAGGGGTTCCCACAAACCCTTCTTGCCTTGCTCCACGAGCTCCCCGGTTTCCCCGTCGATTCCCCAGGTGCAGGGGGCGCTGGCGTCCGTGTGATTCGCGTGCTTGGCCCTCAAAGCCGTCAGAGTTCTGATGGTGTTGGCGCCGCAGTTTTGCGCCAAAGTACGTGGAATAATTTCTGAAAATAATCGTTATCTTTTGGGCTGATAAGTATACAAATTAATTCGCACCTAAAGCATGCGCCAAAGCGGTGTACGGTCCGGAGGTTCCCTTTCCTAGCAACTTTTGGCACACGGCCATTTCAATAGCACCACCTCCAGGTACCAACCTGGGGGAGAGAACGATATTTCTGGCTACTTGTAACGCATCTTGCAAGTTACGTTCGGTCTCGTTTAGAATATCTTTGCTGGCGCCTCTCAAAAGAATGGTACAAGCCTAAAAACATTTTTTTATTTTTTGTTCATAAATAACGCGACCGTTCATATTTTAAAAATTATCATATCCTTTGTTACAAAATAATAGGGGCTTCGAAAGTATAGATGGATTTTAAATTGACTGAAACTTTTGACATTGGGGACGGTTTTTTCAATTTTTTGTTTTTAATATTTTTTTTTGAAAAATATATTTTTTTTAACCTGTATACCTCACCAAAATCTCATTTTTAATAAAATAAAAAAAACAGCATTTCAGATTAAAGTTTAGCACTTTAATTATGAAACTTAAAAAGTAAAATTTAAAAACTAAAAACAATTGAAAGTTAGTATTAAATACTAAAAATTTTAGTTCAAATATTTTATTTTACAAAATTTTCGGTTTAAATTTGTAAAGAGTCATTTAAATGATAGTCAATAAATTTTTAATCCAAAAATTCTCACATTACATTTAATTTTTATTTTTAACAATTTTAAATTAACTTAACATTTAAATGGAAGTCTATAACTTTGTGAATTAAAAATTATCGACTTACATTTAAATGTTAAGTTAAACATTTTGTGTTAAAAATGTATCAATTTAAAATCGTTAAAAATAAAAAGTTTTGGTTCAAATTTCTCAAGAGTCATTTAAATGATAATAAATTTAAAATCCAAAAATGCCCACTTTCAAATTTAAAATTAACATTTAAATGTAATGTGAGAATTTTTGTACTAAATTTAAATGACCCTTTACAAATTTTAACCATTAATTTTGTAATATTAAAACTACAATTTTTAAAAACCAATATTTTTTTGCATTTTATATATTATTTGATTATCAATTGTTTTGAGATAAAAAAAAATTTGGTATTTTGGTAGAAAATGTTTAATGTGTTTTTATTTTAAATGTCTTAAAACTATTTTTAAATACTAAACAATTCTGCCCAAAAAAATTATACTTAAGAAATTATTTTTATTAAAAAATTGATTGGAAATAATATTGTTTAATACAGAAGTTAATTTATTCACACAGTAAATAAACCTATAAAATTTTAAAATATTTTTTAATAAATGTTAAAACGGCGTGCCATGTAAAAAGTAAAAAAGTTTTTTATAGAAAATTTAATTTCCTATAAAAAATAATGAAATGGATGGTTTAAAAGATAAAGAGCATTTAACTGTAAATTTTGATAAAACTGATTACTTTATCAATACTTAACCGTAAAATTTGTTAAATGTTAAACATTTTTTCCTACTCACACCTTTAAAACGCCCTTTATCGTACATGTTTCCATGACACTAAGTGACCTTTTAAATACACATTGACAATTTGTAGCTTTACGGCGCTTTAGTCACGGGCTGAAGTTAGCAACAGGTTTTTAGTCACATTTTAGTTGACAGTTGTCAAATGTCATACAATCGTTAAAATAAAGTGCCTTTCTAGTTAAATTAAATGTGAAAATTATTTTATTATCTCAATCCAAAAATACAAAAGTATTAAATAGTTTCTCAACGCCAATATTTGAAAAGTTTATATGAACATTGTACTGACCTTTTAATTTCGCCGGCAGTAAACTATAACTTAAATTCGGGCACGGACTCCACTGTAAAGTCCTCATAAAACATTTTCTTTACTTTCACTGTGAAAAACTGACAATTTTCATGAAATACATTTCGATTTATAACCTTTATAATTGTGTTTATAAAATGTAAAAATGTGACATTTGACAGTTTCCCCTGTTGTTCCATAGATGGCGGTCTATACAAATTTTTGATTTAAATCGTTTTAAGATAATAATAAGTATTTGTCGTAGAAAAAGTATAGTATGCACCTCATTTTTAAACTTTTCTATACACTCATTAACTTAAGCACTAAATTAAATTCGTGTATAAAATGGCGTTTATCAAACTTGATACATAATATACTATTATGCATTAATGCAATAAACTATTTTTTAGAAAAATTAAATTTCCAATAAAAGTCTTTTCTACTTTTTACTTGTAACTTTAACCGATTTGCCGTAAAACAACATAGTAGCCATTAATTAATCAATATTTGACAGTACAATTTATTAAATGCTCTATATCTTTTAAACTATACATTTTATTGCATTATTTCAGAGAACCTTTTTTATAGAAAATTAATTTTCTATAAAAATTGTACCTGTAACTTGAACTGTTTTTCTTTAAAATGTAAAAATAGTTTTTTTTTTAAATTGTAGCATCGTAAAATGTCGCCCAACTATGGAAAATTTTAAAAAAATCCTTAATTTCCTGTTATTTCAATGGGAAAACTTCATAATCAAAATAAAAGTACTATAAAGGGCATTTTTTCCTGATATGTACATCAATATTTTACTTGGGCAGTGACAAAAACTAATTAATGATATTTATTTATTTACAACAAGAAATTAGTAATAAAAACTGTTGTGGCGTGTTTTAAATTAAAATGATTTCGTTAAACTAGCAAAGGTGTCTTATAATTTGGCGAAGGTTCTTTCTTACCTTGGGATTCTTGCATTCGGTAACGTAGCAGAAGTACTCGTCGCCCATTTTCTTGATCTCGAAGAGCCCCGCCCCGGTGCCGATGTCGGACTCCTGCAGCTCGTCTGTCCTGTTGACGACGGTGGCGCCGCACGCGCGCGCGATGCGGTTGTTGTCGGACTTGCGCAGCCTGCGCATGGCAGTGATGCCGGCTTTGAGCAGGAAGTGCTGCGCCAAGTCGGACACGCCCTTCTCGGTGAACACGACGTCCGGCTTGAGCGCGATTATGTCGTCGCACTGGCGACGCACGTGCTCCTCTTCGATCTCCAGAAGCCGAGTGAAGTCCTGAAACAGCAATCGCGATGGCGTTTTCTTCAAATGTTTCTGCTCCCGGCAGTACACTGTGCAATTTTGGCCTTGGGAATTTTTGCTATGAATGTTGGTAATGATCATGATTTCGTGCATTTTTTTTATTTCGGCCATGACGTGGTCAAAATCGGACAATATTTCAAAGATATCGAGCTTCAAACTGTTAAAATTATGCTTTTTTTTCTTAAATACAAAAAAATCAATTTATATGTATTCAAAACCCAAAATTATTAACTTGAGAATAAATATATAAATATATTTATAATGGAATGCAGATCCAAAATTCTTAATAATTTGACAAATGATAATTTTTATTGATTTTTAACGAAAAATATTTACTTACCTAAAAAATATGGTAGAAGTTTATTATAAATTTATTTATATTACGTATTAATAATACATTTTTACTGTTTATATAGTCATATATAATATATATGTTATGGCTAATGTGCAAACTTGGATAGTTTATAAACTAGCTGGATAGTTTATAAACTAGCCAACCTGTCAGATATTTTAATTGAAATCATATTTTCAACTAAATTAGCGGCTAGTATACAAAATAACCAAGGATCTTGGCAAATTTACTTGAAATTATTAGGAAAACTAAAATAGCTGGATAGTTTGTATACTATTCAATTCAATTTGGCTAATATGAAAACCAAAATTTCTAGTAACACAAAATAGCCAAGCTTTAGCTAGTTTGTAAACTAACCAACCAATTCTCTGGCTAATTTAGTAAAAAAGTTAGGTTACGGCATTGTTTTTCGTTTCGCCGGCTTAACCGGATTTGTTTTGTGCATTTTAACGTTTTTAAAATGAATCATAGGCAAAATTTTAACGCTTCCTTGTTAGAAAACTCAACAACACAACCCTACCGACCCCGCCCCATTGACCCCCCCCCGCCCCATTGAGCAAAAAACCCAACTAAAATGGGCAATAGCCAGAGAATTAGTTGGTTAGTTTACAAACTAGCTAAAGCTTGGCTATTTTGTGTTACTAGAAATTTTGGTTTTCATATTAGCCAAATTGAATTGGATAGTATACAAACTATCCAGCTATTTTAGTTTCCCTAATAATTTCAAGTAAATTAGCCAAGATCCTTGGTTATTTTGTAAACTAGCCGCTAATTTAGTTGAAAATACATTTTCAATTAAAATAGCTGACAGTTTGGCTAGTTTATAAACTATCCAGCTAGTTTATAAACTATCCAAGTTTACACATTAGCCGTAACATCACAGACCTAGGTCTGTGCGTAACATATAATATATATATATTATATTTTTACTACATATAAAACGACTTTTTTGTAATTAAGAAAGAAAAAAAAGTATTATTTTAAACAGTCTGAAGTTTGAGGCTCGATATCTTCGAAACGGCTTGACTTGTGCAAAATGTCAATCAAACCTTTTTTGTAGAGCATTAAATTTCCTATAAGGGGTAATTTTGTCTTACTTATGAAGTAGCTGGTTATCACGTTACAAAATTCCAAAGTTTGAAAAAAAATTCCCATGTTGTCTAAATGGGAAATGGAAAATTACAAAACGCCACCAAAGATAATATTATCTCTAAATATTAATATTAAGAGCTCATATTTTCACAGGATCGTTTTCTAAAGATACTCTAACGATTTTTCAATGAAAAAAAAATAGTCGTTTTTTTTAGACACTCAAGGTATACAAACAATATACCAATGTATTTTACTACATATATTTTTTATTTAGTTTTCGTTTATGACATAATTAACGCATAGCAAGTAAAAAAAATCCACCTCCAAAAAGCCTTTACCAATATTTATAAAATTTTGGATAAAAATACTTTCTTATATCTCAGTTTACGTGTTCAAGGGTTTTTCGGAAAAATATCCTTATAGCTCTTTTATTTAATAATAAAAAACGCTCGAAAAAAAACTTTTACAGTGAAATTTTTTTAAAAGTTAATAAAAAATATGCTGTGAAAGACCGTATTTTTGTTAGTATACCCTGAAAATGTTGTACAAATCAAACGTACAAGTAACGAAAATACAGCGCTTCAAAGTCGTCGAAAATGACCAGCAAAATAATCAAAAAAGGGGTCATTTTTACCGACGTGTATCTTCGTTACTGTTCCTTTGATTTGTACAAAGTTTTCAGTGTATATACTAACAAAAATACGGCCTTTAACAGCATATTTTTTATTTACTTAAAAAAATTCCCTATTTTTCAAACGTTTTTTTATTATAAAATAAAAGGGCTTTAAAAATATTTTCTCGAAAAACCCTCGAACACGTAAACTGGGATATAAGTTAAAGTATTTTTATACAAAATTTCACATAGATTGGTAAACGCGTTTTAGAGTTTTTACTTATTATGCGTTAATTTTGTCGCGCAGTGTATTAATAATACATTTTTTAAACTGAAAACTAAATCTGTTTTTTGGGTTTTAAAACTTTGATGTTATTAGATTCTTATACCATTGTAAAGATTATGTTCTGTGAAACTACAAAAAAATATTTAAAAAAATCAAGAGAGAACATGCAGTATGTTGAATGCAGCGAAAGTCTCAAGAGAAGAGCAGAAAACAAAAAGGAAAATTCCATAGAAGGTAGAAGGATCTTATAATAAATAATAAGTGGTCCCAAATGTCACCAAATAAATCAAACCAAATATACAGTGTTGCCGGATCTTATAGACGGGAATGACAGATTGATAATTTGTGAAAAAATCAAATTTAGATTTATGAAAAACCAAGTATTTCTTGTTTTAATTGTATTAAATAACTTACCTCTTGTCCAGATATTTCAACATTGGTCTGAGACTCTCCCTTCTTGTACTCCAAAGAACAATCCAACAACATAATCCTCGGATTCTACACCAAACAAACAAACAATATTTTAAAACACCACTTACTGTAAAAATTGTAATTTTTACCTTAATGTACCTCCTCATCTTGGGATGGGTAACATCCTTATTAATCATAACACCTTTCATAATCTGAGACTCCTCGATAGACCCGCCGGGTATCTTCTCGACTTTGGCGTACCTTTTGATGTCCACCTCGGTCCTGCCGTTCTCTTCGAGCAAAACCGTGTTGACGGCGTCCAAAGCGATGTTAACCGCCAAATCCCCCCACTTGGAGATGAATTTGGTGCCGATGCAACCCCTAACGACCTGCGCAACGGCCGCCTTATCGTTCCTGTCCACAGGCACACTTAAAGGCCCCTCTAATAAAGTTACAATATCTTCTAGAGCTTTCTTGTACTCCCTGATGATGACTGTGGGGTGCATCTGTTGCTCCAAGAATTGTTCGGCGGCCACCAACATTTCCCCAGCCAGTACGATAACTGAAGTGGTACCATCGCCCACTTCTTCGTCTTGTGTGCGTGCGATTTCGATCATACTTTTGGCGGCCGGGTGTTGTACAGTAATCTCACGTAAGATGGCGTTACCGTCGTTCGTCATCACGATACCCCCCATCGGGTCCATCAACATTTTCAGCATGGCTTGTGGCCCCAAACATGTCCTTATCACGTCGGCGATTTGCTGTTTATTAATTATTTAATGAATAAATTTATTAATACAAGAGATCAAATTAGAAAAAACACATTATTTTTAAAATAATAAATGAGAATGTAATTTAGTAGAAAGGTTTAATTGATAAGGTCAAAATTTCCAACCAAAAAGTACGCCACTGATCGACTAGGAACTAGGCTAATCTGGTTGCCTAATTTAATTTATTACATTGTGGTTGGTAACAACCAGTGTTTCAAGATTCTGTCAAAAAAGTTGCCAAATTTTGTTTAAATTAAGCTTATTTACAAAAATGACAAAATCAACAGTGCAAATTGCTAATTTGGCGTTTTTATTAATTGATCATTATGTCATTTTTGTAATAAAGGAAAATTCAAACAAAATCTGGCAATTTTTATGACAGAATCCAGGGCCGAATTTAGCATGGGGCCACGGCCCCAGGACCCCACCAATGCAATATGTAGCTTTTTAATGAAACAAATATGAAACAATTGGCGAAAAAAATAAAAAAATAAGGTCGGTTATACCGCGCGAATCCTGTAACTTTCAATTAATTTTTAGCGGATTTTTATCGCTTATCCGCTTGCAAATCAGAATGTAAATTCACACTTAATGTTTTGGCGCGCGAAGCCGTTTTTATATTATATGACTCATAACAATTTTAAGCAGTTGCTCCTTTAGTGCTTGTAACGTTTTTGTAAATACAGGCAAACAGTAAATAACTTATAATCTAATATTAAAGTTAGTTTTTGTCCCAGATTTTTAATGGAGTGTTGTGGAATATTTTCCGGTGTTTCCGAAATACTTTTTCGTGCTTTTCTTTGGACAAAAGATTGTTTTATTGTTTGATTTTGTATGAAAAACAGACAAATAGTACGACTTTTGATGCACTTTTGCGGTAAGTATTAAAAATATAAACAAAACATAGATATATCAATTTATATTTTACTTAAGTAAAATGTATATAAGGGTTCGTATGTTTCAAAATTATTCAAAATATATAAAATATAAAGTATATAAAAACACTTTCATTCACAATTCTATTCTACTATCTACGTTTTTATAGTTTTGCATATGAATTTATAATTTCTCGGACTTGGGTAAAATGTATATAAGGTTATATTTATAGTTCGTATTATTCAAAATATACAGGGTGATTTAAGCTTATGGTGACAAAAGCTCAGGGAAAATTCCTCTCATCAAAATATGAAAAAAAGTTCCTATAAACACCTGTCCGAAAATGCTTCATTTATAGCTTAAAAACGCTTTGGCCGATTTTATTAAAATTTATATGGTTTATTAAATAATAAATTATTCAAAGATAATAAAAAATCACGTAAAGTTCCTCTAGCTTAAAAATTAACCATGAGTTTTAATTTCCCAAGTGTCAAAATTTTTAAAAATATTGAGGGCCCACACCAAATGTCGTCCCCAGGGCCTCAAAACTCTTAATCCGGGCCTGACAGAAATCTAGTGCATTTCTTTCAAATTTTAGGTTATGTGCTTTTGGATTTATTTACACAAATTGAATGTTTAAAGTTTAACCTAATTTCATCTGAGTAAACAGAAAGAAAAAACCAATGAAAAAATTAATTTTGTGGCTATGGAGTTTTTAAAATAGGTACTAAATTTTCTAATCATTGCTTAAACTAATATCTGGATGAGTAAATAAATACAGAAGGATATTAGAGCTTTAAGGGCATACAACTTTTGTATTTATTGAGTTTTTATTTATTTCTTGCAAGAAAAATTTTTAGTAACAGTGGAATGGTTCTTGTAAGTGTCTATTGACTGCTGTTCCATGCCCATTAAAGGTGAATATGACATATGTATAATTTCATTATTGATTATCTTGTAAACTGTTTAAATAAAATTAATGAAAATTTTACAGGATATTGAGAAATTAATGCAATAAGCCATAACCTTCTCATTATCATGATATTTGTCATTTTTGTTAATTTATTTCATTCATTTATAAAGAAATGTCGATTTTGCCCTGTTCTCACAAAAATTATTTTTTTTTAGTCTGAATATGAAGATTCAGAAACCATTTTAACTTTGTTGTGCTCGTGATAATTAATATTCGCCGCGTCTAGAGTCCCGTCAGACGGTTCTCTATTGCGCTCCCGTTAACAGAGTGACGTCATCAAATGACGCAATCTTAGGACGGGAAGCAGATCTTCCTTAACCAACGTCCCGAGTCCGCCCGCTTCAAAACCAACCCAAACCCAACAACCCAACCCAACCGACCCCGCCCCATTGGCCCCCCCCCGCCCCATTGAGTAAAAATTTTTCAACGAAGGAATATTCATTTAATTACATTTTATATTATATAACTAGCAAAATGATTATGAGGAAAGGTAAATAAATTAAAATATTAATGTAAAATTAAATATAAATGCTTTTAATGCCACATTGTATTATTTCGGTATACAGGGTGTCCGGAAAAAGGAGGTCAATCCTTTAACCATATATTCCTTGAGTTAAAACAATAAGACTTTCATAATACCATTTTTCAATTTAGAGCTTCATGTTCGATATACAGGGCGACAAAGTTTGAAATTTAAAACAGATATTTTTTAATAATTCGAGTAATTAATAAGGTATTAAGTTCAAATTTGGTACACTATTTCAACATAAATAGTTACATCTTTTGAGATCAACAAAACAAAAAACAAATGTCAAATAATCAAAATAGGGGGGGTCCAGTACTCACTGACCCCCCCTATTTTTTAGTACGGGCGCCAGTGACTTCCAAATGGTATTTTTTCAGGTAATCATTTAGTGTTAAACATTTTTTGTCTCCTACAAAAATTTGATGAAATGATTTGTTTTAGAGATAATTTGTAAAGTATTGGTCCTTGATTGATGCCCAGGCGGCTTATGGCAATCTCATAATTTTCAAATGTACTACTGGACCACCCTATTTTGATTATTTGACAATTATTACATCTTTGTTGTCCTAAAAAGATGTAATAATTGTCAAATAATCAAAATAGGGTGGTCCAGTAGTACATTTGAAAATTATGAGATTGCCATAAGCCGCGTGGGCATCAATCAAGGACCAATACTTTACAAATTATCTCTAAAACAAATCATTTCATCAAAATTTTATAAGAGACAAAAAATGTTCAACACTAAATGATTACCTGAAAAAATACCGTTTGGAAGTCACTGGCGCCCGTACTAAAAAATAGGGGGGGTCAGTGAGTACTGGACCCCCCCTATTTTGATTATTTGACATTTGTTTTTTGTTTTGTTGATCTCAAAAGATGTAACTATTTATGTTGAAATAGTGTACCAAATTTGAACTTAATACCTTATTAATTACTCGAATTATTAAAAAATATCTGTTTTAAATTTCAAACTTTGTCGCCCTGTATATCGAACATGAAGCTCTAAATTGAAAAATAGTATTATGAAAGTCTTATTGTTTTAACTCAAGGAATATATGGTTAAAGGATTGACCTCCTTTTTCCGGACACCCTGTATAAATTCTTAAAAAAAAATTAAAAAAGTTGTAGAGGCGCGAAGGATCGAACCCCGTACCTCCCGCATGCAAAGCAGGCGCCCTTCCATCGAGCTACCGAGCTTATTGTAATAATTCTATCGCTTAAAAAATAATACCTATTTACAGTGTGTGACGTCACAAAGTTTTAACGGGAGCGCAATGGAGACCCGTCTGACGGGACTCTAGACATTATGATTAATATTGTTTAAATTAACCTTTCAGCACAAACCTACATAACCTTACTTTATTAAAGGCATTCTTCCAGAATGTTCCGTTTTAAAATTAAAATTTCCCCCCAATAAAACAAAAAGTGAACAATTAATTAAGCAAATAATTAATCAAAGTAAATTACTAAAGGATATTTAAAGCACGTGCTTTTTTCTTACCTTTCCGGCATTTATATTCTCCAGCTGAACTTTTCTTCCACTCTCACGCTTTGTGTTATTGCCTAAAACGTAATAAAGTGACATTTTATTAAAGCTCTTTCGTCAAATTTCAAACTGACATACTTAAAACAACAATAGGAGCACGGCCACCACCAAACATTTTAATTTTTTACTTAACAAAACTCGCCGAAATGAAAAACTGTCAAAAGTGAGGTGTGAGAAGAAGTGAATCACGCATGTCGCAAAGCAGCCAACATAAAACCCTTAATGTAACTAGATTTAAACTTTTTATTTTAAATTTAATACGAAATCAAAAGTTTTTAGTATTGAACGTGTTAATTATTAGATAAGAATATTTTATATTATTTTTATATCCATTTAAATGTACTAAAAATGGTATGTTACAATGACATTTTCAACCAAAGTTACTAAATCAGCTGGGTGGTAGCACTGTTTGTCAATTCCGTCAATCTTGTTTGTATTAATTTTATTGATAAAATACGAAAAAAATGAGTATTGGAGATTGCTTGGAAAACATAAACTTGCCCCCTTGCGTGTGGTTTGAGGGGGGCGACAAACGAAACGCGTATGCATCGATTTTATCAGGTTTTTTGGTACGATTTGATCGGGATTTTTTGGTAGAATTTAATCCTTTGTTGAATAATTTTAGTTCTTTGCTGGGTGGTGGACAATTATTGATGCCGCCAGCGTTTATCAGGGCAAAGTGGAGGCTGGATATCATATGTGTGGAGTTTTTGGAACATTGTCTCTCATTATAGTAAATTCACTTTCAAATGCCCAAATTCGTGGAGATGCTTACGAAGGAGGGTGTTTGGGTCCTAGAGGATCCAGAGTAGTGTTGTTTTTAGGGTTTGTGATCGGTTTTGCCTCTGTTATCGCGTCTTGTTGGGTTTTGTTTGCCGGGTTTGCTGATTCAGGTAAAATTTATAAATATTCTAGTTTATTTTTTACCTTATTGATTTTAGATACCAAGTGGCCTGGAGTAGCATTATTTTTACAAAACGCGTTAATTTTTATTGCATCTATAATCTACAAGTTTGGAAGAACTGAAGATCTGTGGGCTTAATTTTAATTTGTGATATTTTTGTATTTAAATAATATACTGATTTTTCTTAAACCTTTGAGATTCACTTAATAGGTTGTATTTAATTAATTAATAAACTAGGTAGTTAGAAAATAAATAAGACTATTTTTTTTATTTTTTTATTATTAATACAAAAAATGATAACATTCTAAAAATAAATTTTAATTTTCTCATAACAGTCTAAAGCATAAATCTTGGTATAAAAAAAATGGATTATATTATCTTAGTGTTAATTTTGTCCCATGAACTTTTTGGCCAATTCTGCTTCACTTTGTTTATATGCAGTTATTTGATTATTCAAAGTTATAAACTCATTGGCAATATCAGGGCTTTTTGGGTCGAGTTTCAAAGCCTCTTTTAATCTTCTCTTGGCTAACTGAAAGTCGCCCAGCATTCTTAAACATTTCGCATTATTATACAAAGCTTTGGCAGGCATTTCAACATTAGTTTCCTTCAATAAATTCTTCAACTTGTTGAAATTGTTGCAACTTTTTCTGGGTTCTTCCACTTTGGTGTAGCACACTATTAAATTTGTGTACAACTTGTGCAGTAGCTCGTTTTGTTTTTCCTGATCTTCATAGTTTTCCAGTTGAGCCGATTCCAATCTCGCGACAGCTTGGTTGTACTCTTTTATGGCACCTTTCACGTTGCCTTGTTTAAATACATCCTTTCCTCTAGCACAAAGTGCCATGCAATACTTGTAGACTTCTTCAAATTTTCTTTGTTCTTCTTTTGGTAAATCTTTGAATGTTAAAGCAGCTCCAGAATCGATGATTTCAATTAATTCTATTTCGAAAAGCAATGAGGAGTTTGGTGGTATTCTACCAAGACAGCCCAATTTACCATATCCATAATCAGGCGTAAAAATAAACTGAGATTTTTCTGATGTTTTCATTGATTGCACTGCCAAGTCCAAACCAGGAATCACCTCCCCATTATTTACTACAAATTTATGAGCTTTCTTCCTTGCATATGTAGAATCATACGGAGTAGATTCATATTCTATGTAAGCATTGTAATGCACTTTAACAAGTGCTAAGTCAGCAGGCTTATCCCCGTAACCTTCCCTTAAACTCCTTTTTTTAACACCACCATCGTCCGTTATACTGGTCATTTTTGAACCTAATATCTCAAATGGTTGCCCCTGTACATAACTATCTTCATCGAAAAGTTCATCAAATTGCCCTTCGCAATTGAAATTGACGAAATTGGACATCGCTTCTTTAATTTCTTTGGTACTTTCTTCATCCTCATCTTCAGAATCCTCTTTGACTTTGTTTAGATCCAAGTCGAAAATTGCTCCTCCTTCAAGAAGGTTCTTCAGATTAACAGACATAGCGATATTGCTCGTTTACCACTATTTATTAGCCAAGTTTTGTCTATGTTTACTATAGCAAACTACACGCTGTTTTTAAAACAGTTTTTTGACAGAAAACAGTTTTCGCTTTAAAAGTGCGACGTTGCCGACCCATTTAGTTCAAGGTCATGCACTTTTTGGACCTAACGAGCTGTTTCCTTATTTTATATGATTATTAAGTAATTATGCGTGTTCTAAATCATAACAACTACTTAATAATCATATAAAAACACATGCTTTTTGTTTAAAACTACAGTGTTTAAAACACATTTTTATCTAATGCGAATTTGATCCTGCAACGAAAACCACTAAAGATTGTCAAAATTTCGACAGAAATGTCAAAAATTCAAAAAGAACCTAAACAAAACGAAATAAAATGTGATTAATATGAGTTCAACTTCAAAAAGAATAAGGTAAATTCCAAGTGTTCTTGATTTAAATACATTAAGCGTATTTTAGTTGTATAGAGTTAAGTAAAGATTTGGAAACGGAAGGATTTGATCATCAAGCAGGTCAAACATGGATTTATCCAACCAACTATCCAATGAGGGATTACCAGTACAATATTATACAACAGGCGTTACTTAAAAATACGCTGGTATGTGATTTATATTCTTTCATAAACCACATAAAATTTGCACTTTATTGAAAGTAATAAACCAATCAAAGCATGGCATTATCCATTGCACATAGTGTGCTGTGTATAATGCCAGGCTCTGATTGGATGCTTGTTTTCTATAGAGATCAATTTCTATACAAAATTAAGTCGCAAATTTTAAGATAAATCATGTAAATGATCCTTTTTAAACGGGGGTTTGTAGGTTAGTTTACCCACTGGTTTGGGCAAAACTTTTATAGCAGCTGTAGTTATGTATAACTTTTACCGATGGTATCCTCACGGAAAAATTATTTTTATGGCCCCCACAAGGCCTCTAGTCAAGCAACAAGTCGATGCTTGCTATGATATTATGGGAATCCCCAAAGAAGTTACTGCTGAAATAACAGGTAAGTTATGCATAGAATATAATTTTTATTTATTTCTCAATATAAAAATTTAATCTTTGTTGTCAAGTCTTTTATTATCAAATTATTTTTTTGTATATAAGGAAGCAAGGTATCCAGCTCATCAAGAGGCAACATTTGGACAGAAAAAAGAGTATTTTTTATAACCCCCCATGTGTTACAAAATGATTTGGATAGTCTTGATGACTTGGCAAATCAAATCAAATGTATTGTTTTTGATGAGGCCCACAAAGCAAGGGGTAACTACGCTTACTGTGAGGTTATAAGAAAGTTGGAGAATAAAAATAAATATTTTCGTGTTTTGGCGCTGAGTGCCACACCTGGCAGCAATATAAATGACATTGTTGAGGTGGCAAACAGTCTACTGATATCGAGGTTAGAATTTCGTACCGAAGAAAGTCCGGACGTTGTGCCATATGTTTTCAATAGGAATATTGAGACTGTTGTAGTGCCATTAAACTCTAAATTACTGGAAGTCAAGGAAAAGTATCTTCAGGTAAGTTTTTATTTTTAATCAAGTGGATATTTTTTATTTTTTGTAATTGTAGATTTTAGAGTATTATACTAAAGTTCTTATTAAGTACAGAATTATAAATGGAAATTATGGGAATTTGTCAAAGGGTAGAATTTTTTTGATCATGAAAGATTTTCAACAAAAACAAAGAGGAACTGGGTAATCTAAGAATATAAGTTTTAAGGGGTTATGTGTACAAAAATATACATTTTTTTATTTAATGCAAAATTAGTTTTAAGTAACTTTCACAAAGTTTAAAAAAAATAAAATGTTAGTAAATTATTTTTTAGATAGTTTTAAAAATTTCACAGAATATTGCACCTTATTTTGTTAAAATTCTAAATGCACACATCCCCTTAAAAATAAAGGTCATTTTTATTAAAAATGTTATTTTAGAAATTCCAACTATGGGGAAATAATGAAAAGTCTTAATATATGTGTCACCCTGTATCATGCTTTTGAGTTATTAATTAGGCATGGACTAAGAAGTTTTTTATCATTTTATGAAGGTATGTAATGTAAAACAATACATATGTTTAAATGGTCAATAAACATTTTTGTTTTTTTATAGTGGTTTCCATAAATGTTATATCATCCTAATTATAAAACCTAAATTTCTTAATTTGGTTAAAGAAATATTTATATCACTCTTATATACCCCTTAAAGAGCTTATTTGGGGAGTTTATGAAGGTTATCAATACCTATTTTAGTAACACTATAAACCCCAGGTTTTATAACTGGAGATAACAGGAATATTATGAAAACCACTATATAACTTCCTAAAGAACTAAAACTTTATAAAACTCCTTTATAAATCTACCGGTAACGGTTGCTAAAGGTTATATAAAATGTTTGTAGAAACAATTATATATCCTAATTATATACCTAGAGTTTACAGTAACCTTATATGACCATTATAAAACTAAATGGCGTTTTTATAAAACCTTGTTAAATCCTTATATAATTTGACAACTCTTATATAACCTTTACATAACACCCTGTATATTATAGAACACATTGATAAACCCCTACTAAGAGGTAATGCTGGAATTATTGAATTAATGAATGATATTAGACAATATTTAGGACCTGCTCCAAATATGGAGCAGCTCCCTGATGGCTCCTACTCAGAGGTAAAACAGCTTCAAAAATTGAAAAACATTTCCTATAGAATATTATTTTAGTTATCACCACTTACCAAATTCGGTCATCCCAAATATTACAAACTTAAGGACATTTTAATGGAACATTTTGGTAAGGCCAACAATTCGAGGGTGATTGTATTTTTTGAATACAGAGAATCGGTTATGGAGGCCTATGCCATGCTTTTGCAGGCCAAACCATTGGTGCAACCCAGGATTTTTCTGGGACAAGGCTATGGAGTAACCCAAAGAGTTCAGATCAATGTAAGTTTAACATAGTTTCGAATAAATTTGCTACATACGCTAAAGACGTATAGCTAGTAGCGCCACCATTTGGCTGTTATCATTTATTAAAAATGTCCACACTTAAATATAAATTATATTAGGTAAAGTTATCATTAGTTAATTCTGCACCAACAAATGCACTTACCGAATTGGATCCTTTGGCAAAACATGAAAACGCGATACTTCTTTAGCGTATACAAAAGGAAAATACTTATAAAAACTACTGCTATTTAATCGTTTTCAAAATAAATCCACTTACTATCCTTAATATCAATTTTCCCACACTAAGGAAATGTATTGGATTTCCAGGTTTTTTCCTTTGGCATTGTTTTTGCAGGTAGTAATTTTTTACACTTACAAAACTTTAAAAAACAACTCACATCAAAATGTAAATAGCACAAGAACATACTTACTTTCTTGTAACCGTGTGCCCATCATAACAATTCACTTTATGGGCTATACTTTTCAAGGTAATCAAAGCATTTCGCGAAGGTAGCTGCAACACTCTCCTTTCCACATGCATAGGCGAAGAAGGTTTAGATGTAGGCGAAGTTGATCTCATCCTATGCTTCGACATATCGAACGCATCTCCAATCAGAATGATTCAGAGAATGGGCAGGACGGGGCGAAAACAGGAGGGAAACATATTTTTTCTCGTCACAGAGGGTAAAGAGCAAGACACCCTTAAACAATGTCTAATCCAAAAGCAGAACTTGCAAAATTACGTCTTGGCTTCCAAAGAGTTGAGCAACTCTTTGAAGAAGGATAGTCCGAGGTTGGTACCTGAAGGAGTCGTTCCTAGATGCGAAAAGATGTATATCACAGTTAAAAAACCAGTGTTGTCCAAGAACAGTTCCATAAAGGATATGTTTAGGAGTATCTCTTCTGGTTCTTCAACGCCAGTGTTTTCGCAAAATTTGGAAATGAAGGATTTTGAGGAAAAAATACCCAAGAGCTTTACTTTGTGGAATAAAGGTACTTGTGTAGTTTGGCCCACTAAACGCGAAAATCACACTTAAAATTTTTTTCATGGAAGCGTTTTCGAGATGAATTTTCAATGGTTTTTTTTAATTTTCTGAGGTGTTTTGACGTTTTCTGGGAAAGATAGAAATCGAAAAGATAATTCCAATTTGATTTATTTTACCTATAGATTATACTTAAAGGAAAAAAATAAGCTGTTTATAAAAATCCATGGATAAATGGCGAAGTTATGAATTTTTCAGTGGAAGACCAAAATTCAGTTTTTCGAGAATTTTTACGTTTTTTCTTCCATTTATTGAATTATATAAAATTTAATATTGAACATTGATTTTTATTTTAAACATTAAATAATAAAATTAAATTATATATTGAATATTAAACAATTTATAAATATTAAAAATTGAAGGTATTGAAAGTTTTATTTTGTTGTAATAAGCATAGGTTTAAAAAAATTCTGGCTCCTTTGTTTTTTGTTGCTTTCGTATTCCGTTTCTCGTATGAGGACCAAATGTAACCCATCATGGCTGCATCCCAGAAGCCGTGATACCGCCGCTCCATAGCCTTCATTTGCTGGTGAAAACGTTCTCCGTGCTCATCACTTACGTTGCCCAGATTGTGCGGGTTATTTACGCACTCGAACTCTACTTCTTTTACTCATTTTACACTTTTTATCAACTAAATAAAACCATGATGAAAATACCTTGTTGAAATATCAAAAAATATCAGTAAAATGTCACTATGCCAAGACGAGAAAAAAAAGAATTCACGTTTGCGGAGTCATGTTAAATTTAAATTTTGAATAATGTTTTCGGTGAAAAAAGTACGTAAAAAACTCAAAAAATTCCAATCATGCACTTTATTTAGGTTTTCATTAAAGACTAAACATATTACAAAATAAAATAAAAAAAAATTAAATAAAAATCGTCAAAAAGCTGAATTTTGGTCTTCCACTAAAAAATTAATAACTTCGCCGTTTTTCCATGTATTTTTATCAACATTATCTTGTTTTTTTTTGTAAAAATGTCAGCTTCACGAAAAAAATTCAAACTGGAGTTATCTGTTTGATTTAAACCTTTCCCAGGACGGTATGTAAATTTTCGACCTCAATTTTTGCCATAAAACGAATTTTTTAAGTTATTAAAATCGCTAGCGTCAAAATACTTATCCGATATCAAAAGTATGTAAAAGAAAGATTTAGAGGGCTCAAATACCTTCAATTTAAGGGCTTGTTTGACCAAATCGATCTATTAGATTTCAAGCTATACTCAAAAACGTCAAAACACCTCCGAAAATTGAAAAAAAAACAATTAAAAATTCATATTTCAAAAACGCTTCCATAAAAAAATTTAGTGTGATTTTCGTGTTTAGTGGGTTAAAATACATGGAAAAATTATAATGGGAAATGGTGGGCAGAATTTTTTTTCGATTTTGTAAACTAGTGTTATTATTTTTATTTTAGAAAATCCCATGTCGGTTGAAGTGAAACCAAAAAGTATTTATTCCAAACACATTGAAAAACAAAGAACATTACAACCAATTCATAAAATATCTCATTCAAAATCAAGCAAGTTTTTGGTTGATTTATTTCAATTTGCTGATTCAAAGAGATACAACATTTCAACAACGCAAATGCCAGGTAAGATTGCAGTGGTACACCAAAAATTTCAGAAAAAGTGTAGCAATTTGTTTTTTACCTTAAAGGGATGTCTTCCACGCAAACAGAATTAAAAAATATGAAACAGGGCGACATAAGAAGCATGTTTTTCAAACCGACAGTCAGAACTACCCAAGAAGATCCAATACTTGGTAAAAAAATAAACATTTACATTTTGGTCTGTCCATCTCCAATAGACCAGGCAAAAAGGGGAGGGTCGTTATTTTTCAATTACATTTTTTTCACAGTTTCTCCACCTAAATCGACGAGACCCGTATTTTTTCTTTTTGCTTAAATTTGTTTTTCACCTGTAGGAAATTTTTATAAAATGGACATAACATCGATTTTTCTCTTTTTACGAGTGACATGTTTTTTTGAAAATGCTATAACTTGCCCAAAAATGTTTCGAACGTTACAATTTTTTTTTTAAATTGTAGTTTAATGTTTACTACATACTTACAATAAAATTATAAAAAAATAAAAAAGTAGCTAGTAGCGCCACCACTCGGCTGTTATCATCGTAACAAAAGTACAACTTTTGATAATCAGCTGTCAAACGCGTGTGTTACAAACGAGTGTTTTTGAGAATAAAGCCGGAAAATGTTAAAAAATATCAGAAAAAAACCGTGGCACGATTTGTTGTGTTGTTGGGTGTATTTCGAGAGGAAATCCTGGGTTGAGTTTTTATCGGTTTTCCAATAAACAGTGTTAATCCGAATGAAGAAATAAATTTTATACAGTATTTCCAATAAACAGTGTTAATCCGAATAAAGAAATAAATTTCATACAGTCCCTGTAGATATAAATTGTATCTATTAGATACAATAAATACACATTTTATTAATGATTAACGTGAAAAGTGGAAACATTTCAATTCAGTAAAAATCGTCAAACAAATAAGTCGTCTAAATTTAAACAGCATTTAGCATTTTTAAAAGCGTTGATTAAGAATTCTTTAAAGTCTCCACTCAACGGTAAAATACCATTATATTATGTATTATATATAATATTATGTTGCCATGAATTCGTAGGTATATTTTGTTGTTAAAAATGCAGTTGTCGGCGTTTTTTAGAGAACTCAAATATAAAAATGGTTGATTTTAAGGTCATGTTTGCGCAAAAATTATTTTTTACTAATTTATTAAAAATGTCAAAACTTAAATATAAATTATATTAGGTAAAGGTACCATTATGTAATTCTGCACCAACAAATGTACTTACCGAATTGGATCCTTTGGCAAAACATGAAAATGCAACGATTTAGTTCTTGAGTTTTATTTACAATTAAAAACACAATAATTCACCATGATCCCTTAGATAAAATACGCACACTAACGTAACTATATAAGCATTTAAGCGTTGAGTTTCTTAATCAATGATATAAAGAATAATCAATCGAAATCGAGTACTAAACCCGATACTTCTTTAGCGAATGGCATTTTCAAGAAAAAATGTCAATCGTAAAAATAACGACCTAACATTTTTTGTCTGGCCGATTTAAGATGTAAAGGCCCATTTACATCTTTTAACTATTTATGTAGGTCAAATATCCGCCCCATCCCAATCTACGCTCCTGGAAAACGCGATCGTAGACATAATATCCAACGAGGTTTTTGATGAGATATCAAGTTATTTGTTGATTGAAAATTCCGCGCAAAAAACTTGCAAACATTGCCCGGGGAATTTTGATTGCACCAAATTTGCGACGCCTGCGGAAGAAATAAATTTAAGCAGTTGGATGCAACCGTGTTCGTCAATTTTCGATAAAATTACGGTGGACCATTTGGATCGGTTTTTGGATTCTTTATCCCCAAAATCCGTGATAGATTTAGACGAATTTGGAGATCAAGATGTGGGGGAATCATTTTTCGATGTGGACACCTCCATTGTGGAAACAAAAAGTACCAAAGCAGAAAGTTCGTTTGTGTTCGCTGCGCCAAAAACATTGCGTAATATTTTGAATAGGTTTAGTAAGTCTATTATAAGCCAAAGTTATTTAAACGAACAAAGGGGTGAAGATGTTTCTTCCAATGATTTGAAGGAAAAAATAAACGTATCAACGGAGTTTCTGGAAGATTTTAACGAGGCATCATTCAACAGTGATTTTAATTTAAGCCACTCAAATAAAAAAAATAATGCAACACAAAGTAGTGAAGTATCTTTAAAACTTAACAGTTCCATACAAAAACATAATTTCGTGGATGATTTTGATGACACATCATTTAATTGCAACAAACAGAATATGGTTGATGATTTCAAGCAAACAAATGAAGAAACAAAAATCGACCATCAAGAAATTTTATCGTTCTTCAAGCTTACAAAACTTGAAGATTTATATGAAATAGAAAATGATGATAATGATAATGACACGCAAGATACCATTATATACTCACCATCGTCCCCATTAAACATCATACCAAAAACACCAGAAGAGAACTTTATTGACTGTCTTTCACCGGTGATAAGCTACTCTCAAAGAACAAACAGAAGCAACAACAACCTAACTCAAATTTCGTCGTCGCCTGTTTTATCCTTCAAAAACAAAAGCAGGGTGCTGTCCATGAAGAAGAGGAAAATAAATTTCTCTGCTCTGTTTAATGGCGTTGAAGAAAATACTCCAAAATGCTTGTTTACCCCAAACAGCACTCCTACATCTAAAACAGTGGTTGATATTGTGGATGACTTGGATGATTTGTGCGATCTATCAGAATTTAACATCACCAAAACCACTTTAACACATGCTGAAAAAAAGATTCAAGAAGAAGAAACAAGTTTAAGTGGTACTCAAACATCAAAAACTCTGGACGATGAAATTGATGATTTTTGCGATCTATCCGATTTTAATATATCCATCAACAACTTGAAACAAATCGAGAACCAAATCATTACAACAAAGCAACAAGAAAATTCAATATTAAGTAGTACACATTTTAACAACACTGATTCCAATATTACCAGACGAAAAAAAAACAAAAATCAACCGGAAGACATTTTTGAAAGTTTAAACGAAATAGATGACATCTGCGACTTATCTGTTTTCGGTATAGCGGAAAAACCACCAACAGAAGATAAAGATGATTTGGGCGATTTTTTTGATTTGTCCACTTTTGGACTGTCACAAAAACCATCCACCTCCAAGAAAGAATCTCCATTGAAATCACCAGTATTATCCCTTGCAAGAAAAGATTCGTCATCGCAATCTCATTTAGCTTTAACTCAAAGGAGAAAACAAGACATGTCGTCGCAATTACAACTGACAATAACGAGCCAAAGAAAAAAGGAAAACCCGTCTCAATCGCAACTGGCGATAACTCAAATGTTAAGTTTGATATCCAAAGAACAAAAAAGTTCGTCTCAGAAAGAAAACATCCCTAACTCCAGTATTTTGGACGATTTAGCGAATTTCCAAGAGTTCAATTTCAGTTTCAACACCAAAAAACCCGCCACGCCTAGAAGTAAGTTGGGCGCCATAAAAAATACTCAACCGCCAAAAAACAAAACTCCCTTAAAATCAAGACTTGAATGTACAATGAATGATACAGCCATAAGTATAAGTAGTGATGATGATTTTGAGCCTAAAACCATAAACTCAAAGAAAAAAAAAATTTGTAAGATGCCAATCAAATCGCCACCCAAAAAGAGTACAGTTGAAAACAAAGGAAAATGCAAGAAGAAAAAGGTTTGTCAAAATAACATTTTGATTTATTAGTTTTTCATATATTTTTTTAAAGAAAAAGAGTGGTTTCCTTCTAACCCAAGCAGAATTATCCGATGATGAGGACATTATTGTTTCGGACGATGAAGATGACAGTGATAATGACGTGTATGATAAAAGTTTCGTTGATAGCCAAGAAATTATCAGTAACACTCAAATGCATGCTAATTATTTGCAATCAATAAGGTAAGTAACACTGGTTTACAGCTATTTTTCCCACCATGTCTCACTATGATTTTCTTGTATAGTTTCACACTTAAATTTTTTCATGGAAGCGTTTTCGAGATATGAATTTTTAATTGTTTTTTTTTTTAATTTTCTGAGGTGTTTTGACGTTTTAGAGTATACTTTGAGTTCTTATTGATCGATTTGACCAAACAAGCACTTAAATCAAAGGTTATTGAGCCCTCTACAACTTTCTCTTCTATAGTTTTGGTATCGGCTCAGTAGTTCGATACTGGCGATTTTATGAAGTTGAAAAAGTCCTTTTTTTACAAAAATCGAGGTCGAAAATTTACGTATCAATCTGGGAAAGATAGAAATCGAAAAGATAAGTCCAGTTTGATTTATTTTACGTATAGATTATACTTAAAGGAAAAAAATAAACTGCTGTTGATAAAAATCCATGGATAAATGTCGAAGTTATGAATTTTTCAATAGAAGAGCAAAATTCAGTTTTTCGAGAATTTTTACGTTTGTTCTTCATTTTATTGAATTAGGTATATGAAATTTAATTTTAAACATTAAATATTAAAATTAAATTATATATTGAATATTAAACAATAAATATTAAAAATTGAAGATATTGAAAGTTTCATTTTGTTGTAATAAGCATAGGTTTAAAAAAATTCTGGCTCCTTTGTTTTTTGTTGCTTTCGTATTCCGTTTCTCGTATGAGGGACCAAATGTAATCACCCATCATGGCTGCATCCCAGAAGCCGTGATACCGCCGCTCCATAGCCTTCATTTGCTGGTGAAAACGTTCTCCGTGCTCATCACTTACGTCGCCCAGATTGTGCGGGTTATTTACGCACTCGAACTATCTACTTCTTTTACTCATTTTACACTTTTTATTATCTAAATAAAACCATGATAAAAATACCTCGTTGAATTATCAAAAAATATCAGTATGTCACTATGCCAACACGAGAAACAAAAGATTTCACGTTTGCGGAGTCATGTCAAATTTAAATTTTGAATAATGTTTTCGGTGAAAAAAGTACGTAAAAACTCAAAAAAATTCCAATAATGCACTTTGCTTGGGTTTTCATTAAAGAATAAACATTACAAAATAAAAGAAAAAAATAAAATAAAAATCGTCAAAAAGCTGAATTTTGGTCTTCCACTAAAAAATTCATAACTTCGCCATTTTCCCATGTATTTTTATCAACATTAGCTTGTTTATTTTGTAAAAATGTCAGCTTCACGAAAAAAAATTCAAACGGGAGTTATCTGTTTGATTGAAACCTTTCCCAGGACGATATGTAAATTTTTGACCTCAATTTTTGCCATAAAAACGATTTTTTTAAGTTATTAAAATCGCTAGCGTCAAAATACTTATCCGATATCAAAAGTATGTAAAAGAAAGTTTTAGAGGGCCCAAATACCTTCAATTTAAGGGCTTGTTTGACCAAATCGAATAATTAGATTTCTGAAAATTAAAAAAAAACAATTAAAATTCATATTTCCATAAGTGTGATTTTAAATCAAGTTATAACGAAAAATACCGCTCTATCCTTAGTTTATAAAATGTTCTATTCTAGGAGTCCAGTAAGGCCAGGACAATTCAAAATACCCCAAAGACCCAAACAGAACATATCAAATGTTTTCTCTCAGTTTGTCGACATGGAAAATGATACCTATCTTCATGTATGTCTTATTAAAAGAGATTGTTTTAAATCTAATGTAAATAAATGTTTTAGGATTCATTTTGCGTTAATACTGAGGATGTAGATTGTCCTCAGCATGATCTGTCAGAATTAGAAATATTAGAGTTAAAACTAAAAGAAAAACGGAAAAACAAGAAACGAAAAAGTTCGGAAAATACGAAAGGAGCTACAAAAAGGAGAAGAATTATTCAGATTCTCAGTGATAGTGATTAATTATGTAAGTTATTTTGTAATAAATTGTTTAAAAAAAAATAATTAACTTACCTAAAGCTTTGTTATACCCTGGAACATGCATTTATAAAATGCAAAACCCAAATAAAAGGCACAAAAAGTGTAAACAAAATTTATTTAACAATGATCTTGTACTTTTCAACAATGGAAACAAAAATATTTAACAATTTGCACAAAGTACTACCGATATTTACACAAATGAATAAAAACATACTTAAAATAATTTCCTTGTGATTTCTTTAAATATCCAAACATAACTTGATACATTTTGATAGACCTAATGTGTAAATATAATTGTTTATAAATATACCTCTACATTGTACCTTAAACAGGTAAAATAATATCAAATTATAAACGAGTTTTGATAAAAAATTCCTACGCGAAAATTAACAAAAAATTCAATGCATATTTGCCAAAAAACAGCTTCACTTGTTAAATATTTATGAAAAAATAACATTAAAATCTTAGATACGTCAAAACAAATAAAAATTATTTTTATTTATAATATATCTACAACACTTAAATTATATATCACATATTTATATTTGACACAATCGAATATTTTGCCTAAATAGGTTTATAAGTAGAATGTACCAACAATAAAATATTTTGTAAAATGTATACTTCTTTTTTTAATAATAGTAATAGATGAATTCAGTCTTGCGTATAGCGTTAGCTTTCTTTAGATAATTAATTAGTTTATTAAATAAATAATCTAAGGATCCGCGTCCATACTTTCAGCTACATCTTCCAATTGATTTAGTTTGTTTGGTTCGTTGACAAACACTTTCTTTGCCAAAGTCTGAAAAAATAAACATGTATATTGAATATTGCCCAAAGAAAATCAGCATAATTATATTATATTAGCTATAAACTTTATCCTACCAAAAAGTACGCCACTGATCGACTAGGAACTTTAGCTTAATTATGTTATGGTTGGTAACAACCAGCGTTTCCAGATTATGTCAAAAAAGTTGCCAAATTTTGTTTAAATTTAGCTGAAATACAAAAATGACAAAATCATCAATGCAAATTGTTAATTTGGCGTTTTTTTAATTGTTTATTATGTCATTTTTGTAATGAGGTAAATTCAAACAAAATCTGGCAACTTTTATGACAGAATCCAGTGCATTTCTTTCAAATTTTAGGTTACGTGCTCAAATTATAAATATCTTAACTAAGGGAAGTGCTTTTGGATTTATTTACACAAATTGAATGTTTAAAGTTTAACCTGTGAACTTGTCCTAATTTCATCGGAGTAAACAGAAAGAAAAAACCGATGAAAAAATTAATTTAGTGTTTATGGACTTTATGGACTAAGTGTGTAACCAGTGGCGTATCACAAAAAATATAAAAAACTTGCATATTTTTTCTTTATCTTAGGAAAAATATTTTTTTAAATATTTTTCCGTTACACCTTATCATTACATATCACCCTGTATGCAGGGTGTTTAAAAAAACTTGCGCCAATTTACAGATGGAGATTCGATTTTGTTAAAATTTGGCCTAATTTATCAAAAAAATAATAGTTTAACTGGAAAAATGTGCAAAATATGCGTTTTGTTAATTTTTATCCAATAATATGGTTTTTATTTTTTTATGTCGAAAACGAGGTAAGATACGAAAACAACGAGACAAAGAAGTCGTATTTTTAGTGGCTTAATCATACAAACATATAAAAACTGCAAAAAATTCAGTGGCGTACATTTTTTTGTCATTATTATTCGTTAAGGTGCCTCCCGGTGCGCCACTGGACTTGACAATTTTGATCTACATAGTTGAAGAAAAATTAGCTCCTTATCAGCATAACGTTGCAAAATTTCAACAAAATCGGGCAAAACGATACTTAAGATATTTTTAAAAAGCTCCACCAAATATATTTTTTGGGGTGGCCCCGCGGATTTTTTTTAAATTTTATTTTTTTTCTTCATCAAAACAATAACTTCATAGTTTGTCACAAAAACAAAAATATTGTTTTATTTTTAGAAAATAAGACAAAATTTGTGTCAAACTGACACAAAAAGAGTACTATTAAATTGTATTTAGACAAAAAATAATGAAAATTACATAGGTTGTATAAAAAATTTTCGGCAGAAAAAAATATCAAATTCTGAAATTACTTTATAATAAAGTATGAATATTTTCATTGAAAAGTTGGGAATTTTTTACAAAAAACAATACTGTTTTATTTTTATAGGTACAATATTATTTACATTTAAAAAAAAATTAATAAAAAAGTTTTTAAAAAAACCGTTAAAATGACTAGTAAAGTATTTAATATTAAGAGCTAATTGGTTAGCAAAAGTTAGACAACAGGATGGTAATCAAACAAAATTTGCAAGCAGCCATACCCAAGCAGCATTTTAAGTAAAACGTAGAGCTTTGAGGCAATATTACTTAATTTAAGTAAATATTTTGTTAAATTAACCTTAAAAATTTATTTTGAAGTAAAATTTTTTTAAAGTTATTTAATAAGTTTTATTTATGTTATTTTTAACTATTTTAATAACCCTTAAGTTTCAAAATTAAAAGTATTATGAGGGAAGTAATTTTTACGAAAGAAAATTTGAGTTTTGACAATTTAAGTTATATTTTTTAATTTTACTCTAGGGTGGCCTTTACTACTTTTATTTTTACGTAAATTTGTGATATTTATATTGTTTTTATTACGTTTTTCCCTTAGTAGATCAAAAAGGTTATTATGTAGGTAAAATAACGAAATAAACCATTCCCCAAATTTGGTAATTTTTTAGTATCTATACTGTTTTAAAACCATTTTGGTTAACCATAAAAAATACTTTAAAGTTAATCTAGTTGTAAATTTGTAGTTATTTGCTGTATTTACCAAACTATATTTAAAGTATGAGTTTTTATTGAATTATTAAATTTATTATGATTAGGGTAATAAAAAAACACTAACCTTAAGGCTCTCTAAACATTGGTCCCCATCACAAGTGTTGATTTCCGTCAGGAGACAGTTGTACCGCTCTAGTTCCGCGTAGAGACCGAACGGTATCTTGGCCAGGCACTCGAGCTTCATAATGTGCATTTTGGAGCGCAGGTGTTTCGCCAAATGCCCGTGTATCCTGAACGACGTGTTGCAATCCGTGCACTTGAACGGCCGCGGTTCCGACGACGACAAGGCCGGAGAAGAAGACAACTGGAAATAATGAAAACTGTTACCTACCCCCTCATTTAAAGTACTTTTAGCAAAAAAATCGTGAGTTCAAAATGATTTAATTTATCCTGTTTTTTAAATGCAGCGTTCAGCAATGGTACATGACGTTTTATTGTCACACAAAAATTATTAATTTTTAGTTTCACATATGTTATTTATACACAAATATATGACTGCCATTTATAACAAATCTGCCAATTTTACTATTTCATGCAGTAGAATTTGACTAGTTACACTAGTTTACAAAATCGAAAAAAAATTCTGCCCACCGTATCCCATTATAATTTTCCCCTGTATTTTGACCCGAAAATCACACTAAATTTTTTTTGTATGGAATCGTTTTTGAAATATGAATTTTCAATTGTTTTTTCTCAATTTTCGGACGTATTTTGACGTTTTTGAGTCCAGCTTGAAATCTAATTGATCGATTTGGTCAAACAAGCCCTGAAATTGAAGGTATTTAAGCCCTCTAAAACTTTTGATATCGGATAAGTATTTTGACGCTAGCGATTTTAATAAATTCGTTTTTATGGTAAAAATTAAGGTCGAAAATTTACATATTGTCCTGGGAAAGGTTTCAATCAAACAGATAACTCCAGTTTGAATTTTTTTTCATCACGCTGACATTTTTACAAAAAAAAAACGAGCTAATGTTGATAAAAATACATGGAAAAATGACGAAGTTATGAATTTTTTAGGGAAAGAACAAAATTCAGCTTTTTGACGATTTTTATTTTATTTTTTTCTATTATTTTTTAATATGTTTATTCTTTAATAAAATCCAAATTAAAGTGCATAATTGTAATTTTTTAAGTTTTTTACGTACTTTTTTCACCTAAAACATTATTCAAAATTTAAATTTGACTTGACTCCGCAAACGTGAATTCTTTTGTTTCTCATGTTGGCATAGTGACATACTGATATTTTTTGATATTTCAACGAGGTATTTTTATCATGGTTTTATTTAGTTCATAAAAAGAGTAAAATGAGTAAAAGAAGTAGAGAGTTCGAGTGCGTAAATAACCCGCACAATCTGAGCGACGTAAGTGATGAGCACGGAGAACGTTTTCACCAGCAAATGAAGGCTATGGAGCGTCGGTATCAAGGCTTCTGGGATGCAGCCATGATGGGTGATTACATTTGGTCCCTCAACGAAAAACGGAATACGAAAGCAACAAAAAAAAAGGAGACAGAATTTTTTTAAACCTATGCTTATTACAACAAAATAAAACTTTTAATTTCTTCCATGTTCAATATTTATGGTTTAATATATAATTCAATATATAATTTAATTTCAATATTTAATGTTTAAAATAAAAATCAATGTTCAATATTAAATGTTATATAATTATATAAAATAAAGAAAAAACGTAAAAATTCTCGAAAAACTGAATTTTGGTCTTTCACTCAAAAATTCATAACTTCGCCATTTATCCATGGATTTTTATCAACAGCAGCTTATTTTTTCCTTTAAGTATAATATATACGTAAAATAAATCAAACTGGACGTATCTTTTCGATTTCTATCTTTCCCAGATTTATATGTAAATTTTCGACCTCGATTTTTGTAAAAAAGAGGACTTTTTCAACTTCATAAAATCGCCAGTATCGAACTACTGAGCCGATACCAAAACTATACAAAAGAAAGTTGCAGAGGGCTCAATTACCTTTGATTTAAGTGCTTGTTTGGTAAAATCGACCAATTAGAACTCGAAGTATACTCTAAAACGACCAAACACCTCAGAAAATTAAAAAAAAACAATTGAAAATTCATATCTCGAAAACACTTCCATGAAAAAAAATTTAAGTGGGATTTTCGCGTTAAGTGAGCCAAACTACACAAGAAAATCATAATGAGACATTGTGGGCAAAATGGCTGTAAACTAGAGTTATTAGCTGCTTTTTCGTCATGACAATTAGTCAAACATGACTTACAATTAGTAATTACTAATTAGTGGAAAATTTATTAAAGAATAGTAAAGCTACCAAAAAATTTACCAACAAAATTTATATAAAAAAATTGTTAATAATAAAGTTTGTCAATTTTGTGGAAAAAAATGATAATCCCAAGATCAATTCGCGATTATCTCTGGTTTAAACATGTTCACATGATAATTGATAAGTACTTTTTTAGACAATTAAATTTTCCAACAAATTAGCGACTGCTTTTTCGAAACGACAATTAGTCAAAAATGACTAACAATTTGTAAATAGTGGGAAATTTATTGAAGAATAGTAAAGTTACCAAAAAATTAGACGAATTATTTTTTTTCACTTATTAATTAAGTTTTGTCATAAAAATGACAATTTTGAAATAAAATGGCGATTATCTCTGGAATTGTAATATTAATGAAATTAAAATAAATTTACCAACAAAATATATATAAAATTTTTTTTACTAATAATGTATTTTGAAAAAAAATGATAATTTTAAGATAAAATCGCAATTATCTGCGACATTACAATATTTACGTCAAAATTGACAATTAAATTACCTAATTTTTTTGTGCACATTTTACCAAACGTTATTTAAACTTTTGTAATCTTACCTTATTATGGTGTCCAGCGCTTCTTTCATGCTTTTGCAGATGCCCTTTGGTTCTAAAACTCGTCGAACACGGTTCGCACCTAAACGGCCTTTCAAGATAGTGTATATTCATATGCAACCTAAAAAAATCATTATTCAAACCATGAATCCCTAAACTTACGATTCTTTTTCTCACCTGAGCTGCGAGGGCTTGCTGAAAGTCTTCGCGCATATCGTGCAACTCTTGTTGCCTTCCGGCTTGACAATCAAGTCGTTTACGTCCTTGTTGATCGGTCCGAAAGTGGCCGCCTCGATGGCGCTACCGTCGGGGTTCATCTCGTTCTTGGTGGCCAACTTCAGAAACTCCGAGGCCACGCTTTTAGCCAGGGAGTTCTTCTCCAACTTCACTTGCTGCGTGGCCACGTCCACGAACGTTTTGTCCACCGACACGTCGGTCAGATTCATGGGAGAACTGAAGGGGAAAAATTTATGTTATCTAGAGCTAAAACTTTATCAAAATCTTTGAAGAGTTGTTTTTTTTGTTTATAATAACCTTTATCCTACCAAAAAGTACGCCACTGATCGACTAGGAATTTTAGGCTAATCTGGTTGCCTAATTTTATTTATTATGTTATGGTTGGTTTCCAGCATAGAAATAACAGTGTTATTTCTATGGTTTCCAGATTCTGTCAAAAAAGTTGCCAAATTTTGTTTAAATTTAGCTTAATTACAAAAATCACAAAATCAACAATGCAAATTGTTAATTTGGCGTTTTTATTAATTGTTTATTATGTCATTTTTGTAATGAAGGTAAATTCAAACAAAATCTGGCATATGACAGAATCTAGTGCATTTATTCAAACTGTAAATATCTTAACTGCTTTTGGATTAATTTACACAAATTGAATGTTTAAAGTTTAACCTGTGAAATTGTCCTTATTTCATCTGAGTAAACAGAAAGAAAAAAAACGATGAAAAAATTAATTTTGCGGTTATGGAGTTTTTAAATAGGTACCAAATTTGCTAATCATTGCTTAAGCTAATAGCTGGAAGAGTAAATAAATACAGAAGGGTTTTAGAGCTTTAATGGCATAAAACTTTTGTATTTATTAAGTTTTTATTTATTTTTGCAAGAAAAATTTTTAGTAACATAATAATAATAATAATAATAATAATAATATAAAAAACTTCTTATGCATATTTTTTTTTTATCTTTTGTCAAAAGGTATTCAGTATTTTAATATATTACATTAATTACATAACACCCTGTATATATATTTTTTAAATCATTTAAGTAAAGCATTTTTAACAGCAAAACTAATTCTTGCAAGGTTATTATACAAAGGGGCCTTCGCAACAAGCTAATTTTGCAACAATTTATCAAATTTGTTTTTATGGTATTATATAGAAAATTGATATTCTTTCCTAAAAAATGCATTTTAATCAAGGTTAAGTCTTAACTTTGATTAAAATGCATTTTTTAGGAAAGAATATCAATTTTCTATGTAATACTATAAAAACAAATATGATAAATTGTTGCAAAATTAGCTTGTAGCAAAGGCCCTTTTGTTTTTAAGAAGTATTTCATTGACTTTCATAAAAAATGTGGTGGAGGCTTTAAAATATCACCCCAGGATAAAGAAATATTGCTATTATAAACTATATAATTTAAAATTGTACTTGGGCTTCATAAAATAGTATTTATTTGAGAGATAATAGTAATACGTATTAACATTATTCTAAACCTAAGCAATATTGTATATACTGCGGCAAAAATGTTTAAAAAGAATACGCTTATATGCTAACTAGCTTTATCCACCGCTTCGTCTAAGGACATTATTAAGTTCATTATTTTGTATCTGGACTGCGGCAACGTTGCAAATTTAGGAGTTTGGTTGGTAAATACGGAACCAAAATTGGTTGCATTGATAAAAACAAACTAAACTAGTTATAAATGTGATTATAATGTAATTGTGGTTATGTGTGATTTAATATTTGAAAAACTAAAAACGTTACTTTTTCACTCCAAAAATGTCCATAAGGCGATGTACTTTTTCTGCCATTGAGGCATTTGACATAACTTCATGGAAATGAAGTTTTGCCCTTAAAAGTTCTTTTACTTTAGAATCTGATATTATTTTTGGCATAGTTATCTTTTTATATCGATATTATATAATAATTAACAAGTAAATTATCAATAATACGCTAAAGAAGTATCGAGTATTCGCAACGCGCGCGCCATCTGGTGGACGTCAAAAGCATTGCGTGAATTTAAGAATTGTCAACAATGCATTTAAAGCATGCGAATTGTACATCAATTTTAAATAAATGGGTAGTTTTTTCACAAAAAAAGTCTTACTCGACAAATTTTGTTCAATTGCACAGCTAAATCGCGCACGTTATTTGTGTTTTACGTTGCAAGGAAAAAACTAAAAAACTGGTTTAGTACTCGATTTCGATTGATTATTCTTTATATCATTGATTTAGAAACTCAACGCTTAAATGCTTATATAGTTACGTTAGTGTGTGTATTTTATCTAAGGGATCATGGTGATTATTGTGTTTTTAATTGTAAATAAAATTCAAGAACTAAATCGTTGCATTTTCATGTTTTGCCAAAGGATCCAATTCGGTAAGTACATTTGTTGGTGCAGAATTAACCAATGATAACTTTACCTAATATAATTTATATTTAAGTTTGGACATTTTTAGGAAATTAGTAAAAAATAATTTTTGCACAAACATAACCTTAAAATCAACCATTTTTATATTTGAGTTCTCTAAAAAACGCCGACAACTGCATTTTAAAAATCAAAATATACCTACGAATTCATGGCTACATAATATTATATATAATACATAATATAATGTTAATTTACCGTTGAGTGGAGACTAAAGAATTCTTAATCAACGCTTATTTGTTTGACGATTTTTACTGAATTGAAATGTTTACACTTTTCACGTTAATCATTACTAAAATGTTTATTTATTGTATCTAATAGATACAATTTATATTTACAGTATGAAATTTATTTCTTCATAAACCGATAAAAACAACAACAAAAATGACTGTCTTACCTTGACGCTGGAAAGTTAAGGACCGGTCTCTCCGCAACCATATTGCTGACGTAGTTATTTTTTGGTTCTTCGACGGACATTAAGTTGTCATTTGGAGGTACAGGACTACAACTTCTATTCAAATTTCCCGTGACGTCGTTTTGCGTGATTTTTTGCGTGTTTTTTTGCGACAAAGACAGCAAACCGTATGCCGCTTCGTGTTCTTGCTGACGCGTAGACTCATCTAAAACAAGATGGTAAAATTTTAATATTTTAACCACTTAAAAGATTAATAGTATATTTTGTATCAAGGTTGATAAACGCCATTTTATACACTAATTTAATTTAATGAGTGTATATAAAAGTTTATAAACGAGGTGCATACTATACTTTTTTTACGACAAATACTTATTATTATCTTAAAATGATTAAATCAAAAATGTGTATAGAGCGCCATCTATGAAACAATAGGGAAATCTGTGTGTCACCGTCAAATGTCACATTTTTCTATTTTATAAACACAGATTATAAAGGTTATAAATCGAAATGTATTTCTTGAAAATTGACAGTTTTTCACAGTGAAAGTAAAGAAAATGTTTTATGAGCACTTTACAGTGGAGTCCGTGCCCGAATTTAAGTTATAGTTTACTGCCGGCGAAATTAAAAGGTCAGTACAATGTTCATATAAACTTTTCAAACTATTTAACATTTTTGTATTTTTGTATTGGGTTAATAAAATAATTTTAACATTTAGTATTATTTTACAAGAAAGGCACTTTATTTTAACGATTGTATGACATTTGACAACTGTCAAATAACTTAAAACTAACTTCAGCCCGTGACTAAAAACCTGTTGCTAACTTCGGCCCGTGACTAAAGCGCCATAAAGCCACAACTTGTCAATGTGTATTTAAAAGGTCACTTAGTGTCGTGGAAACATGTACGATAAAGGGGGGAGTAGAAAAAATATTAAATCTCACCACTACTGTCCATTCCGCTGTCGTCAGTATCGGAATCTGAGCTCTGAGTGCCGCTTTGCTGCGTTGAGGAACTAGAACCGCTTCCGGCCGAATAATTTTTCGTGTGGACTTTGCTCTTCATGTGTTTAGTCAGATTACCCTTAGTTTTAAAACTAAAAATACGATATTATGAATTTTAATTAAGTAATAGGGGTTTAAAGGGGTATTCACCTGAAGTTACAGTGTATGCAGGTGTACGGCCGATCCACAGAATGAGTTCGTAGGTGCTTTTTCAGCATCGATGGTTTTTTACATCTGATGCCGCATTGGTCGCACACATATCGCCCACGACCTAATAACATATTTACAAAATATAATTTGTTGCCTAGTTGCTAATTTAATTTATGTTATGGTTGGTAACAAACAGCGTTTCCAGATTCTGTCAAAAAAGTTGCCAGATTTTGTTTAAATTTAGCTTAATTACAAAAATGACAAATTGTTAATTTGGCGTTTTTATTAATCGTTGATTATGTCATTTTTGCAATGAAGGCAAATTCAAACAAAATCTGGCAACTTATGACAGAATCTAGTGAATTTCTTTCAAATTTTAGGTTATGGGCCCAGATTGTAAATATCTTAACTAAGAGAAGTGCTTTTGGATTTATTTACACAAATTGAATGTTTTAAGTTGTCCTTATTTCATCTGAGTAAACAGAAAGAAAAAACCGACGAAAAAATTAATTTTGTGGATATGGAGTTTTTAAAATAGGTACCTACTAAATTTTCCAATCATTGCTTAAGTTAATAGCTGGACGAGTAAATAAATACAGAAGGGTATTAGAGCTTTAGGGGCATAAAACTTTTGTATTTATTGAGTTTTTATTTATTTTTTGCAAGAAAAATTTTTAGTTACAATAAAACGAAAAAAAATCGAAAAATCATTACAATATTAGGAGCTCAAATCTTCAGTGAAATTTTAAAAATTCGCAAGGGTAAGGGTTGGGTTCTTAAAATAAATGTTATTTAGTGGAATGACCTATATGTTTTAAAACCATTAACATTTTATTATGATGCAACAAAACTTTAAAAATTCTTTTTTAAACATATTTTTATAAAGTTTTAAGTTGGATAATTTGTGTAGGTGTATCAAAACAGCCCAATAAGGAACTGACGTCATAAGCAAACATTTAATTATTAATTATGTGGTCAGAATGTGATAAATATTACCAATTATTTCTAATCCTAATTATATTTAATATAATATAATTTATAAGTAATAATTATTTTAATGCAAATTTAAAAAACAAATTGAAATTTTCTGTAGGTATTATTTTTTATTTTTCCATTATAATTAGAAAAATCAATATTTTTCTTCGCCACAATAACTATTAAATATTACATTATTATTTTATAAATACAATGTTCATGATATATTACAAAAAAATAATAATTAAATGTTTTTTTGCAGCATGTAAAACTAATTTATAATAATTAAAAAATAAAATAATAATAATTTTTAATTATTATTACTTACCCCTACCCCTAATATAAGTATAGTCTTCATTACTTTCATAACCTCCCAAAACTGGATTCGATTTCGAAATATCATCCTTTTCCGGACTTTCAGATGGCACTTCTGTTACCAGGGTCTAAAAAAAATTATTTGTTAATAACATAAAATTTATTATATTCCACGTTTATTTATTTAAATGATACGTAGCAATTCTAAAAATTTCGAATGAAATTCTAAAAATATGCTGAAGGAAAATATCCGGCTATATTTAAACACGCTCAAAAATTACCTTAGGTAATCTATCTGTTAACTTTTATTATCTAAATTTTGCGATGATTTGTCGAACAATTAAATAATTTTCATACACACAAGTGCTGTAAAAAATAATTATTATATAATTTTCCATAGCGTAATGGTTATTCAGGTTTATGAATCACATCTTTTACATCTATCCTTTTTAACAAATAAATATTCATGCAAATTTGTTTATGTAAATATTAACGAAATTCCATTGAATTTGCTAATAAGAAAGTAAACCAGTTGTTTTCTAATGCTAATGGAACGTGGCCCAAAAAAATCTTCGCTTAAATTTAAAATCGCCAGCAAAAATAGTGTTACATTGAAACGATTAAATTTACAAATAGGAATATAAGTATTGTTTACTTCTATTTATAAATCCGGCGTTACATCATCAAGTTTTGATTTAATGATTTAATGAAGGCATCAATATAATGCAAGGACAATGTTTATAACTAAATAACTTTTAAAATTTATTACCAGAAAATGCATTTTATACACATTTGATCTTTTATTTATGCTTAGTGTGTTGGATTTTTAGAAAACCGATCTAGTAGGCTTATTACAAGGTCAAATAGTAACAAAAAGAAACAATTGACATTTTGTATTCTTATCTCAATTATAATCATTAAAACCACAGTCTTATAATACAGGGTGTTATGTAATTAATGAAATGTATTAAAATTCTAAAGACCAACAATAATTTATAATAACCTTTATGCTACCAAAAAGTCTAATCTGGTTGCCTAATTTAATTTATTATGTTATGGTTGGTAACAAGTTGCCAAATTTTGTTTAAATTCAGCTTTTAATCACAAAAATGACAAAATAAACAAAGCAAATTGTTAATTTGGCGTTTTTATTAATTGTTTATTATGTCATTTTTGTAATGAAGGTAAATTCAAACAAAATCTGTCAACTTTTATGACAGAATCTAGTGCATTTCTTTCAAATTTTACTAAGGGAAGTGCTTTTGGATTTATTTACACAAATTGAATGTTAAGTTTAACCTATGAATTTGTCCTAATTTCATATGAGTTGACAGAAAGGAAAAAACCGATAAAAAAAATTATTTTGTGGTTATGGAGTTTTTAAAATAAGTACTAAATTTTCTATCATTGCTTAAGCTAATAGCTGGATGAGTAAATAAATACAGAAGGGTATTAGAGCTTTAAGGGCATAAAACTTTTGTATTTATTAAGTTTTTATTTATTTTTTGTTGGTTGGTATCTATGTTTTCACAGAACACAAGTGTGTAACAAGTGGCGAACCACAAAAAATATAAAAAACTTCTAATGCATATAATAATGTCTTTTGGAAAATATGTTTTTAAATATTTTTCCGTTACACCTTGGTCAAAAGGTATTTAGTATTTTAATATATTACATTAATTACATAACACCCTTTATGTATAACAACATTACGTCAATATACTTTGGTATTTTTAATATTTAAAATTGGTACTTCTGTTTGAGGCCTTAATCATGGAGCCTGCAGAGGCCTTAAAGTGCTAAGGGAAACCATTTCACTCCTCTTTTGTAAAAAATAAACCTTATTGTGTAAGGGCTGTCATTAAACTGTCAAATATCAATTTTAAGGTTAATTTGTGGGTTAAAATTTACATTTGAAAGTTTGATGATGGCCCTGATAGAATAGGGTTTATTTTTTACAAAAGAGTAGTGAACAGAGCTTGAAGTATTAAAAAAAAAATACTTGAAAGTAACTTAGATACTTAAAGTATTTAAGATACTTTATCTAAGATACTTTTTATATTTGACAGAAAGTATCTTTAACTAAGTATCTTGTAACTTGTATCAAAAAAAGTATCTAAGTAACTAAGATACTTTTTAAAGTAACTTAGATATTTTTCAGTGTAACTTAGATACTTTCTTAGAGAAAATTGGGGGAATTCCAGAATGATTCAAAGTAATTACCTAACCTACAACTTGTCGAATTTTCATAATTTTATAGTTTTTATTCATACTTAAAAGTATCTTAGTTACTCAAAAGTATATTAGTTACTTAAAGGTATCTTAGTTACTCAAAAGTATCTTAGATACTTTCATATAGTATCTTGTAACCAAATATACTTTCAACTCAAAGTATCTAGTTACCAGAGGTAACTAAGTTATTTTGTTTAAAGTATCTTAGAAAAGTAACTAGATACTTTTCAGAAGTAACTTTCCCAGCTCTGGGAGAGAAATTGTTGTCCGATGTACTTCAGCATTTTGATGAAATTATTCCCAATTTAAAAACATTTCTAACCTCATATAATTATAACATAACCACAGTTGCAAAGCCTACTTGATGGAATTTAAAGAGAAAAGTAACATAAAACGAAACTCACCTTAAAGCTGGAGTTGATGACAACATCCGGAGTAGTCTTTCCCGCCGAGCTGTACCGTTGCGACCTCTGCCGCGAGTCGTACGCGCTAACGTAAAATTTATCCGCTTTGGTGTCTTGCTGCCTCCACTCGGAATACATGCTCAGCTTGCTAAAATGCGGCACGTAAAACGGTTGCGTCTTGTTCAGAGTGCAATACACCGGCTTGGTGGAACTCTTCAGGTCCAGGTAGCTGAAGTAGTTGCCGTGCAGGTAGTGCTCGACGTATTTCTTGTTGACCCTCGGGGTATCGGGGCTTATCAGGATTTGGTTGAATTTGGTCGGCGTCAAGCCGTGGTGCTGCTTTAGCGACGCAGTCGTCGGTTTTAGGGCCAAACTGTTCGGTCGCGAGAATTTTTTCGTCTCGCCGATGAGTTCTTTGACCGGCGATTTAAATTCGATCACTTTGATGGTCGGCGACTTCGTTTCCAAGTCCGTTTTGATCTCTAACGCGTCCGTTTTGCCTTTGAAGTTGTTGCTTCGTATCCGCAAGGGAAATTTTTTTATGGGGCTCATTAGAACGTCAGGGGTTAGCGGTGGTGGAGTTTCACTGGTATCCATGGGTTCCGAGAAAGTTTTGACTATCGGAGAAGGAGGAACCCTTTTTGGAAGAGTGACGATTATTCGGTTTTTCTGGGCCAAATCCTCTGGATCTTCAGCCACAACGGGCCCGGGCATACCGGGGACGTACCGCACTATTTTTCCCTCGACGAGTAGATTCAGGGGGTTGTAGCTCTTGGGAGACAGTCTGGGTTCAGGTACTCTAGCGTTTAAACCTCGAGGCAGGGGACTGTAGCCCTGCGTCTCCAAAGGATCGTGCATGCGACTTCTTTCTTTTTCGAAATCAAAATTGAATCTATTCATAACGATCGAAGGGTGCTTGATAGTGGGCGTCAACAACCTCACAGCCTTCTGACTGAAGTCCATTATATCCGGCATGTAGCTCAGATTATTCGTGTTTGGAGAACGGGGCACTTCCACTTCGCCAGAAGGTTCTTTTTCGTATTTCTCGAACGTGATCTGCGGTTTTGCAACGTTTCTCAAGTCTATGCTGGGCGACATGGGCGTGTTATCGTAGCCTTGCAAAACGCGCGCTTCCGGCTTGGGTTTGTTGGTCAAAACGGTTCCGCCGGATTGCAAGCTGAATTTTATTACGCGATTCTCGCTGACTTTGCTGTCGTAGTCGTAGCTCTTCTTTTCGGTTTCTTTGTTGTCGATTTTGAACTTCTTGGTTTCCCCGGTAGTTTGGGTTATCTTGACCTCGCCGCCGAACAGTTTAACCGGCGTTCTCTTCTCGAACGGAAAGTTGGTATCGTTCGATGATAAAGTACGCAAGCCGTCATCAAAGGAAAAGGATTTGCTCTTATCGCTGTCGACGAGTCTGGTTTTTCCCAGGAACGGCCCGGGGGAATTCAACGGGAAAGTGGTGTTTTGCAGGTACGGTATGCTGTCGAAGGCGTTCTTGTTTTGCGTCAGTATCGAGGCGACGTTCACCGAGCTACTTCTCGTATACTTCGCTCCGGACGGTTTTCCTTTGCACGATCTGAACTCGTGCAACTCAAGCTCCGTGACAGTCTGAAATATCATCTTGCAGTACTGGCATTGCATGTTGTGGTTCGAATAGACGTTTTTCAGTAGTAACTCTTTGATGAGGCTTTTCTGGGCGGTTTGGACCGTCGGTTCGGCGACCTCGCTCATAGATCGCTTGCGATTTTTGTTGGATAGATTCAGCGGTTCGTCTGAATTTCTTTGGTCAACGTAAGGGACTCTCAGCGAGTAATCGTTGTTATTAATCGGTTCCTGCGGTATTTCCTGGGTGCTACGCTTCCTCGCGAAAATAGGATCGCTGGAGTTCACTATAGACGAGTTGTTGTTAATCAGACAGTTGATTCTGTGCGTGATAACGTCGTCTTCGATGTTCTCCTTGGACGTGGTGTGGAATCTGGGTTTGTAGGGCTTCTTGGAGTCCTGCGATTCGTTGCTTTTTTCCTCGGGGTACGCTATTGGTCGCGAGGATTCCCCCTCGCTAACCAACTCTTGCGCTTTGTTGCCCATAACTCTGTTGTGGTGCGTTCGAGACCGACAATGCTTGTACAAGTTGGATCGCGTTTTGAAGCTGAATCCGCAGCTGTGGCACGGGTACGGTCTCTCGTTGGTGTGCGCCCTGATGTGCTTCTGCAGCACGCTAGGTTTAGAGCACACCAAGTTGCAGTAATTGCAGACGTATTTCCCGCTTGAGTTTCTATCCGGGGGCGGTTGTATTTCCTCTTTGACTTGCGACGATTCTTGGTCGGTGTTTTTAGGTTTATTAATATTAATATGTTCGTATGTGGAAGACGTGAACGCGGTGCTTGGTCCTGTCAAAGTCTGCGTTTGAATATGTTCATTGTCGGAAACGTCGTATGATATGCTCGATTGGATACACTCTACTGATATGGAAGACTTGTTGTTGTCGAAAAAGTCATTTTGATTATTTGTACTTTGATTTGGCACACTTATCGTATCGTTAACTCTACCGCACTGCACTCTGCAATTCACCGTTTTTTCTTGATTTTTTTCCACCACATCGACCGATACCTTGTAGTCATTTTGGATGCTCAGTTGCTTTTTGAACTTCTTGTGCAAGTAGCTGTCAACACCGCTTCCCATCTCGTCAAATTATCTGAAATGAAATGTTTCGGTTAATACTGAGCTAAGGAGAACCCACTTGAAATACTTCGAACTTATGAGTCATGTGTGTGTACGTAAATTCGCGATAAACGCTAGCTCGATAACGTCTGTTATGAATAATAAAACATGTCAAGTAAACAATAATATGCGCTGTGCTCGATATATCGAGACCACACGAAAATTTGATGGAATCTCGAAAAAAACGCGATTATTTAATTAAGGATGCATCATGGTACCGTAACTGCAAATAAATAGTGGCACCACACTTTTGTTATCTGGCACTTCTATAAAACACGTGATCCTTTCATATGGGGTCGTTTAAGGTCTTAAAAGATATCATTGTTTACACATTGTAGATAAAATGCGACGTTGTCAACTCTCAAACATACAAAAAAATCAATATTGCAACAACAACTATTTGGTACGTGCCTTTAATGAACTGAAGGCCCTATAAGGTTAACTCTACCCAAGAATTTTAAGTAAAAGCGTAGAGCTTTGAGGCAATATTACTTAATTTAAGTAAATATTTTGTTAAATTTACTTTGAAGTAAAACTTTTTTTACTTAATGGTCAATGTTACTCATAAGTCATAATTTTACGATATTAAGACTACTTTATAAACATAAATAATTCCTATTCGCCTGGTATTTTTTAGGGTTGTTAGTGGTAATAAATACTATTGATATTGACTTAACAAGGAAAAATAAGCTTAAAGTGAAAAATAAAACTTTTTTTCAGGTCGCCATAATGAGTTTTTTAAGATGACATCCATTACTTATCTAAACATTTATATATTTTTTCATAAATATTTTTTTTAAATATAATGAGAGTTTTAGTTATTAAAAAATGATTAAAACTAAATAATTTTTAAAATATTTTATAAAATTTTGTAGGTTTTAAGTTTTGTTGAATTTTCACCCAAGCAATAATTTTTCTTAAAACCGTAAAATATTTAGAGGGCATATAATTTTTCAATGTATCGTGCCTATTTTTATCAATAAAATAATGTGCGTTTGAGTTTTAATGCAAAATATTATTGTATTTAACAATTTAAGATATATTTTTTAATTTTACTCTAGGGTGGCCTTTACCATTTTGTAAAATATAAATTAAAAGAATAAAGAAATTACGAATGTCAATGTTTTAGAAAGGGAGAGCAAACAGTTAGTAATTATAGCGTTATTTTTACGTAAATTTGTGGTATTTATATTGTTTTTATTACGTTATTCTCTTAGTAGATCAAAAAGGATATTATGTAGGTAAAATAACGAAATAACTTTGGTAACTTTTTCTGGGCTTAGTAAAATTATTTGCAAAATAGCTCATTTTTAATAATCCTCAAAAGGTTGATCATCATTTGAAACTTTTCTCAAAAGGATTGAGAGGGTCTCCAAATCATCATTAATTTTTTAGCAAATAATTTTGTTTAACCCAGAAAAAGTCAATCATAAACAATTTTTAATTTGTCACAACAATTCATTCGTTTATTTTCTGCTAATCCGAAAATAATTTATTTACGACAGAGGGCAATAGATTTGAATACAATGGTTATATCAAGTCATTTAAACAGTAGGTAGTTACTCCCTATTAAAATAATTAAATATTCGTAATTTTTTACTGAATTTTCAGTGTTAAAAGTAATACCAAATCATAACCAAAACGATCTGATTTTTTAATGTTTTTGTAAATCATTATTTCATTTTACATAATAGGTATAATGCGAAATTAGTAAATTATTATTAAATGGCAGTTTTCTCATATATTTTAATTACTAATACTTATTAATTTAAATACTTGTATAGGGCGATATCTAACAAAAATTGTATTGTTATTTGTAAGTTATTTAACTTTTAAAAATAATTAGACAATCCTTCTATCTTTTGTGTTTTTTGTGCTTGTTTTCTGCTCTTCTCGAGACTTTCGCTGCATGTTTTATGTTGCTTTATTTTTGGTTCACATACCTTTTTTGTTTGTTGTGGACTTCATTCGTTTTATAGAACACAATAATTCGTTTTTACAACTCATTTTAGAATTTCAAATAACTCTGCATAGAAATGTCACTGCAACTGTCAAAAGCGAAAAGCGTTACCATGGAAACCAACTATCAACAACTTGCAATGTTGTCGTGTTACAATTTATATGTTTATAGTGCCTTTTGTATTAATATAAAAAATAATTATAAAATCATTTGGAAAATTGTTCGTTTTTTAAATTAAATGTAATAAAATGACAAAGTAAATTTTATTTTTGCAAGTTGGTACCTATCGCTGTTTATGCATTAATTATCTCGTAAAATACAGTTCATTTTTTTAAATCTGGACTCGTGTTTTTTTGTTAGGTTGGTGGCTTATGACAGTTTGACTTGGTATTTTTAGTATTTAAAAATGGTCCTTCGGCTAAAGAATTTAATTAAATACTTTGACACAGTCAAATTGACAATAATATTTATTATTGATAATTTACTTGTTAATTATAAATAAAAAGATAATTATGCCAAAAATAATAGCAACGAATTCGAATGTAAAAGCCCTTTTGAGGGCAAAACTTCATTTTGATGAAATTATGCCAAATGCCACAATGGAAGAAAAAGTACATCGCCTTATGGACATTTTTGGAGTAAAAAAGTAACAAATTTGGTTTTATAAATATTACATCACACATTATTTTCACATTATTCACCATTTTACTCATCCAAGCACCACCAAAGCCAAATTAATTGCATTTTTAACTACGAATTTCGACAACTCAACTTGACAACTGCACAATGTAACCTACAATAATTTATACATAACCACAATTAGATTTATAACTAGCTTAGTTTGTTTTAATCAATGCGACCAATTTGACAACTGTATTTACCAACCAAAACCCTAAATTTGCAACGTTGCCGCAGTCCAGATAAAAAAAAAATGTTGTCCACCATAACCTAGTTTTATTGGTTCAACTCAAAATAATGCAACATCGCAACCTTACCAAACAATGTGGTACAGTTGAAAGTATTTATAAATCGTGTAAAATTTTAAATTGGTAAATTGATTTGCATACAGGATACGCGTGGAAAAATTCCAAGTTTTTTTATGTTAACTCTGTGACTAGATTTTCCTATCCAATTACTCATCCAAAATAATTTATGACCACAAATTGCGGTCCACAGTATACGACATCCTTAATGTATCTTCCTAATAACTAAAACCAGTTATTTGATAAACAAAAAAGACTTTGCGGTGAGTTCATTTATGAGTAACAATAATGTTGACTAATCCAAAAATATAACCTAATTATTGAATAATTGTATGTATATTCTTGAATGAGATAAAAAGGTGCTTATATTTGTAGAACTTTTTAATTCATAACTCGTCCCAAATTGGTGAGTTACTTATAAAAACGCAGCATTGAGCCGTGCGCCAAATTTACGTCAATTTGCGCATACCCATCTAAAATTAAACCTTTTGGCAGCAAATTCCTACTTCTGATTTATCACAATTTAATGTTTTTAGATTAACTGGAAATTACGTGTTAAATATAGAAAGTATTTTAATTTAAATACCTACAAACGCGCCTTAATAGAAGCCAAAGGTTTAAAAAGATTGTTCTGTTTTTAAATTATACCTAATACATAGTATGTTGACGCAAATACGCTAAAGAAGTATCGCTAGTAGCGCCATCACAGTTTTTTAGAGAACTCAAATATAAAAATGGTTGATTTTAAGGTTATGTTTGTGCAAAAATTATTTTTTACCAATTTCTTAAAAATGTCCAAACTTAAATATAAATTATATTAGGTAAAGTTATCATTAGTTAATTCTGCAGCAACAAATGTTCTTACCGAATTGTATCCTTTGGCAAAACATAAAAATGCAACGATTTAGTTCTTGAATTTTATTTACAATTAAAAACACAATAATTCACCATGATCCCTTAGATAAAATGCACACACTAACGTAACTATATAAGCATTTAAGCGTTGAGTTTCTTAATCAATGATATAAGGAATAATCAATCGAAATCGAGTACTAAACCAGTTTTTTAGTTTTTTCCTTGCAACGTAAAACACAAATAACGTGCGCGATTTAGCTGAGCAATTGAACAAAATTTGTCGAGTAAGACTTTCTTTTGTGAAAAAACTACCTATTTATTTAAAAATGATGTACAGTTCGTATGCTTTAAATGTATTGTTGACAATTCAAAAATTTCTTCCAAACTCTTCCAAATTGTCATTTTAAATTTCGTGCTGCCAACTTAAAAAACTAAAAATATGAGTTTTAAACCTTAATTTAGGCATTATCACAACAAATTAATCATTTATAATGTTACTTATTTAATTTACATGTTTTGTTTGGTTTTTAATGATAATTTAATTTGTAATAAAGTGGTAATTTGTTAATTAAAATACAACGTTTTATTTTTACTACATTGGCACCGCTAAATTTGCTGCCACAGCCTACTGTTATTTATTTATCAAACTCATAATTCACAAAAAGAAAGGAGCTATACCTATATCAACAAATTGATGTTAATTTAATATGATATATTAATACAGTACCTCTTAATTTGGCTCGACCTTGTCAATTGTCTATAGGCCGGTGATAATCATGGCCTTGACGATTAAATCAGAGTTTTTAATAATGTTAATGACTTTCACCGACAACTAGATCCGAAAACGAACTTAAAAGGCGAAGCACATCATTATTAACAGGTTAAATGCAGAACTGTATACCAACTTAAGTAAGCAAAAGCTGCCGCATATTTATTACAAAACGAACTTAATAATTTACTGTCAAAACATAACAGGTGGTTTGGGTAAAAGTTGATCTGGCAACTGGGCTGACACCTGAAGGTATACCTGCAATTGCACCTGACTTTTTTTTTCGTTTTCAGATATCATACAGGTCTTACTTGAAAGGACAATGCACACATGTCCTTTTGTATGTGCTTTTTCATTGTACCTCATAAGGGGACCCACACTTGGATTTGACAAAGGACCTTTTTATTTTAACAGGATATCAAAATTCGGATGTATTTTGTTTTGTAAAAATACGAAATTCTAAGAAATTGTGATATTTTTAAAATCATAAATATACCAATGGTAATAAAATCCCAAAAACCATAATAAACTTCATTCATATAAATTGATAAACAAACTCGAGAAAATTCAGCTATCGATCAAGTCACCGAATACAATAAATTGTTGTAATACATCCTTATCGCTGTCTCCTTGACTCTACTTATTGTTTATTTATCATTTTATTTGCGCTGGCAACGTCGCATCGCAAGTGATTTGATCGAGAGGCAAGCCCCACAGCAACCTCAGAATTAAAAACAAATGAGACTCACCGTTTCCCAGAATTCACTTCCAGATCTACCTGGTATTTCCGAGAAAATTCCGCAACGTGGTCTGTCTTTTTCTAATCGCCACACACGTAAAGTGATTTGAATGGTGAAACATGTTTACAAATTATAATTCAAAAGCATTACGTGAATTTAAGAATTGTCAACATTACATTTAAAGCATACGAACTGTACATCATTTTTAAATAAATAGGTAGTTTTTTCACAAAAGAGAGTCTTACTCGACAAATTTCATTCAATTGCACAGCTAAATCGCGCACGTTATTTGTGTTTTACGTTGCAAGAAAAAAAACTAAAAAACTGGTTTAGTAGGTACTCGATTTCGATTGAATATTCTTTATATCATTCATTAAGCAACTCAACGCTTGAATGCTTATATAGTTACGTTAGTGTGTGTATTTTATCTAAGGGATCATGGTGAATTATTGTGTTTTTAATTGTAAATAAAATTCAAGAACTAAATCATTGCATTTTCATGTTTTGCCAAAGGATCCAATTCGGTAAGTACATTTGTTGGTGCAGAATTAACTAATGATAACTTTACCTAATATAATTTATTTTTAAGTTTGGACATTTTTAAGAAATTAGTAAAAAATAATTTTTGCACAAACATAACTTTTTTATATTTGAGTTCTCTAAAAAACGCCGACAACTGCATTTTAAACAACAAAATATACCAACGAATTCATAGCAACATAATATTATAGGTATAATGGTATTTTACCGTTGAGTGGAGACTTTAAAGAATTCTTAATCAACGCTTTTAATAATGCTAAAGGCTGTTTAAATTTAGACGATTTTTACTGAATTAAAAAGTTTACTCTTTTCACGTTTATCATTACTAAAATGTGTATTTATTGCATCTAATAGATACAATTTATATTTACAGGGACTGTATGAAATTTATTTCTTCATTAGGATTAACACTGTTTATTGGAAAACTGGTAAAAACTCAACCCAGGATTTCCTCTCGAAATACACATCCTGGGTTGAGTTTTTACCGGTTTTCCAATAAACAGTGTTAATCCTAATGATAATGATAATAAATCTGGAATATTATTCCAGATTTATTCTCAAAAACACTCGTTTGAAACATAAACGTTTGACAGCTGCGTACACTAGCGTATGGTTGGAAACTGAAAACGTTCGTGTGTGGTAACCTTTAATCTAGGCAGATGCTGAAGTCACCGCAATTCCAAGTATTGTCGGTGTTACGAGAATTCAACCGAAATGGGCGAGAAATAGTTTGGTTTTCAATTTTTTATATCATTTATGAAGGTTTCAATGTATTGAACTTTGTAATTTACTTTATGAATACATGGACAATTTTTGAATGTTTGTTTTTAACTCTTACTAAATGTGTATTAATTCACAATTCGGATAACAATGTGATAGGGATGTTAAAGGTTATGTCACTTGATTTGCGTCAGCACTGCCCATCATTTGATGGTTATTTTTAGAAAAACAATCATTTGGATAAATAAATAAAAAAATTGTAAATATTTTGAATTTTCTATATCTTGTGTCCTTGAGTTACCTAACTCACTAACGATTTAACTAATTTGGGCTTACCTACTCAATAATATCATTTATCTACGTATGGTATGCACAAATATGCAAATTAACTGTTTCATATTCGACCTTAACAAGAATTAAGTAATGTCTTTTTCCTGGTAGAGCAGGTAGGCGTCTAATGTTCCTATAAAAATATACGAGTTTCTAGGAGTGGGCCTTGAATTCCAGGAAAAAAAGTGTTCATGATTATTAAACCTAATAAGTACATAATGGTTTGATAATTGCTTTGACAAATTAATTATTTTATTCATGTCGAATCTTCGGTCAAAAATCGAAGTGTGCGTATCTCTACAAAAACAAATGCCGTACACTTGACGATCAAGTTTTCATCGTCACCGTCAACAACAAATTAAGAGCTGGAAACGACGCGACGTTGCCAAACTTACGCCTCAATTTTACGTACCCATACAACATCCCACTTAATTGAGAAATTATGGGTATTTATTGTTCAATGTCTGTACAGTGTGTAACTAAATTACCTACAAGATTGTTCTTTGAGATTGAAATTATGTGGAAATATGGTATGCTACAAAATGCGTGAGGAATGAGCGAGTGGGTTTAAAAATACAATTGGATCGTAGCTGGCATGTCAATCTGGTAGAAAATGCGAGCGACGGCAACACCGCATCGAGAAAAGTTGCTGGCAAGCATTGCGGAGGTAGGAAGGAATCTGTGCGGCGGCGGGACAAAGGGGGCAATGTTCGAGACAGACAGCGTATGACGCCAAAGCGATAGTCACAACGGCGCCAAGGGTACACTACCGTGCAAAAAATACCTCGGCGCCAATTAAGCGGACAATTGACGAGCGGCGAGATAAACAAAAGACTTACCAGTTATTGGAGGAAGCGACTATTCGCCCACTGGATGTTTTGTTGTCGGCGCAATGTTTACATCATTATTTGGCACTTGACTAATCCACATTTGTGCATATGCGAGGCACTATTCATTCAACTATTCGGATTCAAACACTCGTATACGAAAGTATTCAGTTGGCACTTGTTGTAGCTGCAGTTACATACTCGGGTTGTACTTATCTAAAAAGATTTCCTACTTATTCGAGATAAATCTAAAGATACTGCGTGTACGATACACACTAAAAATGATATGGTGGGTCACACGGCGCCATGTTTACTTGTTTCACTTGTCGTCTCTGTCTAACAAGTAAAGTGACTAAGTCCGATCTCACTGACGAATTATTGCGGCGTTGTCGGCTCCCCGCCCATTTCCCAAATACCCGCCACTTTCAGTTTATTCGCTGTATATCAACAAACTTGTTTAAAAAAATAAACAATGTTAAAACCATTAACTTATAATTCTTATCATTACACTCTAATTATTTAATCTTCATGCTTGGAAACTTTTCGGTTATCATTAAAGCAAATATGTACCCAGTGCAAGAAGACTAAATAAAGGAAGAAATTGTTAAAAATTTGACATCTGTCAACTGTCACCCATTACCGTAAATGCACATTGACAAGTTGTGGCTTTATGGCGCTTTAGTCACTGGCTGAAGTTAGCAACAGAAATTTAGTCAAGGGATGAAGTTCTTTCTTGTAAAATAACACTAAATGTGAAAATTATTTTATCTATTTTGCGTTCATAACGACTTCATTATAACACCGCTTTCAGTGCTGTAATGAGATACTTAATCCCACCCAAAATTTTGATTTTCCAGGTTGGCTATACTTAAAACAGCATAATATTTTTCATATTGGTTATAATATTTTTATGATTTTTCTAGTACTTACGAGACTTTTTGGCAATAAATTTTGTTTAACACCAAAGAAAATCCTTTTTTTCTTCTTTAACATTAACAGCCGCTTATTGTAAAAAAGTAAATTAAGGACGGTATGGCGAATCGATTTTGACATTAACTGTCAAACCAATGACTGTGATACCAACTATCTAAAGTAAAATTCGACCAAATTAAATTTAAGGTATTAAATTATTTTTTTTTATAGAATTTTTGCAAAATAGATAAAATAGCATAAAGAGCTAAGTCATAAGACGTCATTTTGTCGCACTCGTCCTTATGACATTAGTTCTTTAATATACTATTATTATCTCAAAAGAAAAATACAAAAGTTTTAAATAGTTTCTTGACGCCAATATTTGAAAAGATTATATGAACGTTTGTACTGACCTAGTAGTAGTGCAGTTAACTAGATTTAACTGATAAATAATTTTTAATACTTTGTGATAATATTTTGCAATTATAGTAGGTAATAAAAAAATCAAAGGAAAAATATTTCCCCAACATAATCATATTTTAAAGTTATTTTAATATTTAAAATACTAACGGGAAATGTTAATGGTGAAAATTACGTCAAAAATGTTTATTGGGATGGTTACTTTATTTTCGTATAGATGTCGCTTTATACAAATATTTTATTTAAGATATTTGTCGTAGAACGTAGTATATTAAAGAACTAATGTCATAAGACGTCATTTTGTCGTACGCGGACAATTTATTTGACGAGTGCGACAAAAGGTCTTATATATGACATGAGTTCTTTATGCTATTTTACCTATTTTGCAAATATTCAATAAAAAAAATTAATTTAATTTGGTCGAATTTTACTTTAGATAGTTGGTATCACAGTCATTGGTTTGACAGTTAATGTCAAAATCGATTCGCCATGCCGTCCTTAATTTACTTATTTACAATAAGCGGCTGTTAATGTTAAAGAAGAAAAAAAAAGGATTTTCTTTGGTGTTAAACAAAATTTATTGCCAGAAAAGTTTCGTAAGTAGGTACTAGAAAAATCATAAAAATATTATAACCAATGTGCAAAATATTATGCTGTTTAAAGTATAGCCAACCTATAAAATCAAAATTTTGGGTTATAATGAAGTCATTATGAACGCAAAATAGATAAAATAGGTATAATTCAATTTTAGCAAAAACAGTTCTTTGGAAAAAAAGCATTTTTGGATTCTTACAAATTAAATTTTGTATTTATATTAATAATCTTTTTTTTTACTAATTTTATTTGTTAGGTACCAAAAACAATTAAAATTTGTAAAATATTTAAATCGATATAATTTTTGCTATAATTTTAAATTTTGACGACTCTAAACACATATCCCGACTTTTCTTTATACTTTCCTAGTATTGGTCCTTCGGAGGGGACTTTAAGCCCGCGGTCCGTCCTTACCCCTAACCTGCACAAGCCATTCAGTTGGCTTCTGGGACTTTATAGGAAGTAAGGGTGGAACTTAAAGAGCACTTTTGTGAATGTGGGGCATGATTTAAATACAAGTTTTTATTTCTCTAATTGTTTAACAGCTTTGTATAACTTAATTTGTTAAAAAGTATTATTGCTGAATCAGCAATTGTGATGAATTAGTTCAACTATCCAAGGTGGTATCTATGTATATGGAACCACCAAAGGGTTAAAATCTGTCGTATACTTTCAATGCTGGTGGTAAATCCCAAATGTTTACATTTGCTTGTTGATCGTATCGATTTGGAAACGTCGCATTCTATAAATACATGCTTCTCTGTCGCACTGGAATCACCTTCGCCCCCCTTCCCCCCTCTTCAGCCCGTTTGTTATTCTACCTCTTTCTTTGAAACTTTCAAACCTGTTTGGCACCGGTCTTTGTCTTCGCATGGATTCACCTTACCATACTACGAAATTGTGCGTCGATCTATCTCTTTCTAAACATCCTCTTTTTTTTCTTTCTATATCAGTATTTCGCGACCAACACACGATATGTACAAAGTCCCAATCATTATCGTTTCCACTGCTTACAGCGCAAATGATAATGAAAACGACGCTTTACTTTCAACAGTGTCACGCGTTAATTTTAGATTTTACATTCGTGTTAATTTCCCATTGTTGTCGCGCTTCCATAACCGCAAATCAAAAACGCAAGTTTCTTGTTTATCAATAGACCCGGTAGGTTTGGCAACGGCGCATCCATTTAATATTGGAATCGCCCGTTCGCGTCTTTGTCTTTGTTCAATGCGGGGGAAATTCCTCTCCGTCCGGAATCTCCGCGCTATCTGCGTCTCCCTCTGAAATCCGTCCTTGTTTTTACGTAACAGGTTATGTGCAGATCTCGCTCGCTTCAGGAATCTCCTTGGGCGTTTCGTGCTGGTTCGTTGTCAGGCCTGCGGGGCAGGAAAAAATTGACGATCGTAGACGTGCGTCCTTGTACGGCGTCGCTGTGAATGAAACGCGCATCGATTTTTTCGACCTCGCTACCTGTTGCACACCAATAATCACTTTGTCACTATTTTAATTTCTTTACTAGCGTCCTGTAAATTGTTGCTTAATGTGGTTGCAACCATAGATATTTTAAATCTATGGTTGCAACGTTTTTCAAACAATTTTTGAGAACGCTACAGCGTTTTGAAAACCGTAAAATTAAAAACGAATGAAAGAATGGTCAATATTCTTAAAAGTATTTAAATCGTTTGAATATCAAAAAAATCGACTATTTTTTTTTGTAAAGTATATCGAAAATATTGTTTGGGGTGACAAAAAAAAATATGGTGAAATTTTGAGTCCATAATATTAAAAATAAGAGGTCTATCATCGCAATTTTAGATTTTTTTCCTGAGCGAGTTTTTGTCTCAGAACTCCCAAACCATTGAGTTTAACAAAATTGACTTAAGAATATTTTTTGAAGAAAATTGAATGCTCTACAAAAAAGGTTTGATTGGAATTTCCCGTCAGATGAACCGTTTTCTTACAATCATGCCTCAAAAATTGGTATAGTTTTACAATTTGATATTTTAACTTTGGAATTTTGTAATTCATGTAAAAATCAGTACCCGGAAAAAAACCGATAGATATTCTTATGGGAAATCAAATGCTCTACAAAAAAAGTCTCTTAACATTTTTGGCTAAATTCACTCCATCAAAAGTTATTCAAGGTTAAATTTGAAATCAAAACGAAATTCTTGTTTTTTCCGCTAGTTTTTTTTTGGGTCAGTTAAAAACTTGAATTATTTTATCAATATTAATCTTTATGTTATCGATAAATTTACTGAAAATTAATAAATATAACACTTTCGAATTTTTTCGCTTTAAGCTATTTTCTTTAAAAAAATATTATTTTCACGGTTACCTAGGTATTTAATCGTTTAAATAATAACAATCATGTTGTTTTTTTATTGGAAATTGTTAATTAGTTATATTAATACACATTTAAAAAGAAAAAAAACAAATTAATTATCATCCATAAAAAAATTAATCTAATATCTATCATCCATAAAAAAATTAATCTTCCACTTTAACCTTGAATAACTTTTGATTGAGTGAATTCAGCCAAAAATGTTAGGAGACTTTTTTTGTAGAGCAATTGATTTCCCATAAGAATATTCATCGGTTTTTTTTCCGGTACAGATTTTTACATGAGTTACAAAATTCCAAAGTTAAAAGATCAAAATTAAAAACTATACCAATTTTTAAAGCATTATTTTAGGGAAACGGAAAATTTCATTTTAACCTTTTTTGTAGAGCATTAAATTTCCTTAAAAAAATATCTCAGAGTCAATTTTGTTAAACTCAATGGTTTGGGAGTTCTGAGACAAAAACTAGCTCAGGAAAAAAAAAAAAAAATTGCAATGATAGACCTCTTAATTTTAATATTATGGACTCAAACTCTCACAATAATTTTTTTGTCACCCCAAACCATATTTTCGAAATACTTTTCAAAAAAAAAATAGTCGATTTTTTTCCCAGTCTAAGGTACATACTAGAGGTTTTATAACAAGTAAAAAGATTATAACTGTCAAAGAATTTGGTAGTTTTTTACAAAAAAATGTCTTACTCGACAAATGTTTCTGATATGGGGAGTTAAAGATACTATATATACTATAGTGGTTATTTAAATAATTTTTAAATGTTAAGTGCACTTCATGAAGTATCTTTTATGGTAGATTAAATGTAGTAGGTATATAATTATTGGATGAGGAAATTCAATGATAATCAAAAATTGATATCCTACCGTCACAATACAATTTCTGACGGTCAGGATAAAAATTTCCGATTATCGTGGAATATCCGACCCAATAAATAATATTTTATTAAATATAAACAAACCACATTTAATCCACCATAATAAATACTTTACTTATCCATTACATTTATTAATATATTATCGTGAAATGTAAAACATTCATAAATTTACAAGAAAAATACAAAGCAATGTGTTGTAATAAAAACCTGTATAAGTAAAACATAATTTGTTCATTTTAAAAACTGTTTATTAAAAATGATATTTAAAACACTCCCGTTTGTAGTAGACTGCTTGACTGTACGGTGAAATGAAGTACGTTATCGAATTTTATCCGGAAAACGCTGAGCGTGGATATTAACAGCATCATCAAGATTCCTGCCTGCTTCACCATAAATCAAAATCATTTCTATTTTTTCTTCAACTGTTACAAAATCCATTATGAATAAGTGCTTAATGAAAGGAGGTCTTTTTGTTTGCAAATTAATCTTCGAACTAAATTTATTAAATAATGCTAAACTATGTATAAATAGTTTCTTTATATCTCAATAATAAATATTATTTATAACTAAATACCATTTTTTATACCTAAATTGGATTAAATTAATTAATTAACAATTAAATGTTTTTTTACCTTAAATGAGGTATTTTTATTAAAAATAGTACAATAATCCTTTAAATTAAAGGATTTAATGCTGGCAGGTAAAAAGTGACCATGGTGCGCAATTGATAATTATCCCCGAATAAAATAATGTATAAAACATAAACCAAAGAAAACTTAAATATTAGTTAAAAAATCGTGGGTACTTAAAAAAATCAGATTTAGGTAATTTAATTAGATAATTATTACCAAAAAAAAATTTTATGGTAAGAACTAGATAATTTAAAAGGGATTGTCAACAATAAAACATTTAAAAACAGTTAAAAACTTTTTATTATAATTTAATTACATGAAATGTCTTTAGGCGAGTTTGCACAAGTACATGCAAAATAAGATTTCGCGTGTAAACATAACTTAACAGTTTACACACGAACTTTTATTTCACTGCATCGCCTTAATCAAAAACAATAAATGTTTGTATATCCATAATTTTATTTATTGCTTTAATAATCTTACAAAAGGCATCTTCAATGAACAGTGAATATTTATTTATTTATAACAGTTTTTTCTTGTCGATATTTTCTAGAAAAATATAATTATAATCGTTAAAGCTCCAACAACGAAAATTTATTGAATTAATTTAATCTGATAAATTTTCACCGGCGGCTTCCGCCGGAATTTCTTCCGCTTCCGTGGCGGTTTCAGTGGGTTGTGCCACAGGGTCCTCTCCCGAAGCCGAAGCTTCCTTTGCTCCGCCAGAAACGGCGCTAGTGCTCTTGGAGCACGTCGCCAAATTATCACAACTCGACGGACATTCAAAATGTACGCAATGAAACACCTAAAAGACATTTTTCAATAGTTTTTTTTATTAACAACACTCACAGGCAAAATAATCGATCCACACAAATTTTCGATGAATTTCAATCGCAAATAACTTTTTTATTTGATTTCGGATTTAAACGAATATTAAAGAATATTGTAGATAAATTAATGGACAATCGCTCACATTTTAAAAATGTAAGGGGTATATAAGAGTGATATAAATATTTCTGTAACCAAATTAAGAAATTTAGGTATTATAATTTGGATGATATAACATTTATGGAAACAACTAAAAAAACAAAAATGTTTATTGGGTAAATAAATCGCAATCACAAAATAATTAAAACAATTTTGATTGAAAAGGTACTTACCTCGTTGGCGGTATTATGTGTTCCGACGATTCTTATAAAAACAACGGGTCTAGGAGGGAATTTAATCACTTGCCAGGATTTACAACTTTCCCTGGTATAATCCACGACAATTTCCCAATCCCAAACGTTTACCGAAGATTCTATGTAATAACTGTAGCTTCTATCGTCACAATCCCATAAAAGAAGGCGTAAGGAAGAAATTATATACGGCTGACCTGAAAATATAATTTGTTGCGGATATTTGTAAAATTAAAAAAAAATCGTACCTAGTTGAATTAATATAGCCCCTGATCCTAACTGATGACAAGTGTATCCTGAATCCCAATCGTAATGTTTCGTATCGCCATTAAGTAAGGCATTTCTAGAACGGCTGCAAAAAAATTAATGGCAATATTTTGATTTCAATAGTTAAAAAGCTAAATGAAATCTTAATACATCCCAAGCAGGATTTTAAGTAAAAACACTTTAAAGTATTATGAGACGTAATTTTTACAAAAAAAAAATTACTTTTAAGTGTATTTTACTTAACGGAAAATTTAACGGTAATTTTAACGTCAGAATTTTTACTTAATGGTAAATGTTACTAATAAGTCATACTTTTACGATATTAAGACCACTTTATAACCGTAAATAATTCCTATTCGCCTGGTATTTTTTAGGGTTATTAGTGGTAATAAATACTATTAATATTGACTAAACAAGGGAAAATAAGCTTAGAGTGAAAAATAAAACTTTTTTTCAGGTCGCCATAAAGAGTTTTTTAAGATGGCATCCATTACTTATCTAAACATTTATATAATATTTTTTCATAAATATTTTTCTAAAATATAATAAGGAAAGTTTTAGTTACCTACCTATTAAAAAATGGACAAGATTTTATAAAATTTTGTAGGTTTAAAGTTTTGTTGAATTTTTACCCAAGCAATAATTTTTCTTAAAACAGTAAAATATTTAGAGGGCATATAATTTGTCGTAATTTTACTCTAGGGTGGCTTTTATTACTTTGTAAGTACCATTTTGTAAAATATAAATTAAAAGAACAAAGAAATTAAAATCCCAAGCAGCATTTTTGGTTCCAAAAACCATAACCAAAGTGGTGATACCTTTAAATTAGTTAAGCATACTAAACAGCTACTTTAATTTTTACTTAAAAGTTATTCTAACCTTTAAATAGCAATATTTTGTAACAGAAACTTCGTTCTTTCCTTAAATGGTTACTATAAAGTAATAAACATTTAAGTAAAACTTGGTTGCCCCCAAGAAGACTTTGCAACTTTAAAAAAGGTGTTATAAGTAAAAAAACTTTCAAGTAAATTTAATTTGTAGCAGTTACTTTCGGTTGCTACCTAAAGATTACATTATAATTATTTTTACTTTGTAGTCCCTTTGCAAGTTAAAATCTCGAAACTGGAACATGAGTTAAAAACTACAAAGTTAATAACTTAAAAGTTATTATTTTAGTATTTGGAACGTTTATCGTACTAACCAAAACTACCGTAAAGTAAATTAAGGTGGAAAAAACTTTAAAGTAGCGAAAACTACTTCAAAGGAAAATGCTTCTTATCGGCCATTTTTTACTGTACAGTACCACGTGGTAATGTAAATAATAAATTATTTTAATTGTTTGTAAATGGTTGTTTACTTTTTTATAAATAGTAATTATTAATAATAATTATAATTAAATAAAAAATTAATAATAAATATTAAGATTTTTTAATTTATAAACGTTATTTAATAAATAATTTGTTTATAAAGAAATACTTTAAAGTTGGCTTTGTAGTAAATTTGTAGTTTTTTTAAGTACTTTAAATAAATTTCATACAAAGCTAAGAAAAAATAGGCAAAACAATATATTTTTTTCTTTCTTTATTATTTTTTCAAAGCGCATTTAATTTTTATTATAAATGTTTCTTTATTAAATATACTATTACAGTTTTCACGTTACTTTAGCAAAAAAACTTACCTCACACCCTCGATGACAACGGCGCTTTTATCCAACGTTGCCACATTGTAATTAGGGGAAATGATGTCGTTCACCATTTTGGGTATATTGGCGACGCAAGACGCCTCGAAGGAAACCAAATGAAAAACTTTGTTAACCGTGTTGTGAGTGCCTACTATTCGAACGTATTGTACCACGCGCCTTTCGAAATACAAGTACTGCCAAGATCGACAGCAGTACTGGCTGTAATCCACCACGCGCACCCAATCTTTCTGCTCCATCGACACTTCAATGTAATAACTGTAGGATCTGCAAGAAAGTTGTTGTTTTTTTTGTTTTTGGCTGTTCCAGCAGACACATACCGTTCATTTTTTTTATTTGGACTGTGTTTTTTTATTATGTTGGCAGCCTATGCCAGTTTGATTTAGTATTTTTAGTATTTATAAAATGGTACTTCGGCTGAAGACCTTAATTAAATAGTCTGAGACTGTCAAATTGGCAGTAATATTTATTATTGATAATAATTATTTACTTGTTAATTATTATATAATATCGATATAAAAAGATAACCATGCCGAAAATAATATCAGATTCTAAAGTAAAAGAACTTTTAAGAAGTAAAAAAGTTTTGGTTTTTTGGGTTCAGGAGAAATGTTTATTTTTTTGTGTGAGACCTAGCTTTTCTTTTTGTTATTTTTTTTAACTTGCCACTTAATAAAAAAGTTAAAATAATTATTGTATTAATATTAATAATAATTAATTTTAACAATATTATTTAATTAGAGATATTTGAATGAACTATGCTCCACACCTCAAAGTCCCACCACGTGACCACGTACGGAACGCAGTCTTTTAAAAATTTGGCATTTAACGCTTTTTAGGTTATGTATCTGTCAAAGTATAGTCAACGAAAGAAATAATATTATGTTTAGGCGTTAAAAATTTTTAAATCTTCATAACATTACAATAACAATAGATGGTTTAAGAATTTAAGAATATAAATACTGCATTTAATAAAATTCTAAAGTATATGGTGCCAAATAAGTAATATTTTTGTGCATTTGGCCCAAATATCTGGTTTTTGTACAGTGCTTACCTTAAGTCTCTGTCCCACAGCAACATTCTTATGTGGTTTATGATGGAAGGAAATCCCAATTTGACGATTATGCCTTGGTCAGCAGGCCCGTTAATGGAGTGTCTAGTGTATCCTTTGTCCATGTCGTAGGTGTAGTAGTCTCCGTCAAGGAGGTACTCCATCAACTCACCCCCCACTACTTTGGATCCCAGTCTTGGACTGGCCACGTTTTCCTCTATCACTGTTACAAAATAAAACTCAACGTATTTTCACCATGAGTCTTTCTATCTCAAATCAACCTGGCAAAACGGGGTGGTTTTTTTTTAAATTGTAGGTAAAATTTACCTGGTAAATGTTTAAAACACCTAAAAGTAATGAATCGAATGCACAAGAAACTTATAAAAACGCGATTTCGAAGAAATGTAGAACACAAACAATTCCGAAAAATTTTGGTCGGTTAACAGATATCAGTGAGGCAGTCGCGAAACTTTTCGACTGAGGTTCTATCCGAAAGAGAAATAAGTACTAAGCCTAAGAGGTTATTTAAAAAAAAAATTTTAGCGTATGTTTTCATAGTGAATTTAAAAATTTAAAGCATACAAACTGTACATCATTTTTAAATAAATTTGTAGTTTTTTCACAAAAGAGAGGAAGGCAGAAGTCTTACTCGACAAATTTTGTCCAATTGCACAGCTAAATCGCGCACGTTATTTGTGTTTTACGTTGCAAGGAAAAAACTAAAAAACTGGTTTAGTACTCGAATTCGATTGATTATTCTTTATATCAATGATTAAGAAACTCAACGCTTAAATGCTTATATAGTTACGTTAGTGTGCGTATTTTATCCAAGGGATCATGGTGAATTATTGTGTTTTTAATTGTAAATAAAATTCAAGAACTAAATCGTTGCATTTTCATTTTTTGCAAAAGGATCCAATTCGGTAAGATAGTTAAGTTTGGGCATTTTTAAGATATTAGTAAAAAATAATTTTTGCACAAACATAACCTTAAAATCAACCATTTTTATATTTAAGTTCTCTAAAAACGCCGACAACTGCATTTTAAACAACAAAATATACCTACGAATTCATGGCAACAAAATATTATATATAATAAATAATATAATGGTATTTTACCGTTGAGTGGAGACTTTAAAGAATTCTTAATCAACGCTTTTAATATTGCTAAATGTTGTTTATATTTAGATACAATTTATATTTACAGGGACTGTATGAAATTTATTTCTTCATTCGGATTAACACTGTTTATTGGAAAACCGATAAAAAATCGATATTTTCGATATTTTTTAACATTTTCCGGCTTTATTCTCAAAAACACTCGTTTGTAACACACGCGTTTGACAGCTGACAATTTTGTTTAGAAAAAACAATTTAAAAAGAAATTGAGTGAATTCACTTGATTTTTTTTTTTTTTTTTTTTTATTTTTATTTTTTTTTTTTGAAGTAGACATCTACCGACAATTTAATAAAAAAATTTTACGATACCCCTTCTTGCCTGGTAAATTTGAAATGAAAATACAATTTGAGTTTATTTTTTTTAATATGACAACTGGATTTCTTACCCAGCTGTCCCCTGTGGGGCAAGCTGCTCAGCCGGACGTTGGTCCTTTCCGCTATGGCGTCGAGCAAGGAGTCCGGTTTGACGAGTCCGGCCGGACGGACGACGGACAGCAGGTCGGCCACGCTCATCAACGGCAACCGGACGCACTTCATCGACAAATCGTTCGAGTCCTCGTTCGCTTTGCACCAGTGGCACACGCCCCGGAATATCTCCACTTCCGGCGCGAAAAAAGAGTCGCGTTCCAGGAGTTCTATTAAAGATCTCTACAAAAATGCTGTGCTATATTTATTGCCACAAATAATGCCGGCAAGTGAAACCAATATCAGGCAAAATAACACATTTTTGTGTTCTTTTAAATCATCCAAAAATCAACATTAACAGTAACACTACTTTATCAGTAGAGGGGAAGCGTTTGTACCATAAGTCATTTTATAAAAAAAGTAGGATGATCAAAAGATAACATGAGAACCTTCTGAAATCGGTTGATTATACAGTATACATGTGCACAGATGGGATTGCAAAGAGAAAAAAATTATTCTTCATTTCTAAAAAATTTTAATTTTAATGTATGGGCAAAAAAACATCTACAAAATAAATGAAAAATAACATGAAAAACAAAAATTATAAATAAAAAAAAAGATTTAAATAAAAAAAATTCAGTCCATTTCAGAAAAATCAAAATTGCAAATTTACCGTAAAAAACAAAAATTATATATCGCAAATAATATTCTGGTACATACTGTATAAGAGTTAAAGCAAATTAGAAAAGTTAAAAAATTCAGAAAAAAATGTTTCAATGTCAAATTCCATAAAAAAATTCAGTTTTTTGAGAAAAATCTTTTTCTACCCCACTACAAAGTTTCCCACAATTTTTCAATTTTTTGTACCCAACCAAAAAAAGTTACGAATTTATAATTCGGAATTTTTCTAAAAAATTGCTCTTTTTCAAATACCCATAACTTTTAAAAAATGGACGTTTTATTAAGTTTTTTGTTTGTATGTAATGAAAATTTTCAGTTTTTTGAGAAAAAACATCGATTTTTTCATCTTTTCTACCTCACTACAAAAAGTTTCCCAGAATTTTACCCAACCAAAAAAAGTTATGAATTTCAAATACCTACCCATAACTTTTTAAAAATTGACGTTTTATTAAATTTTTTGTTCTTTTATGCACTTTTCAAAAAAAAATACAAATAAACGTTTCAATGTCAAATTCTATGCAAATTTACATTAAATAAAACGATTTTTTTAAGTTCGCCATTTTTTGCGGCTAAATCTGAAATATCATAAAACAATGGGTTATTAATTAAACTTAAATTGATTTTATTATAGGAATAAAAAGAGTTTTTCAATAATAAAACTAAAAAATGACAAACTTGAAAAATTGATAGTTTTTATAAAAAATTAATCTTTTTGTACTCCACTACAAAAAGTTTCCCAGAATTTAAAAAAAAATTTTACCCAACCAAAAAAAAATATGTTTTAAATACACATAACTTTTTAAAAATTGTCGTTTTTTTAATTTTTTTGTTCTTTGATGTATTTCCAGAAAAAAAATACACAAAAATTTTTCAATGTCAAAATCTATGAAAATTTTCAGTTTTTTCGAGAAAAAACATCGATTTTTAATCTTTTCCTACCCACTACAAAAAGTTTCCCAGAATTTTTCAAATTTTTTTAACCCAACCATAACCTTATAAAGAATTTTTCGAAAAAATGGCTCTTTTTCAAATACCCATAACTTTTAAAAAATTTTAAACTTTAACTTTTAAAAAATTTACGTTTTATTAAATTTTTTGTTCTTTTATGTCCTTTTCAGAAAAAAATACAAAAAATGTTTCAATGTCAAATTCTATGAAAATTTTTTGTATTTTGAGAAAAACCATTGCTTTTTTAATCTTTTTCTACCCCACTACAAAAAGTTTCCCAGAATTTTTCAATTTTTTTTACCCAACCAAAAAAAAGAATTTTTCGAAAAAATGGCTCTTTTTGAAATACCCATAACTTTTTAAAAACTGACGTTTTTATAATTTTTTTGTTCTTTAATGTACTTTTCAGAAAAAAATACAACAAAATTTTTCAATGTCAAACTCCATGAAAATTTACAGTTTTTTTAGAGAAAAAAACGATTTCTTAAAGTTCGCATTTTTATTTAAAAAAAAAACTTTAATTAATTCTGCGAATAAATAATGCGGCTAAATCTAAAATATCATAGAACAAACTTAAATTGATTTTATTATGGAAATAAAAAAAGTTTTTCAATGAAAAATCTAAAAAATGACAAACTTGAAAAATTGATAATTTTTATAAAAAAATTATTTTTTTTATAGAACTTAACATCAAAACCGTCTTTCATTACATTCAAAATTAAAAAACATCCCATTCAGTCAGTTTATTAAAAAGAGTATTTGGTAAAACTTTGTTTGGTTGGTTAAAAAAAATTGAAAAAATCCGTCAATAATTTGAAAACTAAATAGTTAAACTATTTTGTTTTTTAAAGAAAATTTCATAAAATAAATTTATTTTATGAAATTTTGATTTATCATTGTTGGTTTTCCATGTTTAACTTCATTTCCTGTCCTATTTTAAACTTGAATGCCTTAAACTGTATTGTTTTATTTTTATTTGCAATGAATAAATAAAAAGATTTTTTTTTATAAAAAAATAAAAAATGACAAACTTGAAAAATTTATAGTTTTAGTAAAAAACTAAAAAATTGGATAGAACTTGACATCAAAAACTTTTGTTGTATTTTTTTCTAAAAAGTCAAGAGTATTTGAAAAAACTTTGTTTGGTTGGGTAAACTTTAATGCCTTAAACTGTATTTTTTTATTTTTATTTCTTGGCGCATCAGTTTGTTTATTTTAAAACTGCTTACCTGAGATAGTTGTAGAAAGCTCTCATGCTGTAATATTTCCGTGGCATGCCTATCTAAAAAATTATGACAAACAGAAACTAATTTATCCAAACCGAACAAATGTGCTGTGTCCAGTATGGCACACACATTTCTCAGTGCCAACAATTGCTTTAGTATATCTGATATGGCTGCTTCCAAGTCTTGAAATCCATACTGGTGAGCCAAACCTAACACATCTAATATTACATCTTCCTTAAGGGTCATCAAAAACATATGACCTAAAATATTGGTAATGAGTCCACACAAAAAATAACTAACAAGAGAAAAAGATACTTCAACACATTTTTACTTTTTTTTGTATAATTAAGCTTAAAACAAGTTGCATATTTTTTAAATTTAAAAATTTTGAAATTAAATATGTCTTAACCATTACAATATCAATAGAAATTTACCTGTATAAATATATTTGAGAAGAAATTTAAAGGCCTTAAGAGGTGCATCTGGTAAAACTATTTCTGCCTAAAAGAGATATTTTGTGACAAAATTAACAATGTACCATAATGAACTCTTACTTGGGTAGATTCTTTCAACCCTCCATATAATAAGGCTCTAAAATAATCACTTCGAGCAGCCAATATTACCTAAAAACAAAAATACAACTGTATGGTTATTTTTGTTTAAGTAATATCCAAAATATTAAAAATTTAATTTAAACATTTTACACTTTTTTCTTAATACAATATATACTTACTTTGTGAGCATGCAATTTTTGACCCTCCACAACCAAAATAATGTCGGAATATTCATGACTGAGGCAAAGTGATGCCAAATTTTCAGATAATTGTGTCAAGTGTTCGATATCACCTAATCTTGTGGAGACGCTTTTAGAAGCATTGGAATTTTGTAAATATTGGTGACTACTGCTCATCTGCATGAAAATAAACAACAATTTGATGAAATGTAATGATGACGCAAAAAATTTTAAGAGAAAACCAAAAGGGTACTTACGTTGTTGATATTGCTATTTTATGTTATTGTTTTAATGCTAAGGTTTTTTCAATTTACTATAGATATTCACAGCTTTAAAACGCTTAAATACTTTAAAATAATACATAATCACATATTTTCATTCGTCCCATAATTTTTTGACATATAAATACTCAGTGTTGCCAATACAAAAATCCGGCAAGAATGCCAAAAAAAAATAATTTATATTAATTAATTAATAACGAATGTTTTTGCTGTTATAATCTAGAGAACATATAATTATCTGAATATAACCTTCTTAATCTAATCTATGTATTATGCCATTTATTTATTAACAAATAAAATCAAACTTTTTTATATTGAACTTTGGTGTTTATTTCATAGAGGGCACTAAATACCTATAATTTAAGAGGCAAATTTAAATTTTCGCACTGTGATGTACATGTTTTATTTTAATCTAAACTATATGCAACACATTTAAATAAAAAATTAAGTGTATCTTTACTATTGCCGCGACGTTCTGTACACTTTCGAGGAATATCAATAATTTTTTCATCATAAAGTCTCATCCAAAACATTTTATTTGCCTCGTAGTTAACTGTTCCGTCGGCATTTAATATTCCAATTTGTTTTCCAAAGCAAAATAAGGAGTTTTTCCATAAATCATCTTCAGGCCAGCTCCTTCTAACTAGATGGCTCCAAAAGTTTTTGTAATCAAATTGTCCGCAATCGCTGAATAGTGGATCCAATTCATGGAACTAAAACACTTGTTCTAATATAACGACAATTTTGCATAATTGATTGAAAAATACAAATGACATACAGTTGTATTCATTAAAAAAGCGTACAAGAATTAGAATGAGAGAAAACTGTCAACATTATTGCGTAAAACCGGCTTTCCACTGACTTAAGTCACTATAACTGACAGTAGAAAACAAAAATGCCTAGTTAGTTAAAAAGGCTCAAATAGTATCAAGAATCGAAGAAGAATGGCCAATTCGTACCGTGGTATAATAGAAATAAAAAATCTATATTAAAAATTAATAATTTTTATAATATTATTTAATTAACCTACGACGTCAATGCTCTTTATAACCTATAGTAATTATTTTAATGACTTATGTCAGTGATAAGCCGGTTTTAAGCAATAATATTATTTTGACAGTTTTCTCTCATTCTAATTCTTGTACGCTTTTTTATTAAATAAAACTGTACAAAAATTGAGATTTTATTTACCTACAGGAAAACATGAAATCGATTCAAGACTCTTGAATCATCATTTTGAATATTAGAGCTTCACGGAAGATAGCTTCACGGAGGTTAGGATTTCGTATGTTTTTTTTTAAATCCCTTTGTATATTTGAAATAGGTTATTGTATTTTATGACACCCTAATATTTTTTAAAAATACAATTGTTCATACATAATTATGAAACAGCAACACTTTCATCTGCATATAAATTCTAACTGACCTTCAGGAATCACATGCATCTATAATGTCGTAAACAGAGGTTTTTGCTTATTTAAAATGATTAAAGCGCCATCCTTTGCATACAATTTAAAGCAAAAACAGATTCACGGTGGATAGAATCAATTTTTGTAACACCTACATAAATGGTTATAAAAATTATTTCTTTTAATTTTTAATAATATTTTATATTTGATTCGATTGCTTTGGATGTGTTTAATTTACTTGGTGAACTGATATTTTTAGTATGCTTTTACTACCTCAGATATTTGAAAACATATAGGTTAACCTAGAAAGAGTAACAGTCACGGAGGATAGGTTTTACACTTTTAAAACATTGTAAATGCGGTTAAAAATCTGGAACCTGAGCTGTTGTATTGAAAATTTTTATAAGATAAAATGTTTGTAATTTCGTGTTTTCCCAACTTTTCCTTTTAAAAATATTTAAAATAAAGGCACTTTTTTCTTGAATCAATTCCATGCACCTATTACAAATTTTTTAATCACGTATATTTTTTGTCATTGCAATTTTTTATTCAAAATTACTTTTCTTCAAAACCAAAAAAATTAAAAATTTTAGGGACATGTATATTAACTTACCGAACTAAATATATAACATGGAAATAATATTAACAGAATTATCAGCAGTTGCATTTTAGAATAACTTATGTTACACAAAAGGTACCTATATGAACAAACCAATTAGGTAATTACTCAATTAAAGGTACTTACGTGGTTTATCACCTTTTGTTAATGAATTTGCATAAATCACCATAATTTGATTGTTATAATTTATAGTTGTTGCTAATTAAAAAATGTATTTATTTAATTATTTTTCAAATTTCAAAATGTATAAAATTCAGGTAGACAAAAATAGAGATAAAGGTTATTCAAAATTATAAAAAATACGTTTTTTCTTATAGAGTACCCCACATAAATAATGATATACCCAAAACTTTTTAATAATCGATTTAATTTTTCAACTTTTGTCCAGATTGTTTGGACTGGACCACTGTGCGAATATCCGGTCAATGGTTATCTTCCTTTTCAATAGGTGGCGCTGAATTTGACATCTACTACCAACACACGACATTTTTATTGACGTTTCGAAACATCTGAAAAGATCATTTTCTATGCCTTGGAATGTCAATGTTCCTTCACTTAATTTTTAATTCTTCAGAAATTCCATTGTGATAGCAAGTGTTGAATAACATCATCAAAGTTTTTTATTGAAGAAGTAGCATGGTAAATACAAATTTGTACTTTTTGAACGTTGTAATTTATGGTTTTCTCGTTGCAGTCTGTGTCGCAGTTTTTGGAAGGATTGCCTTCTTACAACGAGAATAATTTCTCGAAATTCCATGTGGATAGCAATAGTAGGTCTTCTTTAAAAAGGCCCTCTGTATATGTGCCCACTAGAGAGTATCCATCTGAGCAAAGTTAGTAAATTTATAAAAATAAGTTGTATGGGAAATTAAAATTTCCTTTTTTAGTAATTGTTACAGAGAAAACGAGTATTTTACTGAAGTACATGCAACAACATTGGGATAAAAAAGTTAGTGTATGTAGAATTACTTAAAATTTTATAAAGTTCTAATGGGATAATTTTAGAGCTCAGTGAAGAAGAGGGATCTAACAACGGATGAAGAACCATCACGGAAGAGGCCAAGGTCTGAGTATCCTTCGTAAACATCCTAATGTGATTAAGATTTTTGTAAATGCCCCTCCTGACCATTTACATTAAGATATAATGGACTATGTTAAGCATAAGAATTGAAAATGTACAAATACTTTTTAAGTTATAATTCCAAATTAATTCTATGCATTTGCAGTTGTTTTGTAATTCTTATATAGCAATACTATATATATTTTGTCGTGTATGATAAAATGTAACATATTTAATAAATGAAACCAAATAAGGAATATGTTTTATTTTATTAATACTTTATTATAGTGATGGACTAAAAAAAATAAAATTATATTCTTAATAGCTATGTATTCAAAGGTGTTCCGGGAGACCCCACAACATCAATTATTTCCGAGTTAATTTTCCCGGTTTCATTCTCCATTGTTGTCGACAACAACTGAGGTGGAATGGCCAGAGTCTAGAACAAACACATGGCTATTTGGCATTAGATTTTTTTGGCTTTCACCTTTCCCGGGGTTAGGGCTTCGTACTGATGCCTTAGAGATTGTAACTCGAACTCGCAAGTACCCAGAGCCGATTTAATTTCCATTAATAGCACCATATCACTCCTGAGTTCGTTGAAATGCTGGCAAATATCTTCTGTTGGAGTTGGATTTAGCTCTGATAAAATAAAAAGTTAACAAACATGATTGGTGGAGCTTAATTTTGTTTTTCTCACCCAATCCCATGTCTTGCAGCATTTGTTCTATACCCTTGGATTTTTTTTGACCCACATTCGCGGGCAATTTCATCCTCTGCGATCTCAGAGATACGCCGCTGTTTTTATAATCTGGAAATTTAATGCCCGCCGTCTCTACAGCCTGTAAAATTTGCTGTTAACACAATATATTAAAATTATGCGTGACCACGACTTCTAAATAAATAATTTTTTATAAAAATACAACAATACTGTTTTTATGTACAAAATTCTTGGATTTTGAATGAAAATATTCATTCTTAATTAAAAGCTAAAAATGCGAAGTTTTTTAAAATAATTATTATGGAATATATAATTTTATCCGAAATCGACAGTAAAGTAGTCAACAATCGGCAGTAAAGTAAAAGTAGAACTTTACTGCCGATTTAATACGAGTATTGTATGCAACCAATTATACATTTTAAGATGTGTCCACTGCTCCTCAGCAGCAACTAAATAATATTAAAAAAAGCACCATCGCGGAGGTCGATTGGACCCTTTCATAAAATGTTGTTTAATAAAAATAATACCTAAGTTAATTTTATTAATTAGATTAAAAAATCGCCGCGGCGGGCAAATATATAATAACCGTCGCAACAAACAGTATACGTAGACACTTCCTACATTCAAATGACATTTGATTTGATCATCAAATGACATTTGATTTAATCATCAATATTAATTATTAGTATTATTAAAATTTAATGTGCCTTGATAAATAAATAACTATTTTATAATTTGTCTGACATAATAATAATCAAATTAAATTATGTCAAGCATAAATGTAATTCAAATTTAATGGAAACACATAGGAATTTTCATTATGTCTAGGCATAATAATAATTATTATGCAATTAAAATTATGACTTTACATAATAAAAACTATAGAATTAATTTTATCTGTACACATAAGATTATATAATTAATTTTAAGTCTACAAATAAAATTAATTTGGCGCTTTGGGAATGCGGCAAGAAGTGGCAACTACAGTAGTTCAAATGCATACAGTGGCGTGCAGGACGGGCCCCGCAGGGCCCGCGGTGCGGGGGGGCCCCCGACCTTAGGGGGGCCCCGTAGAGAACCACATTGGGTGGTATAAGTGACAAAGGGGCCCCAGCTCAAAATTTGCGGGGGGGCCCCCGATCACCTTTGCACGCTACTGAATGCATAGTAGGTATTTGTGCGTAATTTAACTACGTCAACTTTATCGCCAATATGCGGAGAGATTCGGGTTTTGATCTATCTATATAATTATAGAAATTATTTTTATGTACATATATAAAGCCGAGTTCATATAGATGCGAATTTGCGAATTTACGAATTTGCGAAATACGAATATTCGCATTTCGCAGCTCCTATTCATATAGATGCGAATTGTCGGAACCATTTTAGGGACATTGTTTTCTCACTAGGCGATATTTGCCATGGTATTTTAGGGACATTATTTTCTCTAGGTGATATTTGCCATACTTGGTTAACATTTTCTATAGGTAGGTACTTAAATAGTAAAGTTACTTCTAAAAAAATATGCTACTATAAGGTAAAATAAGAAACTAATGTACCTCCAAAAACTCATTGTCCATTATAAAGAACAAAAAACAACTTTAGCAAGAAACATTTCAAATAAAACTCAACAACGATGCAATACAAATGAAATAAACACAGAACATAAACAAAAATGGCGCGGGTAAATATAACAAATACGTATAATAGGCATCTGCATTAATGCGCATGCGCATCACGCCAAATTCGTGCGATTTTCGCAAAATATTGGATCAATCTCAAGATTCCCGCCCCCCAGATTTCAAATCTTGCGAATTCGCAGAATCTGTCGAAACGTCGAAACACTTTTCCCGCCAAATCAAATGGACCAATGAAAACATTTTCGCATTTCGCAAATTCGCATGTCGCATCTATATGAACCAGGCTTAATTCACAAAACTAGAAGGTTCTTGTTTTGTGATATAATTATATGACGTAGATAAATTAAACATACCTACCATTTGAACTACTACAGTTGCCACTTTCGGCCGCACTTTCGCAGCGCCAAATTAATTTTATGTGTAGATATAAAATTAATCATATAATTTTATCTGTACACATAAAATTAATTCTAAAACTTGTATTGTATAGTCATAATTTTAATTACAAAATAAAAATTTTGTGCATTAATTTTAGGTGCACACATAAAATTAATTGTATCATTTTTTATTAGAATTAAAATTATGTGTACACATAAAATTACATTAAATAAATAATTCAACATCTTATATAAACATTTTTTTTTTAATAATAACTTCTTTGACATGTATAATTCTAATGTATTATTTTGAAGTTATTTTTCAGCGCAATTTATTTTTTAAAGTATTAATATTTAACTAAATATTTCGTATCCGATTAAAAAGTGAAACAGCGTTCCATACGAAAACATACATATTTTATTTGGAATTTGACGCATTTGATTATGTTGGTACTATATAATAGTCTATATTACTTTGGTATTTTTAATATTTTAAATTGGTTCTCCTGTTTTCCTTAATTTTAAGTACTTTGAAATTTATCATTGTCAGAATTATAATATTTTAATATACCCAGGGCCGGATTTAGGCATGGGCCACATGGGCCCGGGCCCAGGGCGGCAAATTTTTAGGGGCGGCAAATTTTGAAGGCCAGTTAAAATTTTGCTAAAAAATCAAGAGCGTTTTATGCAGAATTTTTGTTTTCACTCAGATTTATACACTAATTAAAACTATAAAAAGTTAGAAGAGAAGTTTTTTAATACATTAGATAATTTTATATCAGACTACACTATTATTCTGCGTAGTGCGTCACTGCGTAGAAGGGCGGCAGTCGATGTACACGAGGCGAGTGGGGCGCGACTCTAGATTATTCGCTGAGTCATTCGTTATTCGGGGTAATGATGCGTTGGGCCCATGGGCGGCAAATTCGTAAATCCGGCCCTGAATATAACTACTATATAATGCCAAAGATAAGAGAACATTTTAAGAAATTTAAAAACAAAACAGCATTTTGATGAAATAATATTACAATGCCACACAGAAAAAGATTAACCAGCTAAAAGATCCTAGGTAAAATATATAATTATAACATAACCACAATTGGTTTGATTATCATTTTAAGATGTTTAGAATTTACCAACTGAACCTTAAATTGAACCCTAAATTTTTGACGTCAAATTCCGAATAAAAAAAATCAAACTGTATAAACTAACGAAATTGGTGCCAAACTGACAGATACATAACCTCAATGATTTGAAAAAAATCACTTACAATTACAATTTATTATTTATTGTATTTAAAGTTTAAACAATCCTGAAAATAACATATTTTGTGTAGAAAATTATCAGCTTTCAGAAAAAAATACCAAATTTGAAATAAAAATTGCCGCGAGGCTAGAAAAATCGCATTTTTCGCTTTGGTTGAATTTTTGAGGATCTTTTGCTAGCTACATCCGAAAAAGTTACAAAAATATTTCATCAAAATTCTAAAAACCATTACTACAAAAGTAGGTAATTAATATTAAGAGCTCAAATCTTCAGTGAGTTATTATTTTGATGTAAAGAATAACTCCACAATTAAAAAATTTACAAAATTTTTACAAATTTACAAAATTCTAAAACATTCAAAAATTTAAAATTTTTAAACATTTTTGAAATTTTTAAAAAACTTTGATTTTTAGAAACGTGGGAAATTTTAAAAGTTTTTGACAATTGTAAATTTTGAAATTTTTTGAATTTTCAAATATTCAAAAAATTTCAAAATTTCTTTTTCCAATTGTCAAAAACTCCAAAACTTTCTCTAAAACTTAAAAATTCCATAATATTAAAAATGTAAGTAACTTTAAACAATTAAAAAAAAATCCGCTGGTGTCGCACTAAAAAAAATTTTTGGGAATGACCCATACACATTTTCTCTCCCCATTATTATCTTAATGGTTTTTAGGGGGCATTTTCTAATACAATTTTGATTTTTAAAAACAATTTAAATGGTCAACAAAAGTTCTCCTAACAAGATTCTTCTTTAAAAATTTATTTATATACAATATAGGTACTTACATTTGTGTCGATTCTTGATGGCCTTGACGGATTTGCTATTTTTTTCTTGGGCAATTTTTTATCAGTCTTCCTTGGAGTTTCATTTTGGCTGTCAGCTTGACTAATAAGTTTTTGTAAATCTTGCGTTTTACGTTCTCTTTCCTTCTTTCTCGCTTCAATCTTTTTTAACTCACCCAACAAGAATTGTTCTTCTTCCATCTAATAAAGGAAAAAATTAAATTACACCTTTCAAATAAGTAGATATTATAAAAACAATTTACTTGTTCTGGTTTTCTCTCGTAAAGTTTTTTAAGCTGCTCCTTCCTTCTTCTTTCGTGATCGGCATCATACATGTAAATTTTTCTCTCCCCATTAATCTGTAAAGTCTGTGGGTAATTTTTTTTAGATTTTTTTCACTACTTTTAATTAAAAAAAATACACCACAATTAAAAAAAATAAATCAGTAAAAACTCACCTTATTTAATATCCCACATATCTTATAATACCTGTCCTTGATATCCTCCACAGACCTTTTAGAAAACTTATCCGAATCAAACCTATCAGCCATGACTATGAACCGTAAGTCATACCTCCGAGCTAAATCCATTAAATGATCGGTTTCTTCCTTACTCCAGCTGTCACTTCTTAAATGTTGGTTAAATTCGATGTCTGTGTAGGTAGGGACATCAACTTTCTAAAAAATCACAATGAAATAAATCCAACTGCCAATTTGTTTAAGTACCTACCTTATTAAATTTTGCAAAGGGATATTCTTTGGGCTCATCCGAGGGCCTTCTCCAATGATAAAACGTGGAACTATCCATTCTAGCCGGGTTAGTAAACGGCATCCACTTCCATTTCCTGGGTTTCCGCATTCCCAACTTAATTTTTGTTTGTTTATACCCGTTCCCTAAAAAACATTATTTGGCCATTTTTATGATTAGATATTGAAAACCTACCTGTATCAGATGGAAATAAAGGTGGAGCATCCTTGTTATCGTTGTACAAAAGTGCATAAACTTCTCTGTGCATTCCTTCAGGCCGTTTCGGTAATTTTGAGCCTGTGGAAGTTCGTTTCTTATTCTTCTCCCCCAATATGCTTTCTCGGGTTACTTCTGGAGTGGCTGGACGCTCCAGCTCCATAATATCCCGTACATCACCCATTTTCTGTTATAAATGTTATAAAATACGATATTTTGTTATTGTTTAATATTTATAGGTTATGTTTTACGGCACTGTTATTTTAACACAACAAAACATAAACAAAACTAAATTAATTAAATTTATTATAACTTACGTGTTTATTTAATTGATTTACTCTAGTTTGGGTGGATATATTGTTAAAAATCCAATCAAAATAAAAGCATCCAGTGAATTGCAAAACGTCATAAATATACGGGGGTTGATCGCAGTGTTGCCACGCGGTTGATTTGCAGTATAATAAAAAATTGAGGATTCCACAAAAGTTTAAATTTTTTAAGTTTATTCAATTTTTTTACAAATCAATCGTAATTTTATAGTAAAAAGTGAAAAGAGTTTAATAAATAAGTAATAGTAGGCCGTGACAGTAAATTCAGCAGTGCCAATGTAGTAAAAACAAAACGTCGTATTTTACATAACAAATTAATACTTTATTACAAATTAAAATATCAATAAAAACTAAAAACAACATAAAAAGTAAATTGGTAACAATATAAATTGTTAATTTGTTGCTGTAATGGCATAATTAGGGTTTAAAACTGTCATGTTTTGTGTTTCTTAAGTTGGCAGCATAAAATTTGAAATGAAGTGCTAAAAGCATTTAGAAACGAATTTTAGAAAGAATCTATGGAAAATAACACTTGTGCTAACCTTACTAATGAAATCTTAGGTAATATTATTTTAGATATCTATATATAATAGCAAGCCTATGATTTCGCAAATTGGTTCTCACCATTAAAAAAACATTAGGTAACTTTCTCTCAACAATAGAATTTGGGCGAGGTATTCGAAAATTTTCGCAAGCTAGATCGAACAGGTGGTGGCCAGCATCGAAAAAGTTTGGTAAGGCGTGCAAGGTTGCCTCGGCAACGTAATCTCCGATTGATGGTTGCATGCATGTGGGCTACCGCGGGCATAAGCAAAGGCAGAATACCAATCTAGCCGTTGCGGCGAGTGCGGGATCGAAATTATTCGGATACCGTCGAATTCTATTTTTACAGGGAAATTTGACAGTCACTGACATTTTAAAAATCGGTAAAATAGATTCCTGACAACAATTTAGGTTGCTCTATTTTAGTATGGATGGATTTTGCTCTATATAGGTAACTACATTTTAAGAAATTCCAAAATTTACGAAATTTTCAAAAATTCAAAAAAATTTTAATTCCAATTAACAAAAAATTTATAAATTTATTATTATGAAGTTTTGAAACGTTTTGCGATTGGAAAATTTCAAACATTTTTGAAGTTTAAAAAATTTGGAAATGTTGGAAATTTGTAATATTTTGCAAGTTTTTGACAATTGGAATTTTTTGAATTTTCAAAAATTTCCAATTCCAATTGTCAAAAACTCCAACATATTAAAAATATTTAGAATTTAAAACATTATTAAAACTAAAAAATTACAAAATTGTATTAAACATTTCCAACATTTCCAAAACATAAAAATTTCAAACATGTTCAAAATTTTTCAATCCCAAAACGTTTCAAACGTATAATTCAAACGTATAAATATTCAAAATTTTAAATTTACAACTCCAATTGTCAAAAATTTTGAAAAGTTTGAATATGAGGTTTTGAAACGTTTTGGATTGGAAAATTTTGAACGTTTTTAAAATTTTTAAAAATGTTGGAAATTTTAAATATTTAAAAATTTTGGAGTTTTTAACAATTGGAATTGGAAATTTTGAATTTTCAAAAGTTTAAATTTTTATTTAATAATTTCCAACGTTTCTAAAACTCAAAAACTCCAAAATAATTAATTTTTCCAACATTTCTAAAACTTAAAAATGTTAAAAATTTTACAATTTTAAAACGATTCAAAAAACTTCATATTCAAATTTTCAAACATTTCCAAATATTTCAAAATTTTGAATATGAGGTTTTGAAACGTTTTGATATTGGAAATTTTGAATTTTTAAAAAATGTTGTAATTTTTGAGTTTTGGACACAATTTTAAAATTTTTAAATAATGTCGGAAATTTTAAATATTTAAAAATTTTAAAGATTTTTACAAATTTTAGTTCTTTACAAATTTTAAATTTTTTTGAATTTTCAAATATTTAAAAAGTGCAAAATATTTAAAATTTTCAACAATTTCAAAAATTACAAAATATTTAAACTTTTGAAAATTTCCAAGCTTATTAACAAATTCAAAATTTTCATACATTCTGGAGTTTTTGAAAGTTTTGGAAGTATTAAAATTTAAAAAAAATTTGAAATTTAAATTTGTAAAATTTATACCTAAATCTTGTAAATTTTAAAATGGTTAAAAATTGTTTTTGAAACTTTAAATATTTTGGAAGTTTTGAAAATTTTGAATATGAAGCTATGAAATTTTTTAAAATGATGGAATTTTTAATATTTTAATTTTAATTTTTGAGTTTAAGAAACGTTGAAAATTTTAAATATTTAAATAATTTGGAGTTTTTTACAATTGGAATTGGAAATTTTGAAGTTCTTTGAATTCATATATTTAAAAATTAATTTTTTTTTAAATTTTCAATTCCAATTGTCAAAACGCCAACATTTTTAAAATATTTAAAATTTCCAAAGTTTCTAAAGTAAAAAATTCCAAAATATTAAAAATGACATACATATTTCCGAAAATTTTAAAAATTTCAAAAATGTTTCAAATTTTTTAATCTTAAAATGTCTTAAAACTTTATTTTCAAACTTTCCAAAAAATTTTCAAAACTTTCAAAACTGCAAAATTTCTAAATACCTAATTTAAAATTTCCAAAATTTTCTAAAATTCCAAAATGTTGGTTAAAAATTGTTTTTGAAGTTTTAAAAATGTTGAATATGAAGTTATGAAATTTAAATTTTTTTTTAAATGTTGGAATTTTTATTATTCTAGAATTTTTGAGTTTAAAAAACGTTGAAAATTTTAAATATTTAAAAAAATTTGCAGTTTTTAACAATTGACTTGGAAATTTTGAAATTCTTTGAATTCAAATATTTAAAACAACCTTTTTAAAATTTCCAACGTTTCTTAAAGTAAAAAATTCCAAAATATTGAAAATGTTTATTCCCAAAAATTTTAAAAATGTTTAAAAAATTTTAATCTCAAAATTTCTTAAAACTTTATATTCACAATTTCCAAAATTTTTCAAGATTTATAAATTTTAATCTTTCAAATTTTTTAAATTCCCAAAACTGCAAAATTTCTAAATAATTTCCAACATTTCCAAAATTTTCTAAAATTTTTAACATTTTAGAATTTTTGGAGATGTTGAAAGTTTGAATATTTTAGAAATTCTGGAGTTTTTGAAAATTTTAAAATGTAAAAAAAAATTGTTTTGAAACTAAGTATTTTATTTAGTTTTGAAAATTTTGGAATTTTTTAAAATGTTGGAAATTTTGAATATGAAGTTTTAAAACGGAATAAAAAAAATTAAATTATTTTTTTTGTTGAAATTTTAGAGTTTTTGGAGGAGGGCATCACCCCCATTTTATGAATTTTCATTTAATTTTACACAAAAAAGTCCTCCAGGTCTAAAACCGAATTGCGACCAACCGCATATGTTTCTTAAGCAATCTCTTGGTTGCCTACTCGTCATAACGAGTATACCTTCGGCATCAGCCGAGCAGGTCAGCTCTTCGCTTGCCCCCTTCAACAGGTGAACGGGCTGACGGGTACCCGAGCGTTTCGTAGGCACCCAGAACCCGATTCGAACCGCGACCGAGTGACTGCAACGTTGTAGCTACACCAACATGGCCAACTCGGCCGTATAACTCCAAAAGTACGTCGCGAACAAACCAAAAACAAACGAATCGACAAACAGTGGTGCTGTGCGAGTGCTAAAAGTGCTAAATTTGGATTACACGCCTCTTGCAAAGTAAGTGCAGGCGTTTTAGTTGTCAAGGTTGGCCAATTTTTCGTATGTTTCTTCAATCCGAATTTTCAAAATTAATTAATTAAATGACAGTATTAATATTTTTGATTACAGCAATTAAGGTTCTAAAAATTTATTATTGACAAACGGCTTTTGTTTAAAGTATAAATATAATATATTATATCATAGTATAAGATATTTTAAGCCGTTATGTAGGTACCTTTAAAATGCATTAAAATAATTATAATAATAGTGGCACAGTAATTTTGCCATAAATACTACTTACTCACAAAAATTATAAAACTAAAAAAATATTTATATTACTAACCTACCCCTTAAGAGCTTATTTGAGGAGTTTATAAAGGTGTTTAGTAACACTATAAAACCTAAGTTTTATATAACTAAAGGTAACATAAATACTTTAGAAACAACTATATAACTTCCAAAAGAACCACATCCGGACACCTTAAGTAATATAATGTGGTTTCAGTTACTCTTATAAACTCTGTATATTTGTAGTTACTTTTATTATATAGTCATTTATGGATAATTTGAATTAAAATATAAAAATATATAAAAAGGATAGTTTGTTTGTTTAAACTTTATTTACGTTTACTTAAAAATAAGAATATTTGAATTTTTAATAATAGTTTTATAAAAACATGCAGAGGATAGTAATTGGACATACAATTTTTATATAAACATAACAACTTAAGTTGTTACCACAAATATTTAACAATTTATGTTATTTGATGTAAATTTACATCAAATAACATAAATTGTTAAATATTTGTGGTATCTCTTGTTTGTGAAGCATTTATTCAGGGGACAATTTTAGATAAGAATTGGCTGGTAAGTGTAGGGTATATAAATAGAGTATAAAATTGGACATATGTCCAATAATAGAAATTTACATTGTTTACCAACCAGTAACTGGACACTGGCCATTTTACTGTTTGTTTTCAGAATTAAAATTAAAAGGCATTAAAGTGACAATGTTTAAACCATGGGGAACACATTTAAACCACACACTAATGTGTACACTTTTTAGAAATATTTTTTATTGTAATTTAAACACAGCCCTGCTCTTAACAAAAAAACAACAATCTTACCACCAAAGTAACGTGCGAACTTTTTTGTCCTATATTGGACCCAAAATAAAGTAGTTCTATATTATACCGACTGAGATGGTTATAGAACTCTTGTTTTGTACAATATTAATGTTAATTGTCCAATAACTATAAAGTGTCCGATAACTGTCTACTTTACCCTATGCATATCAAAATATGCATGTATTTCTAACAGTAACACATTAAAAACAGTAAATGAAAATTATAATAATAGCAATTTAAAGGCATGTTTTCTATGGTTCGATTATTTTCTCCTCTACATAAATTGGTTTAGTTACTAAACTTTAGTAAAACCAAAAGATTATTCTGGAGATGGCAACAGCTGCAAAGACACGAACCTGAATTTAAATTTTGCATTTTTTTTGCTGAGAGATATTATTAAAATATAAAATAAACCAAATTAAATATTTTAAATAAATATATAAAAACTCTTCAAAACAAAAAAAACTGTGACTATGCAATACCGTTTTTTATATATTTTTTTAACATTTTGTTAAACAGTGTCATTGTTTTTTTATTTAAAAGTAGTATAAATACATATTTTAATTCATTGCTACTTACATAATCTTTTTAAGGAATCTTACAAGCGCCAGGAGCAACTAAACATTCTTTGGTTTATCGAAAAAAATTACTTAATTAATAAAGTTGGATAAAAATGTTGATAAATGTGAATTTAACAAAATTCCCAGGGATTTTTGTTTACAACCAAATGTAATTTGTTAACTAATTGAATAATTAGTTTATAATTATAACAAAAAATTTGTAGATTTAATAACAAAACCCTATATCAATAATTCAACCATAATTCTTGTATTTTTCAAAGAGGACCTATTTTTACAAACCTTTTTGGGTTTTTTATTTTTGTTTGTTTCACTGTTAGTCTAGAATGGGGTTTTTGGAAAGCCACCAGGTCTAGTAATAACACTAATGCAAGAATTTTAGGAAATCATACATTTTGAATATTAGAGTTTCACGGAGGTTAGGATTTCGTATCCCTTTGTATATTTGAATGAAGTTTTTGTATCTTTTGACAACTTAATATTTTTTAAAAATACAATTGTACATACATAAAATATTTATAAAAAAAATCTACTTACTGTGATATTACACTTCACGGTGGATAGGTTTTTAAATAGAAAATTAATGAACTTAAACTTTTGAACTAACTGACCTTCAGGAATCACATGCATCTATAATGTCGTAAACAGAGGTTTTTGCTTATTTAAAATAATTGAAGCGCCATCCGTTGCATAAAATTTAAAGCAGAAACAGATTCACGGAGGATAGAATTAATTTTTGTAACACCTACATAAATGGTTATAAAAATTATTATGTACTTTTTCAGCGAAATAATTTGTTAAACATTAACAAAATAATCTGTAGCCTTTGAAATAAACAAAATTGTATCGCAAGTACTCTCATTTTTGATAGGAGAAAGGTACATAACCCCTTAAGGCGATTTTCTCATTCCACCTGACATGTTTAAAAATAATTTTCTTTAATAAAATACCGCCTAATTGCCTTGTATTGTATAATTCCACAATTCCGCAAGCTAACTAATAGAATAAAGATTTTTAAGGAAATATTGGAATGTGTTCTTACACATGCGTTATACCTTTTTCGTAATTGCAAGGCCTAAGCCTAAGCTTGAGCAATTTGTTTTCTAAATACCGATAATAACGTATATTACAATAATAATGGCATGGGTATTATTGCAATTAAGCCAATAATAAATCAATAGCGGTCAAAAACGTTGTACCTAATGTGTTATTCATTCGCACTTGGCTCTGAACATATTATGCACGCTTTGGCCAAGTCGTGACACCTGAAAAATTGTTTGATTTCAAACAATGGCTACAAGAACTCGTTATGGTCAGCGAATTAATAAATTTTCTGTGGGAATGTTATTTGGATGTACAATGTACATTGTACATAGAATGTCAATTTGACACACTTTTTACGCAACTACCAAATTTATCATTAATACACTGAAGAAAATAATCTCTTAAAAGAAATGAAAACCACTTTGATTCAAAAGATTTGAGTGTGGATTTTAATTAAGCATTTATGTTTAGTATGATTGATTGATTTTTCACTTTTTATTGTGTATAACTGTAGTAAAAATACACTTGTAATAGGTAAATTACTGGCGTGTTATTCTTAGCAACCATAATAATTATAATTATTATAGATTAATCTATCGATCTGTAAGATTTAATACAGATATTATTTATACATGTTGTTTGGAGTTGAGACTCAAGGTATCAGGTGAAAGTACTGAGATATTTTAACGGTCAGGAAAGTTATTATATAATAAGGCTAAAAAGACTCTTTGGAATTTAGATTAAGGTTAAGCCTAACTCTAGAAGTACTAACAATAACTTATCTACTAATAAGTAATTTTTATCATAAAAGTGATTTGACTACATTTTCAATAATTCTAATAACTAAACTTTTTTCTCTCAGCTTGGAACAACATATTCAAGACCTTGTTAAATGTGCGCAAATATCGAATTCTGAATTAAGGTTTATTAAATCTGGTTTTGTTATACCATTAACTATAAGATCTCTTGGTGGTTTGCTTTTACAATTAGAAAGAATGAAGAGTCTAAGAAAATTAAAGTTAGTTTTTTGTATCCGAATGTACCAGCAAATTATTTTTATTGTCCAAAACCTAAGGCAAATATATTGATAATTCATGAAGATACAATATTGAGGAAACTTCCCTGATAGCACACTTTATTCTAAGAATGTTTTTTAAACCTTCCAGTGAGAATATTCTTAGAATCAGGCTATATTTCTTCCAAGACATATAGCATGATCCTAAGAATATTCTTACTGGCCTATACACTGAAAGAAATATATACTAAAGTTAAATAAAAAAATAATTAGGGCAAATATATTTTATGTTTCATATATAGACTACCACATACATTGCTAAAACAAATATATTCGTTTGGTTAGCAGCCTATTGCTGCCCTAGCAATATAAATGGTGTTTCTAGCAATATTTTTTTGCTGTAATTCACTTATAGTTTACATTTTATAGTAAGGGTAAGTTTATTTTTATTTAGATCTAACATATCTTCTTTACAATAAATGTATTACAAAATTTACCATACATTCATAATAAACAGTAGTATAAATGTGTAAAGCACTAGTATAAAATTTTTAGTATAAATTTGTATTTACTTTTAGCAACAAATTTCTTTCAGTGTAGGCAGGTTCTTAGAAGGTGTCTAGTCTACTCTAAACATATGCTTAGAATGTTAAGAAAGTAATTGCTATAGAAAGTTCATTTAGGAATATTCCTGTTAAGCATATTTAGTTCACACAGTGTCCCTGACTTAAAAATGATATTTACAAAAATCCTAGCTGATCCTCTTTTCGAAATTTTTTGAAAATTCATGATTTTTTTTTAAATTTTTGTCTACCTTTGACAGAGTACACATTTGTACACCGACTTTAATAATATTGGAGTATATTGTTAAGGAGATTTGGAGAATACTGTTTATACTGTCCACATCATTTAATATATACAGGGTTAGCCAAAAATTGCTTCGTTTAATAAAGCAAAAGCGTAAATTCACGATTTTGGCATAACACGCAAAAAAGATATAAACCCACCCATGTTTTTTTAGATATTTTTATGTTTATCAGGCTACAAAATGGGATTATTATCAAGACTTTATAAGAAAAATTGATTTTGAATAAAATGAAATAAAATAAATTTTTTTGGAGATAAATTTGTGCATTATGCTTTTTACTATATAAAAACGTGATTTTTGGCTAATCCTGTATAAATCTAATGATGTGCTCAGTATGAAACCAGTATTCTCCAAGTCTCGTTAACAATATACTCCAATATTATAAAAATTGGTATACAAATGTGTACTCTGTCAAAGGTAAGATAAACAAAAATTAAAAATAAAATTAAGAATTTTCAAAAAAATTCGAAAAGACGAGCAGCTAGGATTTTGTTAAATATCATTTTAAAGTTACCAAAGGGTCCCGAACAAGAAACTGCAATCAATAAAAATCGGTGTACAAATCTGTACTCTGGCAAAGGTAGACTTTGCGATAAACAAATAATTAAAAAAAAATGATTTTGTAACAAATTTAAAGAAAAGCAGTTAGAATTTTGGTAAATACCGTTTTTAAATCTCCAAAGAGTGCCGATCAAAAAACTTGAACCAGTTTTTCGTTCAAAATTGAAAACTTCTAAAAAGCCTAAATTAAACAACATTTTAAATATTCTCTAAGCGTTATTTTATTTAATTTTATTAAAAATCTATTTTTTTAATAAAAGGTTAATAAGAATGCCATTTTGTAACCTAATAAACATAGAAATATCTAAAAAAAATGGGGATACATTTGTTTTGCTTGTTATGCCAAAATCATGAATTTACGCTTTTGCTTTATTAAAATTAAGCGATTTTTGGTCCACCCTGTATATATCAAATGATGTGAACATTATTAAAAAGTATTCTTTAAGTCTCCTCAATAATATACTCTAATTTTATAAAAATCGGTGTACAAATGTGTACTCTGTGAAAGGTAGACTTTGAAATAAACAAAAATTAAAAAAAAAATCATAAATTTTGAAAAATTTCGAAAGAAGGATCAGCTAGGATTTTGGTAAATATCGAGTCCCGAGCAAAAAACTGCAATCAGTTTTTGGCGTCATTTTTATGTGACCTAAACTTCGTTCAGGGACAGTGTTCAGTTACCTATATAATAGTAAAATATACCATAAACTACGTATAAAGGTAATTAGTATTAAATACTAAGTAAAAAACACAATCCAAAATATTTTTTTATAGTTATTTGTCAAATTAAAACAATATTCGATAACAAAAATACTTTTACTTTAGGTATTTTATTTTACGTTAAAAATATATATTTATTAATTTGTATACCGATTTTTTATTTCTGAATTAACATTTTTATGTATAATAATCCTAACTATCTTCAACTTCAATCAAATCTGACTTATCCCACAAAATTTTCCAATTTTAATTTTTATGAAATAATATCATACATCTTATGATTTAGAGGTCAAATTGTTTATTTAATATTTTTAAATAAATATGTATATTAATATGTTGCAAAGTTTTTTAAGGAGACGACAAATACATTTCACTGTCATATTATGACAGTGAGGCGTATTTGTCGTCTCCTGAAGAATTTTACGAATGTAGAATACAACATATTAGAACGTGGGTATCTGACATATTTGGAAATATTCTCAAAAGCTTCCTAGAAGCTCCATAAGAAACCTTCTAAGAACATTCCAAAAACGTATTCTTAAAATGTTCTTAGGATGCTTTTTAGGAAGGTTTTAAGAAGCTTTTAAGAATCTAATTGCATCATTAAAAGGGTATCTATTGAATGTTTTAAAAGTCCCTAAGAACATTCTTAGCAATAAGGGAAGGTTCCAAGAATATTCCAGTATTCCGGGTCATATCTTCTTAGAAGATTCTTAAAATCAAATTGCGAAATGCGAAAATTATAGAGGAAAAACTTTCTTGTTTTGTCATTAATCGACATCCCTTTTGTTTCAGACCGTATCTTCCTCGACCAGAACGAGAAATGCTCCAGAACTCCTACAAAGCGATGTATCGGCCGAACTTTTACGAGAGCACCTGCCTGAGGTGCAACGAGACCGTCTACCAGGTCGACCGCGTCGGGCCGCTAAAAGACTTCACGTTCTATCACAGCGGGTGCTTCAAGTGCGCCGCGTGCGGCACCAAGCTGACCCTCAAGACGTACTTCAACAACCAGCACCGGCAGGAGGACAAGGAGGTCTACTGCAACAGCCACGTGCCCAAAATCGGGCCGGGCCAGATCGACGGCAGCTCCGTCGGCATCAGGTCGGCGCTAAACGTCCCTAAGAGCTCCAATTTCGTCAACGAGCAGATCAGGGGCATCGGAAGGCCGGGATTTGAGGCAGAAGGTAAGAGAAGTGGTGCGATGCAAAAGAGGAGTAAGATGGTTCTTGAAAAAGGACAACTTTAGAGTATTCCCCAACACCAAAACAAATCTCAAGGTGCTTGAAGTACTTTTTCCACTCCTATTACGGAATATGACCGTTCTATATCACTTTTATCTATGGAATGACATATGTGACCTGGACTACGGAAAGGTACCTATGGAGAAAACAGCTGTTAAAGATAACCGTGCATCGCGTTTGTATTTGCGCTTCTACCTTTTCTTTTTTCGCCTTACCCTTGGCTCTCCACCTGTCTTTAGACTTTCACTTTTACAATAAATATTTTTGTACCTTATTCAAGTGATTTCCACTAAACAGCTAATTTTGTGAACGTTGAAAAAGTTGGAAAAATTATCATTCTATTTTCGAGATCGTGGTTTTTTGTTGCTATGCACCTAGTTTAAAATTGTTTTAGTTTGTGAAAGTGCGGAATGGATTTGGAAGAAGAATTTAAAGCAGTGGAATCTTAGAAGATTTCACTAGACTATTTTTAAGTAATAAAATGTCATAGTAACGGCACGTTTTCTACTGATTTCTCAGCGACAAAATTATGGTTTGGTACTTCTATTGTTGTCAGTTTGACAAACAATAAAATTGAAGTTGTTTTGATATTATTAAAAATCCGCCACCAAGGTGTTTTATACTTCTATTGTTGCCAGTTCGACAAACGTCATTGTGAAATAATGAATCCACGCGCAAATTCACGATTTGGGTGCCATTCAGATGAACAAATAAAAAAATTGGTTTCAGAAAATATCCCATTAAATACTCAGAGGTCCAGAAGCTCTATTTGGACCCAATTCTCAGAATTCCTACGGGTGAGAAATTTTACACTGGAAAAATGTACTACCGCGACGGAACTAGCAAAAATTCTGGAAGATTATGCCTTTAATATGAAAAAATGCAATGGCGAAGACTATAAAGAGTCGTCTGTAAAGTCTATGTGGAATTAAACTGCAAAAATGGTACAAGAAAAATATTTTACGGAATACGGCATAAAAATCGATCCTTTCACGGATATATCTTTCAAATGTTCAAGATTGGCCAGAGATACCAAGCGAAAGCAGCTTCAAAGTTGTCCAGAAAAAAGAAAACTTAGTTCAAAAGCATTATCCACCGAACAACTTTTAAAAATGATCCAAAGCTACGACGAAGAAACCCCCGATGGAGCACAAAAAAAGTTTTTTCACCTCTGCTCATATGAACTTGCTTGGAGAGGCAATGAGGCCGTAAACTGCAAGATTCACTTTTTCCAGAAGGAATTTAATAATATGGGCGAATTTACGGGCCGAATTGAATACAACAGCATTTTTTTCGAACACAACTCAAGGCAAGCACCAAATGGTTGGTAAGAAATTTATCAAACGAAAATTTATGCCCAGTTAGATTATTCTTGAAATTAATGGAAAAAAGAGGACCAAATATTTTATCAGACAGACTTTTTCTTACCGTTCACCCCAACTGGAAGAATTGATCTTGGTTCAAAAACTGTCCACTTGGAATCAACATCGTATCTAAGTGGACAAAGAAGTCAGCTGAAAAAATTGGAATAGACACAAAAAAACATAAAATAACAAACCATTCGCATCGATCTTCAGCTGTGTCAGCCTTGTTTAAGCAAGGTGTTGCTGAACAGGAGTTAATTAAATTAACGGGTCACTCAAATGCAAGCTCCCTAAAACCATACCTGCAGCTGGATTCTAGTCACCACCAGAAGTTGATCGAAAATCTCCGAACAACAAATGAAGCTGGAACTTCGAGTTCCCACATGCTACAGGTCAATAATACACAACATCGTGCTTTGGTAGAAAAGAATGGGCAAACTGCCATAACATATAATAATTGTACATTTAATTTTAACAAATAAATTAAGATAACATGTTTCGTTAATATGGTGCATTAATTGTCTTGTTTTTTCTCGTGAAATAGTCTTGTCGAATATCAATCGAGAGAAAATTTTTACCGGCAAAATTAGTTCTCTTGTGATATTATATACGAAAATAAAAGATCCAAAAAAGCAATTCTTGATCTATTTACAATTTTTTTCGCTATTTTTATAATTCATATTGAACTTTAAGGATGATTTCCAGCAAAAGTTTCAAACTTAGGAGTCTGCGGTTTGTTCCATTGAAAAATACGTTCGATCAAAAAACAAAAATTGATTCTTCCGACCATAGGTACCTTTCTATCAAAGGATGACAGAATAAACACTCGTGGCCGTCATTAAACTGTCAAATGCCAATTTTAAGGTTAATTTGTGGGTTATAGTAAATTATACTTAAAATTGAAATTTAACAATTTGATGACAGCCCTGAGTCTGTGCAGTTGGTTGCCTAACAGACGTCGTTGTGTGGATTGTGATCGAGTGATTATTTTCAAGGTTTGCAAATACGCACGCACCTCAACGGTTCGTCGCATTCCCCACATTCTCCCCCCTACGGAGAAAGCAGGAACGCAGGGCCGAACTACAGCCCCAACTCGCACTACCAAAACAACCACAACGAAACGCCCGGGTACCAGTATGGCAGGTTCGACGCAAGCGCGCTGCACATCGCGCATGCGCTCAAACAAACGGAGCTTCAAAAGGCCTACAAACAGAATCGGGAAAAACCCATCGATTGTTATTTGGTAAGTTTTTAATTTTTACTTGCTTATATGAGTGTTCATCTTAATTTTAATTATTAAAATAAGCAGATTGGGTGTGATATTTTTAATTCAAATTGAAAGTCTGGACACCCCTGGTATTCCAAACTAATTCTGTCGCTAGATGGCGGCACAATCAGTCGGAATTAAAAACACCACATTCCATTAAAAATATCTTCTATGATATTTTTAATACAATAAGGTAGTTGTCGTGCTGTAAGCATACCATCAGAAATTTTTAAATTTATGTATACTTATTAAGGACATGACAATACAATTATCCTTAAAATTTGAAGTCGATTGACCGTCTATAACCCGAGATAAATTCAATTAAAAATTGGATAATTAACATGGATTGTATACGCTTTCTGTAGTTCTGTAACAGTTTCTTAGTTATAAAAAAAACAAACTGTCAGAAGCTTTCAAAAAACTAACAGTATTTTAATGTACTTTTGCTGAGTTTTAAAAAAAAATAATTAAAAATTTTTGACCGTCCAATTGTTTATAAATAACCGTTTAAAGTTCAACAATTTGTAAAAAGTATACATCACTAGTGTCAGATAAAAACAACTTGGCAACGCTGTACGCGAGTATATATATTATTTCCGCAGTAAATTCAAACAGACTGATTCAGTCTCCAATATATCTATTGGTTGAGCATAAGCGACGTTGCCGGATTAAAACTTATAAAAATATTTGAAAGTATTACGTAAAGGTAACGTCTCCAGGGTACAGTCTTGCGAAAAAATTATGAATCACTTAGCTACAAGCTTAAATGTAATTCGCTTAATTAAAAATATCATAGGGTAAACCACATAGTTACTGGACACTTAAGGAATTATTTATTTAAAATTTATATATGCCGTTGTTTTAAAGATTTTAGTTTTTTTCTTATAAATATATAAAAAGGATAGTTTGTTTGTTTAAACTTTATTTACGTCTACTTAAAAATAAGAATATTTGAATTTTTAATAATAGTTTTATAAAAACATTCAAAAAAGTATAGTAATTGAACATTTTATATAGTAATTGGACACATGGACCATATTTATTGGACCATTCAATTTTTATATTGAAGATAAATTGCTGTTTTAGGTAATTTTTTTTATTTCGTTTTTGTAAATATCATATAATTCATATATTTCTTTCTCGGATTCCTCATCCCTTTTCTGGATTCTGAAGGTAACTACTAATTCCTTGGTCTGACTTCTGAAATAGTTTGTTGCAAATATCATTAAGTGTGGTATCTCTAGTTTGTGAAGCATTTATAATGTTTAGGCCGGAACAGGATGATTTATATATATCTAATATTTTTTCGGGTGGAATGTTAAAAGTATTTTTGGAATTAATTTTGTTGCCATTCGTTTTTTATGTTCTCTATCATGCTCTGTATTTAAATCACTGTTATTCTGCAAGATGTCCTGTGACGAAGAAATCACTATATTACTTACTTTCTAAAAATGAATTAGTCAAAAATGTCATAGCGAAAAAGCAGCCACTTAATTCTTGTCAACAGCAATTTGTATCCAGAATATTTAGCAGTCAATTCCTATGAAATATTATTCGCTAAATCCGAAAATGTCGTCAAAAGTTATAAAAGTAGAACAGTTTTTGAAATATAATCAATTTTACATATAATATGGAATTGACTATATCTCAAAAACTGCTTAACTTTTATGGGTTTTGACGGTCTTTTCGGATTCAGGGGACAATTTTACATAAGAATTGGCTGGTAAATGTCCGGGATACAAATAGATTATGATATTGGACATATGTCCAATAATAGAAATTTACATTTTTTACCAACCAGTAATTGGACTCTGGCCATTTTACTGTTTGTTTTCAGAATTAAAACTAAAACGCATTAAAGTGACAATGTTTAAACCATGAGGAACACATTTATACCACACACTGATCTGTACATTAGAAATATTAGAAATATTTTTTATTGTAATTTAAACACAGCCCTGCTCTTAACAAAAAAACAAAAATCTTACCACCAAAGTAACGTGCGAACTTTTTTGTCCTAAATTGGACTTAAAATAAAGTAGTTCTATATTATTACAGACTGAGATAGTTATAATTTTATACAGCCCCATCTAATGATTTAACTTTAAGGTAACTATTTTTGAACTCTTGTTTTTACAGTATTAATGTTAATTGTCCAATAACTATGAGACTTTTATGAAAAAAATAAAATAAATAAATGAAGCCCTGGGAGGGATAAAAAGTAAAAGCGGAGCCTTTCGTGTCGGCACTTTCCATTAAACAAATAAAAATATGCGAAACAAAGTGGTCACACTTGAAGGAAAAATCGCAGAACTGCTTTTAGAACGCATTTATAACATATATAAGTGTCTTGGCAATTTTCTCTGATACAGAGCCATAAATAGCAAGGCAACATCTAAGCATCTTAGGCTATGATAAATGGAATAAAATTTATTTAATGATTAAAACTTTCTACCCACTAACGTGTGATATTTTTTTTGTTCAATTCACATCTGGATATGTTGCGAGCTAATGGTTTGTTGTAATACTTATAATTGAGTATTTGCATAAATTCAATCATAAGCTGGCATTACTTTAATTACTGTTGTGTTGTTTAAAATTTTCATAAATATTAATTATTTTTGTATGCCTGTGCGTAGATATGTCAGTACACGGTCTATTTCTATTTATGGCATGCAAACAATTTTCTATTATTTTATTGTTTTATTCTCTGTAGGTCTAAATTTATAAAAACTGCTGTTTATTTGTTATTGCAGATTCGGATCATTCGACTAAAAATATGTAGATTTTGTCTAAAACATTTTTTCATATTTGTAATAGATGACGCTGTAATGAAAAAAAATCAATTTTGTTCGATTTTTCTTCCGTATACGATTCTCCAATAATTTTTGAATAAAATACTTGGTTTTATTAAGATTACGTAATTAACATGCAAAACAAACATTATTAAAAATAATAATTTTATAATATATAGGTAGGTAACTGGATAAAAAACAAACACTGTTTTTGAGTTTCAGTTATTTGTCACACTAATAAACCATATTTAACTGTTTATATATAACCTATAGGTGAGCCCAAAAAGTGATATAATCAAGGTGCAGCCTATAAATTAACTATAAAAGTGATTTCACCCATAGAGTATAGTATTTCACCAGAGTTTTTTTAATAAAAAAAAATTTCTGCTTTTACTTCTTTTATAAATAAAAATAATATATAAATTTAGGGTAATCTTTTTAAGCCACAATTGGATAAAAAATACTCAAAACTTAAAGAAATTAATTTCTATTTTTTGTTCTACCTCGTCATTCAATAATTTTCGCCTACATCTGCCATTATATTAAATAGATAGTGAAAATATTTTTGTGGGTGTTTTTAATATCCTGGTTCAATTTTAATGCGAAATATTTGTTTTGTGCTTTTATCGAGCCTTACAAGGGGCCATTCACATAACACGTCACAAGTATTTTTATAAATAAACATTATTTTGACACACTTCTTAAAATTCTAACCGAAAATTGCTATTGTTTTAGTCAGCTTCCCATTAAGAAGAAATTATATTATGTTTATATCAAAATTAACATAAACAACGAGCTGGCTGACTATTAACAATTATTAGTCGAAAAACACAGTTAGCCAGTCTTAGATTACATCGCGTATATTTTCACAAAACGTTACGGTACCATAACTCTTCCGGATATGCATTATGTAGGCACATATTATGGGAATCTGCATTGCATTGTTGCTAATTGTTTTGTATAACACTAGGTATGCTTATATTATTTTATTCAAGAGACATGCTATCTGAATAAATACATTGTAATGTCAACGGGGTTTTTGTTTTATTACCAAGGCAATACTAATCACAGTGTCCCTGAACGAAGTTTAAGTCACATAAAAATGAGGCCAAAAACTGATTGCAGTTTCTTGTTCGGGACCCTTTGGCGACTTAAAAATGATATTTACCAAAATCCTAGCTGATCCTCTTTTCGAAATTTTTTGAAAATTCATGATTTTTTTTTTAATTTTTGTCTACCTTTGACAGAGTACACATTTGTACACCGACTTTAATAATATTGGAGTATATTGTTAAGGAGATTTGGAGAATACTGTTTATACTGTGCACATCATTTTATATATACAGGGTAAGCCAAAAATTGCTTCTTTTAATAAAGCAAAAGCGTAAATTCATGATTTTGGCATAACACGCAAAAAAGATATATACCCACCCATGTTTTTTTAGTTATTTTTATGTTTATCAGGCTACAAAATGGGATTCTTATCAAGACTTTATAAGAAAAATTGATTTTGAATAAAATTAAATAAAATAAATTTTTTTGGAGATAAATCTGTTTTGTGCATTATGCTTTTTACTATATAAAAACGTGATTTTTGGCTAATCCTGTATAAATCTAATGATGTGCTCAGTATGAAAACAGTAATCTCCAAGTCTCGTTAACAATATACTCCAATATTATAAAAATTGGTGTACAAATGTGTACTCTGTCAAAGGTAAAATAAACAAAAATTAAAAAAAAAAATTAAGAATTTTCAAAAAAATTCGAAAAGAGGAGCAGCTAGGATTTTGTTAAATATCATTTTAGTTACCAAAGGGTCCCGAACAAGAAACTGCAATCAATAAAAATCGGTGTACAAATCTGTACTCTGGCAAAGGTAGACTTTGTGATAAACAAATAATTTAAAAAAAAAAATAATTTTTTAACAAATTTAAAGAAAAGCAGTTAGAATTTTGGTAAATACCGTTTTTAAATCTCCAAAGAGTGCCGATCAAAAAACTTTAACCAGTTTTTCGTTCAAAATTGAAAACTTCTAAAAAGCCTAAATTAAACAACATTTTAAATATTCTCTAAGCGTTATTTTATTTAATTTTATTAAAAATCTATTTTTTTAATAAAAGGTTAATAAGAATGCCATTTTGTAACCTAATAAACATAGAAATATCTAAAAAAAAGGGATAC